ATCCGCCCAATAGTCGTCTACGCCTCTGCCGCCGCCGTCGTCGTCGTCGCCGTCCACCTCAAACGTCGTGCCCAGCGCCTCCTGGCCCTGCCGGATCATCTGCTGCAGCCGGGCATTGAAGGCCTCCATCTTGGCGTCCGACTCCTGCTCGGCCGCCAGGTTCTGGGCGGCCAGCCGTTTGGCCTCGTCGTTGAGGCGGGGGCTCTCGGTGAGGCCGAGGGACGTGTCGGCGTCGAGGCTGGCAGGACCAGCGGCCGACGTTTGTTTTGGCAGCAGCGGCGACACGCCGACGCGGCCGCTATGGCTTCGGCGATGTGCGTGTCCATGGCCATGGCCGGGGCCGTGGCCGTTTTGGGCAGGGCTGCCGGCAGCGCCAAAGACCATGCTGCTGGAGCGTCCGCCGGCTCGACTGGTAGGCCGTGGTGAGGCGGCAACCGCAGCTCGTGAGAAGGGGTTGTTGTAGCTTGCATCGGCGCCGTTGGGCTGCGGTAAGGGGATCCGGCTGCCGCCAGGGCTATTGTAGGAGGCTGCGTAAGGACGCCGTGGTGAGACGGTCTTGGCACCACCGGCTGGAGTGGAGGCCCGCGGTGAGGCAAAGGAGGCAAAACTGGCAGGCTCGCGTGATGACCACGACGGACTGCCGGTATGCGACACGCGAGCAACCGATGCGGCCGACGCACCGCGGTGACCGTGCGGGGTGGTCGTGGCGGCACCGGCGATCCGTGATATCGGTGTGTTGATGCGCCGTGACGCTGCTGTGCTGGGCGTCACCGTCGTTGTTGCTGACCCTCGCGTGTAGCTCGGGGCTCGCCGGTCCGGCGTGCGTGTGTCTGCCGCGGCGGGCGTGGTCGAAGTGGACGCCCTCCCACCGCGCAAATGTATCCTTTGCCCTAGTCCGTGTCCCTGTCCTTGTCCTTGTGCAGTCGACCGCCTCGGTGTTTGTGCGTGGGCTTGTGACTGTCTCTGCTTCAGCTTCGGATCGACAATGACCCAGTTGCGGCCCAGCTCGTCGCCCGCAGCGCTGACCTGCCGTCGCTTGCCGTTGCGCTGCGGTGTCGTTTCGCGGTCGCGGTCGTCGTGGGCGGGATGGGGTGTTCGTGTTAGTGTTGGTTCGTCTTTGTGCTCTTCACTTTGTGGTTGCGGCGTCGGCGACTCTCCCACAATCTCCGTCGGCTTGCCTGTCTCCCAGTCGTAACTCTCGCCACCTCCCGCATGGAACCCGCGGAAGGCGCCCGCTGTGCAAAACTCCCAGACCTTGCCGACAACGTTGCCGAGTGCGTGCAGCACCGTCCAGCGATCTGCATCAGACTGCGCGTCGTCGGCCGCTGCTTCTGCTGCGGCTGTCGCATCATGTGGGCCCAAGGCACGTCGATACTCGACGTCCGAATAGACGCTCTCGTCCATGGCGTCGTGCAGGCCCGGAGCGCCTTGGACGTCAATCTGCCCGGCCAGTGTGTAGAGGTGCCGTCCGCCATGCTGTCCGAATGTCGCATTCGCATCCCACTCGGCCAGCGGCGTCGACTCCCGTGAGTCCTGGGCGGCGCGTTTCCGCTTGGCGCCATGGTCGGCGACCGACGAGACGTCCGAGTAGAGACTGCCAGCCGACCGTGCCAGATCGAGGTAGGTCGAGTCGGTCGGGGAGGACGCGACAGGCGGCCGAAAGACGTCGGCTCCGAGGGCGCGTGGCGTGGGAATGGCGTATGGTAACGGGTTGTCAAAGTGGTATGCGCCGGGCACATGGAACTCGGGACGTGGGGAGCCCGCCATGGTGGTGGAGGTGCAGCGCAGCGAAGAAGTGAACGTGACTCGTCGAGTATGGTTTGGAAAGGCTTGCGGTGGCTCGTGACCGCGCGTGATGTCGTCGTCTCACAGCACGCGCTCTCAGCAGCGCATGCTGGCCAACAGGGAGGCGAGGCTGAAGTTCGAGATGGGGCGTTGACTACGATCGAGTGCACCGGGGGTGGGCGGGTGGATAAGGCTGCTGCTGTCGATGGTCTATGGCGTAAAAGTCGAAGAGAGTGAGGCTGCACAAAGTGCGGCGGGATGTCACGAGATTGACGTGAAGGGCAGTTGGAGCCTTCTTTGTTGGGGTAGCTGTGCGAGCTATAGCCTGGGGCCGCTAAGACGCCTGCAGCAGGCAGACACTCGTCATCGGGACGTCGTGTGGGTTGATGGCGACGTGGGCGACGTGACACTCTGACGAGGTACGACGGGGCCCTGTCACTAAGAATATTGACTTTTTGGCGATAAGAATAAATCTCAGATAATGCCGACTCGGTCGATCCATCGAATGCGAGCCCAGACGCAAGCACTATTACAGCACAAGTGCCGTGCTCGACAGCCCTGTGCTCGCCCAAAGACCGCTAAAAGTCAGGTGGAGCGTGCGTTGCCCAGCAATCGCAGTAAACAAGCGCGGCTTAAAGTCAACACGCGCACGTTGGCGCCGCCGCTGAAGGAAAGCTGCAGCAGAAAGTGACTGCGAATGGAACGACGGCGAAGTAAGACTAATTCTTTATATCTAGCAAGTAGTAAAGCAAGAGTACCGACTTATTAAGAGTAACAACGTCCTGGAGAATTCTGAGAGAGAGTAAATGGGATACTATTGCGAAAGAAGAATCTACGTAGAATTTATTTACATTTAATTTATTTTATATCCATGACGACATAATAATAAAAAAGGCAACAAGAGAGAAAAAAAGAAAATAAAAAAGAAAGAAAGAAAGAAAATAGTACAAAACTCTGCAGATGCAGAGTCACTCACACGTCCATCAGCAGGCCCCGCCGCCTCAATGTTCTGACATCTTCTGTTCGAAAGCAAACTGCTGAGACAAGACAAAGATAGATTAGATCATGTGCAAAAGCGGCTGTTGAAGGCACAAACAGAGTAAGCCGAACGGCTCTGATCGCTGATTGGCCCACAGGGCCACATGTCCCAGCGCAAACGATATGCGATAGCGGCCTCTGTGTTTACATGCCGTAGCGGGTTTTGGCGGGATGTGTAGGGGGCCTTTAGTAGTTTTGCGAGTGCCAGTTTTTGCCTCTTCCTCCCTCGTACTCCAACATTAGAAGCAACACGGCGAAGAAACGAAGAAGACGACCGAGCGGAAGACAAAGAGCCAACCGAAACGGCATTCTTAAATATTGACACAGAGAGTTCGCTGGTCGTCCTTCTTCATTGCCTTCGACACTCCGCCAATCTCGACAGATTGTCTCCTCCCACCCAACCACGATGGCAGCCAACAGCAAGCCGGCGCCCAACGGCTCGGCAATCACGGTCGAGACATTGATTGCAGGTAGGCCATCCTGCGCCCAGCATGACAGATTGACGACTTTGACGCCCCGCTAATGCGCTCGTCCCCCAGAGCTCGGCGTGGTTCCGACGCCCAAGATTGCCGGCGAGTGGACGGTCGACAAGGCCACGGAGGCCATCTTTGCGCCGACCGGCAGCGACAGCGACAGACACAGCAAACCGGCCCCCAACACGTCGTCGCCCCTCCCCTACTTCCACCTGCTCGAGCTGTTAAAAACCACCAAGCGCGAAGGCTGGCGCCGGTTCGGCATCACGCACGGCGAGTCCATTGCCGACCATATGTACCGCATGTCCCTGATGGCGATGCTGGCGCCGCCGGCGCTGGCCGCGCGCCTCGACATGAACCGGTGCATCAAGATGTGCCTGGTGCACGACATGGCCGAGGCGCTCGTGGGGGACATTACGCCCGTGGACGGCGTGCCCAAGCCGGAAAAGAGCCGCCGCGAAGCCTCGACCATGGACTACATTACGGGGACGCTGCTGGGGCAGGTGGGGGGTTGGGGTGGGAGTAAGAGTGGTAGTGGGGGGGGAGATGGTGACAACGACACCGGGGCCGTCGGCCGCGAGATCCGGGCCATCTGGCAAGAGTACGAAGACGCCGCGACCCCCGAGAGCCATTTCGTGCACGACGTCGACAAGATGGAGCTGCTCCTGCAGATGCACGAGTACGAGACGCGCGGGCAGGGCCACGTCGACCTGGGCGAGTTTGCATACGTCGCGACCAAGATGGTGCTGCCGGAGACGCGCGCGTGGGCGGCCGCGCTGCTGCAGGAGCGGGATGCGCTGTGGCGGAGCCGCGGACAGGCACCACCCGGGCAGCCGACGATGCCAGAGCTGGAGGCGGCGGCGACGTCAAAGACGAACGGTGTCGACGAAGCCAACGAAGCCGACGGCCATGCCCCGTTGACATAAACGGCGCAGAGCGTCAGAATACGAGGGAGCTGGGCAGGTGGACGGGGGGAATGGCCACCAGATGGTAGAGAATAGAACAGACACTGGCAACAGCATTTGCATTTGTATTTTTCTTGTGGTTTTCATTTTATTTTGGCAGCAGACAGAAACAGCGAGAGCGGACGCAACAAACGCGACAGCGCTTTTGAATGACCATAGACTTTGTTGTACGACGTAGCATTTGTCGTCCAAACCGCTCATTTTCCAATGGCCTATATGCCGTCAAATTTACCTCCGCGGTTATTTATTTCCAATTTAACTTTTGTGCCATTATTTATGGGGCTTTCCCCGGACCTGCGCGGTGTTGACAATTCAGCCTTGAAGGCACAGCCAATCCAAGCCAAGTAAGGCAGACATCACCAATCATTAACACCACAGCATCACTGCGTCCATGCGCAGCCCCCCGAGGCCTCGCGTCAGGGATTGCATTTCCCAAACAATACCATTTTTTGCCGGTGCCTAGCTGCTAGTGAAGAATGGCGAGGCTCTCACAAATAAACAAAGGAGATTCAATGCGTTGTTGCGAGACATCCACGCACAAACGGCCTTGAGAAATCCTGTAGCCTGCTCAGGCACCGAGATATTTTATTGAAAGGGAGCATGGGCGCTCTGCAACGATAAATACTCTGTCGTCTGGATTCACGTTAAATTGAATTTACGAATGTGTTGCTGTACTTCATTTTAATCCGACCTCTTGAGAAGACCAGCACCGTCCACGACCAACGTCTGACTGGCCCTCATGTTGACTGCACTATTTATACGGAACCACCGACCTCGACGGGCCGCGTTACGGTCGGCCTTTGCCGCTGAGCGCGATACCGCAGCGGAAGCGTCCGTGGAAGAGACACCAGGACCAAAGCCGAAACCAGAACCAGACCCAGAACCAGCACCAGCACCAGCACCAGCACCAGAGCCAGAGTCAGGACTTACCCCGGAATCGGCAGGTCTTGCCGGACACGAAACACCCTCTTCTACAACTTCGACAATGGCAAATCCCTCCACGCCTTCCACCACACCCCGCATCACATTCTCTTCGCTGCCCGCCGAGATTCGCAGTGCCATCTGGACCGAGGCCCTGCCGCGCCGCGTCATTGGCCTGCGGCCGTTTGACGCCGACGCCGACGAGTACGCGTCGAGCTCTGCCCCGCAGGGGGACAGCGTCACCGTGGTCAGCGCGCGTGCGCGGGCCAGTGTCGGCAGCCGCATGCCGCAGGCCATGGCCAGCACGTGTTTCGAGTCCCGCGCGGCGGCCCTGCGCAGCGGCCGCTGGACCATTGGCGCCGAGGGCCAGCCGGTGTGGTTTGACCCGACGCGGGACACGATCTTGCTGAACAGCAAGCGGCGGGTCGACTACATGCTGCTGGGCCGGGCGACGCCGCCGGATACAGACGAAGACGAAGTTGGCCAAGACGGCGACCACGACCACGACGACGTCGCCGTCTGGCGCGTCCCGAACGTGGCCCCGCCGCTGGCGCCCCGGCCACCGCCACCGGGCCCGGCCCCCATCAACCCGGCGAGCACCGTCAGCATCGCCGACCTGGCCCAGCACCAGCTCATCGGCTGCCTCGATGAAGCCGTGCGCGGAGGCGGCGGCATTGCCGTCAAGCACGAGCTGCTGCAGTCGCAGGTCGGCGCCGCCATCTTTCCGCTGCTGCAGCGCTGTGCCGCGGCGGCCGCCCACCGCGCCGGCGCGAGGTCCCCCCCACCGCAGCTGCTCGTCTACTTTGACGAGATTGTCCTGACCGGTACGCGCGCGCAGGCCGTGGCGAGCGGCCTGTTTGGGAGCGCGGCGGCGCCCGAGGAGCACATGTTTTTTGTGCCGCTGAGCAACCGCGCCACCCTCCAGCGGATCCATGCCCTCTGCAAAGCGCGCCCCGCCGCGTCGGCCGCGTCGGCCGCCACTGCCACGGCGCGCGAGGGACGGGCCCACCTGCAGGGCAGCCTGGGCGGCCTGCGCATCGGCCACGCCGGCTTCCTGGCGGAGCTGCTGCGGCCGTCGCACACCGTACAGAACCTTAGGATCCTGGCCATGCGGTTTCTGTACCACGTGAAGCAGTGGCGCGCGGACATGTCGTACGAATCCAGCGAGGTGCTGATTGCGCGGGCGCTGGAGGCGGGGCTGCCGCCGCTGGAGCAGGCCATTCTGTTCCGGTTCAAGGAGGTGCCGGCGTTTGTGGACAGCGAGCAGTGGGGACATGAGCGAAACAACGCGTGATGGGGGCGACGGAAGGCAGCGGGAACGCGAGCGAGGCGGGCAAAAGAGAGAGCGAGCATTATGACATTTCATTTGCATGTTACATGTACTGAATAGTAAAGCAACCCGAATATCGAACCCTATGAAATAAATCCTCCCAACGCCTGGTATCATATTTTGTGACAATCACGCTTCCCCCTTTTCCCCCTTCACCGCGGCAGATGCGCAATGCCGTCCAGCTCGTCCATGTAGTCGTCCAGCCCGTCCAGGGCATCCAGCCCGTCGAGCCCGTCCAGGTCGTCCAGCTCGTCGCCGGCCGTCGCGCTGCTGAACAGCACGCTAAAGTCGGCATAGATTTCTTCCGAGCCGTCGTCAGCCACATCGTCATCCATGTCGTCGACGACGCCGTTGGTGGTGTTGCTGTGCTCGTTTGCGGGGAAGGCGAACACGCAGTCGCTGTCGTCGTCGGTGTGGTGGTGGTGGTGGTGATGGTTCTCCTGGCGACTGTCGTGGCGGTTGTCCGGTTGGGTCTCCTGCCGACTGCCCGGCCGCTTCGGGTCCTTGACCGGCCGCAGCTTGGGACTCCGTGAGACGGCCCGGACAATGGGGCGGTGCGCCGCCAGTGGCGGCGCGGACCGGCTGAGCGCGGCGGCCGGGGCAAACACGGCCGACGAGCCGGCGCCGGGGGGCTCAGAGTACATGGACAGGGGGGGCCTGGGGGATGCGGGGGTGGCGGGTCGTTGTGTCGTCGCTGTCGTCGTCGCCGCCGTCGTCGCCCGCCCGGCCATGGCGGCCGTCGACACGGGCACAATCGTAAACCGCGCATTGGCCATGTTGGCCATGAGCGACAGGGGAATGCCCGTCAGGGGCCGGCCGGCCGTCGATGCGGCTGTGGCTTCGGCATAGAGGCGTTGCCGCAGCCGGTTGGCCATGGCGGCGCGCCAAATGACTTCGCTGGCCATGGGGGCGTGGGCGTGTGTGTGTGTTGGTGATGACGTGGACGACGACGACGACGACGACGACGACGACAACAAAGACGTCTTTGCCGGCGCCATCAGCTTCTTGGCATTCATAATCGCCGCCAGCTTCAAAAACCGCTTGTCGCCGGCGGCCACGGACTCGCGGTTGAGAATGTGCGTGGCCGGCTGCGAGAAGGGTTGCGAGAGGCGCGACGTGATCAGGAACCGACGCAGGCGGCGTTTTTTGCAGCAGAGGGCGGCAGTGTTGGGGCCGTCGACATCGGAGAGATCGCGGCGGCGCTTGAGAGACGGGCGGGGGAACGCATGCCGTGGTGGTGATGGTGGTGATGCATGTGGCATTTTAGCGGAAGGCTCTGCCTCCGAGGACAATGATACGAGTGACGCATCTGGCTCTGGCTCTGACTCTGGCTCTGTTTCTGCCTCCGGCTCTTGTGACAGGATAATGCTCGGCCCTGGCGTGCGTGGTATCGCGTCTTCGTCGGTTGCCGCCGACGATGCCGTGAACAGTGGTGGCGCTGGGTCGTCGAGCAGGATATCGGCCTGCGCTGGATGGGACGCCGAGATCCGCTGTGAGGGACACGACGGCGAGGTCGACGGCGAGGTCGACGGCGAGAGGAGAGCCCTTGGACGGTGGTTTTCTCTCTGTGCTGGTGGTGGCCGTTCTTTCCGTACGACATGGGACACGTTTACGTCCGTGGAGTGGGCCTCTGCAGTGTCATCGCCGTGTGTCTCTTGGGCACTGTCGTGTGTTGATTCTAGTTCGGTGCGATGTCCGGCGGCCTGTCCGGCGGCCGTCTGGTCTCGATGCCGCCATGGCCGGAACGACTTGAACGACCCGCCCCGGCCGATGAAGTCGACCTGTGTAGCCATCGGGGCTCCAGGGACAAGGTGCTCGTTGACTATGAAGGGGACGTCAAGAAGACCCAAGTGCCATAGCCTGTCAACACCGAAAGGGTAGGTGCACGGATCATGTCATGGCGGCTGGTCAGACGAGGTCGTATTGTATGTTTTGATGCTGAGGCGAGTGAGTGACGATTAATGTGTCGTCGACGTGAATATATGAGATGGCGAATGAGATGAGAGATGAGACCGGTGAGAGGAAATGAGAGTGAGGTGCAGAAAGCGTGCGGGGAAAGAGGGTGTTATATGAGGTCTGGTACAGAGAGTGCGTCGTCGGCTGGGAGGGGATGTAAGACAAGTAGGAGGCATGCAAAGAAGGAAAGAAAGAATATTTCGTAAACGACGGATGATTCGTAGAGTGTGCGTCTGCTCGGGCTCCACCGACAGAACAAATAAGGGAAGTGTTTCGTACAGCGCAGAGAAAGGCGATGCGCGTCTGGCCAGAGGAGTCGTGCAACGGTCGTGTGCTCCAGGGCAAGTGAAGGACGGGTGGGTACGAAGAAAAGGAGGAGGCGAAAGAAGACAAGGAGACGATCGACGCTCTGTGCGGCGCGGAGAGGAAAGAAGTGGAAAGAAGAGGCGAGAGAGGGAGGTGGTGTGAGGCGGAAGTCGGGTCGATGTCTGGGACTCTGGGGCTCTGGGGCCCAGGTGCCTGACGCTGATCTGGGGTTGCGCGCAGTTGGCTGGCGGCGGTTGTGTCCGCCTGTGCCCGCAGAGGAGGAGAAGGAGGAGGCGTTGTCCGTGGAGCGCTTCAGCCGGTCTAGACTCTCTCGTTTGATAGGAAGTGCCGTAACAGAAGCAATAAACAGACGACGAGCGACGAGCGAGTTGCAAAGAAGACCAAACAGAGAAACAAACAGACAAACGAACAAACGAATGGCGGACGGAATCGGTCGCGACTCGACAGGCTGTCGTCTTTCTCTGTATATTCTTCTCCACAAAATCCAAACAGCCGGGTAAGTTGAGCAGAAACGAAGAGGAGAGGAGGCGGCGAAAGAGGGGGTGTCGAGTAAAGTATTCTGTCAGTCTAACGTACATAGCATTCCCGCTGCTGCAGGTGCCAGGGTGCTCTGCCAGGGTAGGCCAGGGTGTGCCGTGCCAGGAGGAGAAGACGAGCGGTATTACGTCGTACCGGGGTCTGGAGAAAGAGACAGGGCTACAGCGAGGATGTGCGAGGCGGAGACAGCGGGTCGTTTGTTCACAGGAAAAAAAGGCTAAGCTATTTAAAGATCGGTGACGGGATGCGTGCTGCGAATGACCGTCGCAAGATGCGTTCCGACTTCCAAGTTGAAGGAATGTGGAGGCGACACAGAGACTGTCTCATATGGACACGAGATGTCTAGGTCTGTCTACATGTACGATGTACTCCGTAGGTGTATTGAGAAGAGGAGGTACAGAGTACATGCTTGCATGCCCAGGATGCTGGGTGGAGTTTGCGATCGAAAAGGTGTGCCACCGGCAGACAAACGAGGAAAGAGGAGACGAGGAACAGACGAGGAGGAGGTAGGCAGACAGGAGCAAAAGAGAGGAGCAGTGCCCAACCTGGGTGAGGCTGCGGCTACAACACCAGAAACAGACAATGGCTGGGAGACACGATGCAACCTGGGTCTGGGGAAGGAGAAAGAAGGCGGTTGGCATGGAAGAAACAAGAGAAGGGCGAGACACCAAGTCGGCCGTGGCTGTCTGCAATATGCTCGCACGGCGCGCGGTGTGGAGTTGTAACACGCAGAGAGAGACATTGGCAAGCCACTGGCACATTGCATAGTACATAGACATGGACCTGGACATGGACATGGCGACAGTGTATTGGCCTTGGCCGGCAGGCAAAGGGAACGAAACTCAAAGTCTGGTTCTGGTTCTGGACTGGGACGGGTGAGATCAATCCGCTCGTCCTCTCCTCTCCAGTCACACCAAAGTTGGAAATACGAAGTATAGATAATACAAAAATTAAAGTAGTTGCACGGAACGGTACCCAAAAATGCTCCATCACAACAGACAACAAGCCAACATGCTACCGGTTCCTCACCCCGTCTTTTCTGCCTCTTTTCTGCCTCTTTTCTGCATGTTTAGATGCTGAGCTGGGGTGCCCTTGTCCGCCCCCAGAGTTGGCTTTACTTGAAAGTGCAACCTAACAAGACTGCCAATACCAATAACGATGCATTTGGCGATCCCTGCCAGCCACAATATTGCTTTGCTTGCAGGAGGCAGCAACAAAAACAATGAAAATAAAACAAAAACAAACATATTGCAGTCTATTGTTGGCGATCATTCGGCTGTTTGCCACGTTTCGGTCCTACCCTCGCTGCGTTTTTGCCTTTCCCCTTTTATTTGAGGTTTTAACAAAGTATCGACGCTGTTCTTTTCCGTTTCGTGTGCCCTTTGCCCCTTCTTCAGCGGCAGTATTCCGTACCAAATACGACTTACATTGCGAGTCATCCTTTTCTTCACGGGGAAAAACGGACTCGTCTGCCATTGGTAGTGTCGGTGCCGGTGTCGCCGATCTGGAGGTCGCAATTGGAAATTGGCAAGTCCACATCAGACAGCGCGGCAGAGCGGCATGGGGCGGTATTTTGCGACGCACCGTCGGGAGTCGCAGTCTGACTGGTCATCTTTTCCATGACCAGAAATTTGGTTCAGCACACCAGCCGGGTTCAGGATCAGGATCAGGTTCAGGATCAGGTTTGGGGTCGAGATGCTACCGACCCCTTTTTGTTGTTTGTGTTTGTATTTGCCCCTTGGCGGGAGAGCCATTTTGACGCAGAGAGGAAGTGATGGACACTCCGCATGGGCGAGTTTCCAGCTTGGCCGTTTCTACGACTTACTTTGCTACCATTTGTCTTACTTTGGCAGAGACGCGCGAGAGAGCGGAACCTGTCTAGAGGCCGTGATAGTGAGTACAAAGTACTCCTTGCAAGGTGCCCGCAAAGGAACGAAAAAGAAAGCAGAAGCAAGACACGCAAGACAACGGTGAACAATGTCGTACTTCACGAGACAATAATACCTGGGACCAGGGGGTCCTTCCCTGCCGCCTCTCCCTCTCACCCCCTCTTTTGTTCCTTTTTCATTGGTTTTGCTTTTTCTCTTCTCATCATTTCCCTATTCTGCCCTCTCTCCATCACTCGTTTGACTGTTTTGGTCTCGTCCCGGTCACTTGGGTAAAAGAGAGATCTGACAGATGGAAAGGCCGCCAAGGGGTACTACTCCGTACTCCGGAGTCCGAAAAAGAATGAGGAGTTGTGAACAGAAACCTAAAAAGACGACGCGCGTGTTTGCTTCCTCATTGGCTGTCGACTGTCTTTATTTGCCCATTTTTGCAGGGCGCGTGACCGCCAAACGACCACCCAAAAGGAGCAAGGAGGGGACGCTACTGTCCGGGCGGTGCGTTTGCGTTTGCAAGGCGGCCAAGGCCAAATTGCGACGACAAATTGGGACGAATAAGATACCTGGGGATATGTTGGGCAAGCTGCATCTTGGCTGCTCAATAGTTCCCCAGGCTGCAACGGGCGACTTGGCCACTCCGAGCGGCAGCAGTTGTGGATTGTCGTTACTCTCGACTCTTGTTATGCATGGCGTGCTTCGTAGTTCAGAAGAGAGTTGACGTTGACTCGTCCTTCACCGTTCGCTCGGTTGTCGTCCGATTCACTTACACCTAACAAGCTTACAAAACGTGTCCGTTCGCTGCGCTACAGTGCAAGGCCCGTCGCTAGTCGCGGGCGCTCCCTCGCTCCCTTGTGGGCTATTGTGATTGACATAGTGCCGCAAGAAATAACTGTAAAAAAGCATAGACTGAAAAGAGGGGACACAGACATAATGTAGGAGCGAAAAAGAAAAGCAATTTACCGACTGACAGCGACCCACTGTTTAACAACAACTGGCTGTTCTTGGTCAAGCTGTTCTCGGCATTGTCGCTACGGAGAATTGGGGCACCAATACAACTTACATTCGTAAGGGGGAACGAAAGCGTGATGGTATTCGATCTGCAGCAGAAAGACATCCCTGAGGTAGTCGCCGAATGCACTGTCCACGATTCTCCGTACATAATACGACGCGTATTACGGACTGTCACAAATACAACAAACACCACAAATACTCTGTAAGATACCCGTCTCCGAGAACACACTCGGGCACTCACCTTGACATCGCCGACTGAAAAGCCAGTCGCCCTCTTTTGGCGCCTGTCTGAGCACGTCAACTGCGACGAGAAGCACGGCGTGCAGGGCCCATGACTCGTGCAAGATGACCCCATCGGACGGGCGTCTGCAGTGCATTTCGTACACGTTGTACGGGGTATGTGCAGCACTGCCCGTCTTGGCTCAAGGTGCGTTTGTGCGCCGAATTGCACCTTTCTTGTACGGAGACTGACCAGGCTCGCTCCCAACGCCTTGGGACTGCTGCGCAAGGAGATGGACCGTCAACCGCTGTCCACGAGCCAGTGGAAATCAGTCGGCATATGTTTTGCCGGGTTGGGTTGTCGCTGCGTCGTGCTACGCCAACATTCTCCTTTATTTCAAACATGACACCGAATATGTCAGTGTGACCTGTCATTCTTTCTTCGCCTCGCCTCGCCCCTGGATCCGTATCCTTTATCCAAACTCTTATGATCCTGGCGTTTCAACGGTGGTCGTTGTGCTTTATGCCAATACGACGTAATAATAGGTACGCCGTATTTTTCGTGTGGATCAGCCTTGGCCTCTTGCAATAATATCACGTCGCTTAAGCTTACAACGTCCCATCTGCTTCGGGATCCATGTCTTGGCTTGGGATGCAATCGTTTGCTACGATGTACTACGTATGTGTATTTCCTCCTCTTCTTTCGGATGTTTCTTTCCTTTGAATGCCGTTGCTAGAATCATCACCAGTCGACCCCAGGTCCCACTAAAGTGACAATGTTCTACCCCAATACAGCCTAGCAAGCACGTAAGCACTGTACGCACTGTAAGCTGCTTCTAACAGGGCGCCAAGTCATCCATAAAACAACGTCGTAGGGCCTTTCCCCGCTGTAAGTACACCGCAATGATCTGACTGGGACTCTCTTGCACCAACATACACTGCTTTGTGCATCGTAGATATTACTCTTTCCTGACACATCGCAAGCATCATTTTTTGAGAGATATGTCCAACAGAGGCGACAAACATGCCGAACTGGACATGCTCAGCAGCCTCCAACTCGTTTCCCCCAAATCACGTACCCCGTAGGCCCAGGATAAATGTGAACGGCCCCGAACAGTTTAGTCAGTGGGCGTCAGCAAGAAGTGGCCGTCACGTGCAAAATGCCTCGGCTCAACAGCCCGCCCGTGAAGCTCCTCCCATCCGAAAGGCGCGAGAAGGCGAGCTGGTGGGAGGGTTTGTCTGCAACAGCTACTCGAACCGTTGACTGGCGAAGCACAGTTTTGGAGCAGGTCGCATTAGTAACAAACGCGGAGCGACGTACACTCCGTGCCTTTGGGAACACAATTGCGTCAGTTGGACTCTAGCACATCGCCTCCAACACACCACACAGACACACACACACACACACACACACACGCGAACACAATGGCGCGTCGCAAAACATTCCAAGAGGCCATGGAGCTCGTGCCCCTCCCGGCCGCCTCGCCCAACCCCAACTCGACCTCCGGCGCCTCCTCCCTCACCAACCCGGACGGCAGCAGCAACGTCACCCGCTACATGAGCCGCCGCCCCGCCTGGCTGCCGGGCGCCGACCTGCGCGCCGAAATCGACGATCTCGGCCGTGGACGGCCCGGGTTCCCCGTGCACGAGGCCACATTTGGCGGACACGTCTATGCGCAATCCGTGCTGGCCGTGTGCCAGACGCTGGAGCAAGACACCGCCGCGGCGCAGGCCGCGGGCCGCCGTTTCGACGTGTCGGCGCTGGGCCTGCACACGATCCACGGCTACTTTACGGCCGCAGGCAAGCCGGACCGGCCGTTTGTCTACGAGGTGGCCGTGCTGACGCGGGGGCGGTCGTTTGTGACGGCGCGCGTCGAGGCGCGGCAGCCGCTGGCGCCGAGCAACCAGGCGCCGGCGAAGGCGCAGGCGCAGGCACAGACGGGTCGCGCGGTGCCCGAGGACGACACGGATTTCCGGGGGGACGCGGCGGGCGACGGGCCGCTGGGGGTTGTGTGCTTCACGGCGATTGTGTCGTTTGTGACGCCGCGGCCGCACAGCTTCGGCGCGGACTGCCAGGAGGCGCCGGTGCAGCAGCGCTTTGCGGCGGTCCTGGGCGAGCGGGCGCCGGCGGCCTGGGCGCCGTCGCCGCCCGTCGACATTGACGTGCTGCTCGAGGTGCTGGGCCGCCGCGACGTCGTCGGCACGTTCCCCATGGTGGACATGAAAAAGGTGGACATGACGCGGTACAACGACGGGCGGCCGCTCGCGGACCGCCGCGAGCTGATTCTGTACCGGCTGCTGGCGCCGCTGCCGCGCGCGACGGCGGCCGAGTGCAACGCGCACGTGCTCGTGCACGCCTACGCGGCCGACCGCAACGGCCTGCTGATGACGGCCAACAACCTCGAGTTCCCGCTCAACGACAAGGTCGCGTCCCTCAGCAACACCTTTGTCGTGCACACCAACGTGGCCGCCGCGGCCATGACGTACCACCCGCCGGCCGCGTCCGACAACGACCTGGCGGCCGGCTGGTGGATCCAGGAGGTGTGTTTCCCGCGGGCCGGCGCGGGGCGGGCCATTATTCTCAACAAGATCTGGAGCCCCGAGGGCGTGCACGTGGCCACAGAGTACCAGGACGGGCTGTGCATCGCGCAGGAGAAGATGCCCTTTGACTGGAAGCTATAGGCGAATAGACGAACACGAACGGCGCACCTTTTTTGTTTGGAAAGAACAGGACACAATACAGCATAGACCGAACCCAGCAGACTGGTACGCTGGGCATGGCATGGACCGCGACACGCTGTTGGATGTTACCACGCACAGTGGGAACACGTACATTAGGATAACAGCAATGCAATTCTAGTGAAAATGTAGTATAGCAAACATACCCAAAACAGAATGCAGCAGCGCCGACGTTGGCTGGCGTTGTATGACAACCGACATGAACAAAAAGAACATACAAAAATAAAACAGATCCCAGCCCACCAGCCAGGGACACGCACGGCCAGCTCGTTTATAATGTACGCCAAAGTAGAAAGAACCAACCGAAGACTACCGAAACCATGGCAGAAAGAGACAGAGAGACAGAGAGAGAGAGAGACAACGAGACAACAAGACAGAGAGATGACAAAAAGACACAAAGTCGCGGTCGCGACCGTTTGGTGGCACCGTCCGACGCCACGCTACTCCGCCTGCTCCAGCTTGCCCGGCGCGGCCAAGGCAATCTCCGGACACCAGGCGGCAATGTCGCCCAGGTACTTGGCGGCCGCCTTGTGCACCTTGTGGTAGCCCAGCGGCGTCTTGGAGTGGTCGATGTGCCAGGTGTGCTGGCACGCAAACGTGATGCCCTTGTTGAAGTCGGGCAGGTGCGCGCCGCTCTCTTCCATGCGGCGCGAGAACCAGACGTCCTCGCCGCCCAGGGTCCAGGTGCCGGCGGCCGTCTCGTTCTCCCAGTTGTTGGCCGGGTTGCGCAGAATGTCCATGATGCGGTCGCGGTTGCGCAGCGAGAGGCCGCCGTTGAAGAACTTTTGCTTGGTGTGCAGCGGCGCCCCGATAAAGTCCCACTCCAAGAAGTCGTCGACGGTCTCGTAGGCGTTGGCGCAGAGCATGGCGTCGGCCTGGAACACGAGCACATGCTTGGCGGGCGCGAGCTGCTCCCAGAGCCAGGGTCGCGACAGATAGAGGTTGACGCCGCGGCGCGTCGTCAGGTCGAACGTGTCCGGGATGATGCGCACGTCGATGGCGCCCGACGCCACGGTCTGGTGCCAGATGGCGGGCTGGCGCGTGCCGTTGGTGCCGGCCAAGATGGCGCTGGTCTCGTTGGAGGTGTACAAGACAATGGGCCACGCGGGGCCGAGGACGGCGTGGAAGTGCAGGATCAGCGGCACGAGGCGGGGCGAGTACTGTGTGTCGGAGATGAGGGCGACCTTCTCTTTGATCTGGAAGGCGCCGGCCGACGCGACGGCGTTGGTCTCCGGCTTGGCGCCGAGGAAGGAGGGCTGGCAGGTCAGTGTCAGTACGCGCAGAGGACGAGCGAGGCACGAGTCACGAGGAACAGAGAAGACGCACAGTTGGGACCATGTCCCGCGGGGTCAGGCGGACAATGTAGATGACGGCCAGCAGGGCGAGGGCGATGCCGACAAACCGCCGGGACACGCCGTAGTCTATGAGGATGGACATTGTGGCGGGAGCAGAAGACGAAAGGAAATAACAAAGGGGGGGAGGCGAGTAGGACCAGTCGGTTCGTCGTGGCCGTCGGTCGTCTGTGTTTGGGGCGCACGGCGACGGTCACGAGGTCACGGCGGTCGTTGGGCGCGGCGCCTCCCGTTGCACACGGCTGCCAATACGCGATGGAGGCTGGCCGTGGGTGGAGGGGGGACGGGCGGCTGTCGGGGGTTGGGGTTGCGAGCGTTGGAGGCGAACGAATGAGACAGTGGCGGTGACAAACGAGGGACAAAAGTGAGGTGTCGTCAATAGCAAAGGACAGGTCCCCAGGTGAACTTGGGATTCAAGAACAGAGAAAAGGCGATGCGCGATGCGCGTGAGCCTGTCTGACGAGCATTAAAGCAAATGGGATATGGGAGAGAATGAAGGAAATTGTCGCGCCTCCTAGGAAAGGGATGGAACGGGGGGCAGTGAAGAGAGCCAGGGTTGTGTTGTTGAAAAAGGACTTGCGAGGCTTGTGAGAATTGGCAGCATGGCCAAATTGGCCTGGTCTGGAAGGGTGCAATGGCTGGGCGGACTAAGAACGACAGTACGCCATAACGAACTAACGAACTAACGAACTAAAGAACGAACGAACTAACAAACTGGCCTGTCAGCGCGACCTTGTCGAGTAATTGAAAAGTACGAATTACGACATAAAAGTACTTGGAAACAACTGTGAAATGTATTAAATACGAAGACTGCCCAAGAGTGCATCGTCCCAGCCCTGGAACGTTGCGCTTTCTGTCTCCATTACGGCGCATTCTGCATCCCCTACGCATGCAGGCAATTCGCGCTAGTGGATTGTCCCACAGCCTTACCGTCAGCTATGTTCAATAATTGTGGTTGGATGCCCATTTGGGCCAGGCCAAAGCCAAATTCAAGGAGTGGCGGCGCCGGGACGCAGCAGGCGGCAGGCCGCGCCGTGGTCACATTGTCAACGTGTGCGCCCGCCTGGTGTGGGAGGCGCCTCAATACGAGCACGAGCACAGAGGCATCTCGCTCAACAGACGAATAACGTGTGTGCTCGCCGACTGTCGAGATGCCACTGTAGACAAGGAAATTGTGCTCTTTCTGAAACTCGGAAACGGTCTGACAGGGGGCAGGACGCGTGCGAAATCAACTCGTGAGGTTTAAGATTAGCGATGGCCGGGCAGCGACCGAGATCATGGAAACCGTCGTCGCCATTCTCGCCGTCTTATGTCTCTTAGCTCAGCTGACGGCCTCCGCTCTCGTAAGCACGCCAGGACCCGTCCAGGAGCCGTCGTCGACGGATTCGGCATCGTTGGTTTTGATGCCGCCGTCCGACGCACTGCAGCTGCAATCGACTGTCGTGCAAAGTATGTCAGTCTGGCAGATGCCATTCATTGCAACCAGGTAGGCGGTAAACGCAAACGGTCTGCTAATCAATTAAACACAGACAAGAGTTCTAGACGCCACGAGACGGTGACGCCCTGCACGCCCTGCACGCCCCTGTTTGCTGCCCATGTTGTCTCTTTTAGCCTGTAGCTGCAACCCTCTGACGAGTGCCAAGGCCATTTTGGCCGCCGCTAATTCGTACCGAATGGCCAGATGCCCGAATGCCCCTCGCACTTGCGGCCGGTCTCCAATGCCAAGCCTAAGTGCCGGCAGGATCAGTAACTGTGGTTCTCCCTGCACAGTTAGCGCCGAGCCTCAAGTAAATCGTACGGTCAATTACCTCTGCAAACGGACGCGATCGCCGGCTCTAGCGCATTGCAATTATGAGCACAGCGTACTTGGCTTCAACCATTTCTTGTTTCGCGACGCGAATAAGTCAGCATGCTGTTTCAGTGACTCCCCGCGTGTCTCAAAACCGTCAGACAAGATCGGCAACCCGACACCCTGAATCGAGAAAAAAGGAAGCAAGAAAACAAGAGATCTCTTCCACAGCGGAGGGACCATACGTTGCAGGGAACGCTCACAAAAATGCACTTTGCCTTCTGCCGCTGAGATGGGTGTAGTAGAAAATTGCGATATACGCTGACAGCCCCCCTTGACTCATTTCACGACAAAACACAGTGCCATGGCCAGCACAATCCCGGTCGTCCTCGGGGTCTACACGCGAATCGTCCCCCGCGACACTTCCACCGCGCTGCCGCCGAGGAAGACGCCCTCGATGCGGCCGTCCGTCGCGGCCTGCACCTCCACCAGAATGTCGCTGCGCCGGCCCATCTCCACGCCCTGCGTCACGTTGTACCGCAGCAGCCGCTTGTCCTTGGCGCCCGCTGTGAGCGTCAGCGTCAGGTAGCTCGCCAGCGTGCACGCCGCGCTGCCCGTCGCCGCGTCCTCCTCGGCCCACCCAATCATGCGCGTCCGGATGTTCGTCACGCCCTCCTCGGACGCGTCCGTCACCACGTAGTAGTACCGGCTCACGGGCCCGCCCGCCTCGGGGCCCCAGGGCCCCTTGTCCAGCAGGTCCGGCAGCCGGGCAAAGTCGAGCCCCGGGCTGCTCGCACTGACGACGCCCAGCTGCGCGAGCGACGCCAGCCGCACGAGCACAAACGTCATGCCGCGCACAATCGACACGACGGGCGCGTCGAGCTCGGCCGCCGCAATGGCCGGGTCGCCGTGGCCAATGGCGCCCGCGTCGCGGACGGCGTCGATGCCGGGCGTCGTGCGGAGGTGGCCGGCGTGGACGTGGACGTCGTGGGGCACGGCGGCGCGGACCACCAGCGGGTCGGCGGGGCCGGCGGGGCCGACGCGCTCGATGGGGATGCGGCCGGCCTTGACGAGGAGGGTGGCCGCCGCGTCTGCGGTGGCCGTCTTGCTCAGGACGTGGCTCGCGGTGCCAATCGTCGGATGCCCCGCAAACGGCAGCTCCTGGTCGATTGTGAAAATGTCGACGGGGTAGTCGCGGCCGCCGTCGCCCGTCGCCTCGTGCAGAAACACCGTCTCGGAAAAGTTGAACTCGCGCGCCACCGTCTGCTTGGTCTCCTGCGCCACCGTCACGCCGTTGGGCACATGCACGACCGCGAGCGGGTTGCCCGCGAAGCGCTTGGTCGTGAAGACGTCCAGCGTCACAAACGAGAGCTCGAGCGGCGTGGACATTGCGGCGGGACGAGACGGAAGATGTTGTGAGAATGGAGAATACGAAACTGAAAATGACGGGCGTGACAGCCAGAATGGGCAGACGGCATTTATTTATGCAATCCGTGAGTCACCTTTGCATCTTGCCATGGTGCCATCGTTGTGGATGTGCTCTACTGCGGGTCCTGCCCGATTTGGCAAACCAACGGCCATGATGACTAATCTTTAATGTAGTCAGATGGAGATGCATGGCTCGTCATAGGGCGTAGACAATCAACAAAATAACAAACAGAACAAAAAAGTAAACAGTTGGAGTGTATGGTGATGTAAGTTGAGGTGAGGACCGGTGTAGGGGTGTGCGTGATAGTGTTGTTGGCACCGGAGGGCCCGGTGTACCGCCCCCCCCCGCTCCCCGCCCGATCGCTCCTCTGGAATTAGTTTTCCTGTTCTTTTTCTTTTCTTTCCTTTTTTTCCTTCATTTCTTTCAGTTGTTTTGTTTGTGCCTTCTTTTTCAGTCCCTGTGGCTGTGTATATGTTTGGAGTGGCTGGCACCACGTGACGAAAATCGACTTACACGAGAAGTCAATACAACAAACATCGTCATGCTCTGTTCTCTAAAAGAGGCCAGTTTCCTTGCGTAAGGTCTCCAGCATTCCGTACTACGGCTATATAACATACTTGGAAACACATGCAGAGCACGGGTGTATTCAGCACAGGTGTATTTCTTTAAGAGGAAGCAAGAGCTGGGTAGGCTCCATGCCCGTGTGAAGACAGTTGTTGTTTACAAAGGACCAAGAAGTCCCCTATTGAAGCCAAGACGGAAAGAGCGCCGTGCTGATTTTGTGTTGTTTACCTTTCCTTTACAAAATCCGGAAACAGGACCTCTTTGTTTCCCTGGCATAGCGCCACGGTCACTTGTGTTTCGAAACCGATACTTCGGTAACGGATATGCCATTTCTTATTTATGGCGCCTTGCTCTCATTTTCATCATCGTAGATAGAAAGAACGAATGGCAGGTGACATATTGTGCCAGCAACTCAGGAGCTCTCGTCCTCAAAGACATAAGTCAGGATATGGGAGCTGCACTGCTCTTTCCCGTATTCGTCCTTCTATGCCCGCTCAAAATTCTGTCTGGGTAGGAACGAACAAAACAAATAAACATACAACTGACGTCGAGGCAGAAACGAAGATGCAAAAGAGAAAGTCATATATCTACTCGCCCCACGTCATCCGTTTCTTGTCTTAGACTCTCCTTCTTTTTCTTCCAGACCCAAGCTTCACAGCAGTACAGCACACAAACAATACAACTCAAACCACAGTTAAGTGTCCCCAATCCACACTTCCCACACTCTCTTCAGATTCGCTTGCGTCTGCAAGAGATCTACAATGGCTACCGCTGCAGATACAATGGCTACCGCTGCAGATTAGGTCCCTGCAGTCGGTACCGCTTGGCAGGCGGTTGCCGCGACGGCACAGGCGAAATATCAGCGTAGTGAGCGGAAAGTCCGCACCATTATCGTTGGTCCTGAACCTGGGGACCCAAAGGCAAGCCCCATGCTCTCCCAGCAAGCGCAGGCGTCCCTTCTCGCCGACATGCAGGTTATGAGAGCGGAGTTGGGCGCTCTCAAAACCAGGGTAAACGACCTTTCCGACAAACTTAACGGGCCTATGGCCGAGAGTGCGCGCCCTGCAGCCAGCAGCGTGAGCCCTCCTGGTCATACCGGTCCCGTCGCCGACAACAACCCCGACGAGAACGACGGCAAGGACGCCTTGATTGACCAGCTCAAAGCTGAAGTCAATAGCCTCCAAGTCGAAAACGCCAAACTTCTCGCGGAGAAGGTCGCTTTAGTCGGCGAGAAGGAACGCGAAAAAAATCGGGCCGACGATATGGCGAAGGTTGCTGAGGCGCATCATGCGTATATCGTCAGGATGGGCCACGAGCTGGTCTAGACGAACAGGCAAGCTCGGATCGGCTGCAGATGTTCTGCTAACGGCGTCGCAGGTTTTGCGAAAGGGCCATTCTAGTACAGGCTTCAGAATTACTAGGGTCGGGTGGAGGGGTGGCTCTTGGGACCCAGCAAACGCTCATACCTCAACGTGGTTGCTGGGTCGAGTAGCCTTTCGAGGTGAAACCAACATGAGCATACACCATTTCGACCCGTCACTTTGAGTGATTAGACGACAAGCAAGCAGCTGTTGCCCGAGCATCGGTTGATTCTCACGGCGGCCGTTCTGTGCCATGGCTGTTGATACGGGCGGAATGAATGCTTGGGCCTGGGCAAATCATGTATGTTCATCGAGGGGTTAGTGACGGGCTTGTAGCACGACTGGCTGGGCAGTTACGTGGAGCTTGATTCGGTATGTTGTAACAGCATTCGGGAAGAACTGGGCTTTACCATTTTGTCGACGGAGTACAACATACTGGGCGTTCAGTGAGGTCGCGTGACCTTCAAGGGGCATTAGTACTGAGGGACAGCATGCAAAGCACTATGTTGTACATTCGTCATCAAAATGTCACGGCATAACAAATTGATTTCTACTGGCAAGTGAAGAGAGAGGCTTGTCCATGGATTAAAAATAAAGAAAAAGCAACGCCACATGATGAACTCGCGTACCCCACCTGGTTGTCAGCGATTCATTTAATATTGAAATATAAACTAACGCCGTAGGCTCCCTGGAGTGCCATTGCGGCCGTCAGGAACGAAACAGTGGCCCACGTCCTTTTATCATGTACAGGAACACCGCCGCCGCCGCCGAACTGGCCCTGCAACCCCCGACGACCTGTACCACCAGCTGCAAGCTGGTCTCACAGCCGGACCACTCCTCTGCTGACTTATTCAGAGCAACAGACTTCCGGAATACAGGTTGGCGAGAGAGCTTGAGCAATCACCAACACCGACTTAACACATCCCGGGACCCCCTGGTCGTCCTTACTACGCAAGCTGCCTTTTTGGGAGAAGGGACCTGATGTCTTTAATATGTGTGTCATTCGCTGTGTTGGTGCGTGCAAGTAATGGATACTATTACTGAGATGTACAGGGCAACATTCGTCATCAAGAAGTCATATGAGAGCTTAATCACTTACTTGCCAAAGCTGCAACGACCAACAGAATCGAGCGTTGCTGTAAATGTGGCAAGCATGGCAAATTTTGTATGTGGTAATTGTATTTTTCAAGCAATTTTCCGTCTAGGTTCACAACTTTCAAGGCCGATACTGATCAACTCTAAATCATCAACATCTCAACTATGCGCCAGATTCTCGCTCCTTCTGGCACTTTCTCCCTTCACTTTTTCAAGTATTCCTCCGGTTCGTCATTTTATTACGGAAATCTACTATGCCGTCAAAAACAGACACGTTTTGTGACCGGCAACGCCAAACACGAGTGGGATTGTCCGACCGAGATATCCCAACAAACGATCGCCTTTTCCACGCCCTTCACAATTGGATCATACGCAGAAATATTCTCAACCGCGTGAGCTCGGCCGACCAGGCTTCCCTGGCCCTCACGTGTCGGAATTTAAAAGGAAGCTTAACTGGCGAGGCTGATGTGCCTACACTACGCTCGACTTTAGCACGACCTGATTTTTTAGACGTGTTATCGTCCATCGCCCGCGACCTACCGGACCACTATGTGTGTGAGCAATGCGTACACCTGCATCGTACAGAGGACAACGAGGGCCATGCCCGTGATACAGCACTCGTCGATCAGGCATCTAAAAACGATGCGCTCACCGAGCCCAGTCTTGAACCACCATGCCACCGTTCGACTCCCCTTTCTCCGCTGGATGAGCCTCGTTACGACGAGAACCTCCACACTTTCACCGGGGCCTTGTCTTCGGCACGGCGCACGCCCCTTGCTGGACTCGCCCACCGCGATGTGCAGGTACTCTTGAAGCGCGTCCGTATGCTTGCAGAGGACGAGACAGAAAAGGACAGACGCGACCAAATCAGACTCGAGGAAGCTCGCAAGTTCACAGCGGAAACGGTACGGAAAGGCAACATGTCGAGAGCCACAGGAGGAGCACTTGCACGCATTTGGTACCGGATGCCCTGGAACCGCTCCACCATCGACCATCAGGTTTCGATACGTACCAAAGCATCTTTTAAGGAGCCTTCCCAAGAACAGAAAACCTTTACAGAACAGCCTACAGAACACGCCAGAGCATCACCAGACGAACAGATTAAACCATTCCTGACCACAAAGGCCCGTGACGCGCTGAAGACGAAGGTACGAGCCGCGCTTAAACCGTATTCAGCCCAACGACGGCTGGTCTCGGCGAACACAGGGAAAGAAGAGGAACCTACAACTATCCAGTACCGATTTGTGCCGCGGGTGATTCTCCAAAGTGGCAGCGACGACGCGGGGCATCATCCACACCAGCCACGCTTTCTATTTCTACTCAAAACGACTGTGAGCCTGAGCTACTTGGATTTCTACAACGTTCCGTTGTCCATTTGTCCTCACCAGCTCGTCACACACGATAATTGGTCTGTGTGGTACAGAGCATCGACACGAGACCTGCTGCATCTGAACCGCCTGGGACACCTTGACAGACAAACGTACGTCGTCGACGCAATCCACCCGACACACGAGGGCCTGCCGCTTCTCCAAGCACCGTTCCGCTTCGTCGGCGCAGTGAGGTGCGTCTATGCAGTGAACAAACATCCCAACGTATACGAACGCCTGCGACACGGACCACTGCCAGAGAAAAATATGGCCGATACCCTCTACTACACCCCGGCCGACCTCCATGTTTACCGGCTGCGTGAGGAGAGGAGGATGAGGCTGGCAGCGAGCCAGGCGCCTCCCCCAACCCAAACAGGAGAGGCCACCCAGCCGATCGACCGTCTGGTGGCGGAAGGCAGCTGCGCCCGCTGCCCGACGGACTTTTCGGTGCGCGCCAGCGACGCGGGCCTCGAAATCACCGTGTGGCAGGACTTTGGGCCCGAGGCGCCGGTGACGGACATGTGGTGGCAGAGCCACATCCCAGGCCCAGTGCTGCCGACCGAGGCCGCGCGCCGCGAGGCACAGCCGATGGCGCCCAACACGTGGCAGTTGGGGCCCACGGTCGAGCACGACCCCGGTTCTGTGCGTGTGATGTTCAAGACGGGCGACGCAGTGGACGGGTTGTGAGGTGAGCGGCGAACGGAGGGTACAGACGAGGCGAGTGGTGATGGTACGATTGCAAGGCAAACGGAGTTTGGTAGTTTGTGAAAACAAGCGGGCGTGCTTGACTGAACTATGGGAGCAAAAGATGTGAAGCAGAAGGGGAAGGGCGAGATAATACCGACAAAGGAAGTCAGGACGAGGAGGTTTGATGGTGGGCCGTGACATTCAAAATTGATCAGAAACTGCCCAAAAAATAAAACACAAGCAAAACCAGTAATACATCGAGTTTACCACCAGTTATGAGAAATAAATGCAGTATGATGACAATGTGTATTTCACCATTGGGAGGCAAACCAAAAAAGGCCATTGCACACCCCTGGCACCTGTGACATGCACGCACATAAATCTGTGGTAGGTTTTTTCCCAGGAGGGTTCTGCCTAGCTAGACGCCAATAGCCAAGACTGGCTGAAGAAGGCAGATAATAATAATAATAATAAATACAAACTAGTAATCCGGCCGTGCCCTCCATTGGACGTTTCCAAGGCCGTCGTCCAGGTCCATGAGGCGGTGAATCCAAAGTTGACAAGTCCGGAGGCCCTCTTCTTTCCTGTTTCTCCTCGTAGAACAATGCGGCCATCTCCGCGAGAATTTCGGCCTCTTTTCTTTAGAGGCTGTTGACTTGATCACGGAGCTGCTCAATTAAAGCGTCCTTGCAGCCGGCATGTTGCTGATTCGGGTTTTAATGTTGTTTGTTTACACATCAGATTTCGATGCGATTGACTGGTATCTTTCGAATGGTGGCCTACTTGAACTGTGACAGTCTATTTTCCAGGTACTGTTGAGCCAAGTCAAGGGACGTTTTGAGCATCGAAGCGATGCTCTGGATGAGTCCTTCCGAGGTCATCTTGTCATGTATACTGCTCCCAGTAACAGTGTCGCTCCAGTATCGCAAGCTTCCTTCTCAGTTTCTTCTGTAGCAGGGCAGTGAGTGCTGGAAGCATGCCGTGGTGGACACAAACGTCGAGCAATTGGGACAATATCGTGTAGGACAATATTGTAAGTGGCATATCCAGTGTCTTGTCCAAGTGTGAGGCATAATTGTCGTTGTACCGATACTTAATGAGTTAAGTATGTACTAAGTCTTCGTCATAGTATATATTTTTGTTAAATATATACTGCACGGGGTGGGAACGTCCAGCGGAGGACATCTTGGCAAGCCGGGACACCTTGGGATGGTGGCGCGGCCTCGAAGGCCTTAAAGACAATGTGGCTGCGACTGTTAGCTTCCGAGTCGATGGCGGTTGAGGTCGAGGGCGATGGCGTCGTCGCTGACGGCGAGGAGGAGGAGGATGACGCTCACCACTAAATCATCTTTCTTTAGTCCCTTGTCCCCCTTGTAGTCATGCCACATTCTCTTCCTTAAGCCGAAAGGAAGAGGCCCAGGAACTTTATCCCGTACTGTTTCCATATTGGGCTCTCGTAGAAATGGCAGGGAGCAATATTGTAGAGGTGGGCGGGTGCTTAATTTTTGTTCGTAATCGATGGTGTTGGTGCTGCCAGACGGGATGACGACCATGTATCTTCCTGTGTAACTGGACGATTTCGTGGTTGTGGGTTGAAAACAGTGTATGGCCAAATAGGGGCTAATTGTTGTGTGAAAACAAGCTTTGCCTCGCCCCTAGGCTTTGCCCAGGTAACCACCGAATATTTTTTGGGGGGGTCACGTGTATGGCTTTAAAAAGGGACTAGACCGCTAGACGGCAGTATCTCTAGGCTAACTGGCAAAATAACGAGCCCTCAAATACCTAGATAACAGGTCTGAAGTTCCGTGGACTTCCCACATTTAATGATACATCCCGTCATGTTGTCCTTCTCGTTAATACCAGTGTAAAGTGGGGGAGCCATAGACTCACCTTAAACTATTTATCGTATGTATTGACTTCTCGTATACTATGGGTCAACATACAAGCTACGATGTTGTACACTTGTCATCAAAATGTCATGTGAGTAAACTTTGTCATGGTCGACCTCACTGTGCACCGCTAACTATGGGTGTAGTAAGTTTTGTGACATGTATGCGTCAAGTGTGATGTATTTTGCGGACATATATATACCTTTGTCCTGCTTTCTTAACGTCCGCTGTTTAATATCGGCATTTTAAATTATCACAATATTTTCAACTGGCACAAATGGCAGTGGCAGCGTCCAGCCAGCATATCCCAGCCAACGACCGCCGTGTCATCCACGCTCTAGGCAACTGGATTATCCGCAGGAACATTTTGGACCGCGTAGACTCGGCTGAGCAGGCATCCTTGGGCCTCACATGCAGGCAGTTGAGGAGCAGCTTGGCTGGTGTGGCTGATGTGCCTACACTGCGCTCGAAACTCACAGACCGTCAGTTTTTGGACGTTTTGTCTGTTATTGCACGGGACTTGCCGGACCACTACGTGTGTGAGACATGTTTACACCTGCACCAGGTCGCAAATGAGAGCCACGCTCACGACACGGCACTCGTCGAGCAGGCATCCAAAAAACACAGGATCACTGAACCCAGACTCGAGCCGCGGTGCCGCCGCTCGTCCTCTCACTACGACGCGATCGAGAATCTCCATACATTCACTGGCGCCTTGTCATCTCCTGCGAGACGCACACCTCTTGCAGGACTCGCCCACCGCGATGTGCAGCTTATCTTAAAGCGTGTCCGCATGCTTTTAGAGGACGAGCAGGTCACGTCGGCACATCAATGCGAACCAGACGAGAACAGGCAAGGCAAAGATGCTGGCGGATTTCAGACGAAGGCGGAAGAGACGAACATCCAGACGACGGTCATATGGGCTCTGGCGCGTTTCTGGTATCACATGCCCTGGAACCGCCCCTCCGACGAGGATCGGGCCGCAAATGCCCGCGACATACTGGAGAAGCAGTTGTGCGCGGCTCTCGCGTCATATTCAGCCCAGCGGCGGATGGTCTCGTCGGACAGGAGAAGCCCACGGTGTTCTAGAAGGAATTCTAAGACAATCCAGTACAGCTTTACGCCACGGGTTATTCTCCGTGACAGCGACGGCGCGGGCCGTAATACTCGCCGAGACAATCGTCAGGCACACTTTTTACTCAAGACTACGGTCACCATCGCCCACGTGGATTTCCACTACATTCCCCTGAGTATCTGCCCGCACCAACTTTTCAACAACGACAACGTGCCAGCGTGGCATCAAGCATCGATGCGAGAGGTGACACTTCTAAACCGTCGTGGGTGCCACGACGGACAGATTTACGCTTGGGCGGAAGACGCCGTCAACCCCACACACGAGGGCCCATCTGTACTGCCATCGCCATTTCGCTTTTTGGTTGCCTCGATGTATGTGTACGGAGTGCACAACTGTCCGGAGAGATACCGACTGGCAGGTGAGCAGGACAACGGCCCCCAACCAGATACTACCGATTGGCTCTACCACACACCCGCCGATCTCCATGCCCACTAGCAGAACGAGGAGAAGAAGAAGCAGCAGCAGCAGCTACTGAATCACCGCGCGGTGGGCGGCAGCTGCGACCGTTGCCCGACGGACTTTTCTGTGCGTGCCAGTGACGCGGGTCTCGAAATCACCGTGTGGCAAGACTTTGGCCCCGAGGCGTCCGTGACGGATGTGTGGTGGCAGAGCCACGTTCCAGGCCCCGTGCTGCAGTCCATGGCGCCAAACACGTGGCAGTCAGGGCTCACAGTCGAGCACGATCCTGGATCTGTTCGTGCGCTGTTCGAGACCGGTGTCACTGTGGATAGCTTGTTACGAGAGCGGAAAAACCATGTGCACAGACGACGGTGGTGGTGGTGATCATGAGGGAGGTAGATAGAGTGAGGCACTTGCCACCAAGAAGGGGGCTGGTCCGAGCTGCAGGAACGAAGGTGAGAAGTACGAAGAAGAGATGATACACAGAGTAGGAAGAGAAGTATGGTGGATAAGAACCACGATTGAATAAAGGGACGAGAAGAGAGGAGGTAACATGTGTTGGGGACAGGAGGGAATGGCGTGTTGTCGGGAATATGCTGCTGCCTCGGCACGGCGTTTGCTGTCTTATGTGCTCGCTCCGTCCAACAAGAGATTCAAAGATAGAAAATGAGTAAGTCTAGACAGCATGGCTGTCGACACTGGTATTTTTCTTTTTTTTTTTTTTTTTTTTTTTTAAAACTATGCTTCTTCGTGACGGATCAGCTTTGCACGAGCCTGTCCCGGCCTGAAATATGTTGTTTTGCTGTGTATGAGACCAAAGCACAATGAGAACTGGACTGCTAGTCTAGCTGGCAAAAGAGAGCCCTCTAACAACGGTAGATAGCAGGTCGTAAGTACCGTAGTCCAACACTTGCAGTTTCGTCACGTGGTGACTGCGATGAGATCCACACCAGCTCCCAGCTCCAGAGGCCCACTCTACCAAGATCCCGCTAAACAACCAAGCTAAGCTTGCCACAACATCCACTGAAACTTGCGCCTCACATCCCGGAATCCGCTGCCGCCACAGACCACCACCTCATCTTGCGTCGACCACGACGCCTTTGTCACGCGCCAGGGACTGATCACAACTCACCGCCCACGCTCATGGCCTCGTTCGGCCTTCCCCCTGTCCGCGTGCTGCGGCCAGCGCTGTGGTGCGCCGGCGCCGTGGGCACAATCTACGTCGGCTGTGCAGCCTACGAGGTGCGCCACGATGCCGCCGTTGCGCGGGAAGCACGGCGGGCGCGACACATGCCGACCTCGCCCATCGGTCTGCGGGACTTGGACGGCGTGCGGGCCATGCTGGCGGCGTCGGGCGGCCGCAACCCGCTGCGCGCGTCCCATGCATCGTCGTCCGCATCCACCACATCGCCCTCGCCCTCACCGCTCGCGGCGTGGTCCAACCTGCCCGAGGCGGGCAAACTCATGGTCGGCCTCGTCTCCACCAACGTGGGCGTCTTCGGCCTCGAGCGTTTGCTGCCCGGCACGTCCGCTCTGTTCTCGCACGTCCCCGCGGCGTCCGGCACCACCGCCGCCACCGCCAACTTCACGATGCTCTCGTCCGCCTTTGGCCACGTCGGCCTCGCCCACCTCGCCCTCAACATGTACGGCGTCGTGCAGTTCCTGCCGCCCGTCGCCGCCAGCCGCACGTTTGCCAGCAGCGGCAGCCACCTGGCGGCGTTCTACCTGTCGGCCGGCGTGCTGGCGTCGTACGCGTACCACCTGGCCGCCGTCTGGCCGCGGCCGCTGGACCGCGTGATCCCCGCACGCGGTGCCAGCGGCGCCGTCATGGCCGTCGTGGGCGCGTTTGGCATGTCGTACCCGGACAAGCAGCTGGGCATCGTGCTGATCCCAGGCAGCCTGCCGGCGTCGCAGTTCTTGCTGGGCGTGGCCGCGTTTGAGACGTACGGCCTGTTTGTGGGCTTCAAGCGGCTGCCGCTGGCGCACGCAGCGCACCTGGCGGGCCTGGCGCTGGGCGTGGCCTATGTCTACTACGACGGGCGCGACCGCGTCTGGCGGCCGGTGAAGCAGTGGACGTTCCACCAGATGCAGCGGCTGTCACTGGTGTGAGGACCGAGTATAGACTGTCACTGCCGCGCTACGCACTGCTGTTGACGCGGATAGATGTGTCGACGTTGCAGGATATGTCGATTCATATGAGAGTGACAGGGACTGTACGATAAGGATACTTACAGCAAGCGCGTTGGGTCCATCCAAGCCTTTTCATGGCGCTGGCGGCATGTGAACGTCGAGTTCAAGAAGATACCCCGGATACGAGAGCAAGACAATCCGTACTGTTATGAAAGATATGAATTAAATTTTCTAAGACCCAATTTTGCACCTGCATTTTTCTTGTAAATAAGCTGCCACAATCGGCATTTTGTTTCTGTAGCCCCTGACGTCGATCCTGTCGTCGGCTGTCGTCTTTTCCCATGCGGTTCTGCCGGTTAAATGGTGGAGATAAAGAAAGCGGCTGTTCTGTGCTCTCTGAAGATTGGAAAACCGGTGTATCCATTCTCGACACACCAGTGGCTATCCAGCGTCCGCCCTGGGCCGATGATCCGGTCGATCACGCATGTACGCGATGTATGATTGAAAATGATGTTTTTGAAAGGGCCGCTGAATCGGACTGACGTCGAAAGAACAGGGACAGAAGAAAGAGAGAGATAGCCAGAGGATACACGGCTGTTCAACTGTTTGATCACCGTCTAATTTCACTTGGCAGCTTGTCAGGAACATACTGTCTCTGTCTTGACAAGATATAAGTCGTCCCCGGTGAGCATATTGTCGCTTTATTGTAGAACAGCTGTCAGTGTCCAACACATGCTTCTTGTTTTTCTCCTGGTCTGTGTCTGTGCGCGCTTATTTTGTCTGTCCACCACCTCCTCCTCCTTCTCTACCACCACAATGTGGTCCTCCTTGTTTGCCTGGGCCGCCGCCACGGGCAACTTGGCTCTGCGCCACCTCTCACTCCGCCAGGACGCGGATGCCGCAACCACCAGCACCGAGCCGGTCCTCCTCATCGGCGGCGGTCCGTCCGGCACGATTGCCGCGGCCACGTTTGACGGCACCACCTTTGACATCATTGCCAACAACACCCTGCCCGGCACCAGCCCCAGCTGGCTGCTCTACAAGGACCCCAACCTCGTCTACGCCGTCGACGAGAACAGCAACAGCACGCGGCTGTTCCAGTTCGACGCGACGACCAACGCCTTTGACCTGCTGCACGAGGAGCAGGGGTCCCAGGGCGTCGTCTACCTGTCCTTCAACCTCGACGCGACGCGCATGGTGGGCGCCGCCTACGGGGCGGGCCAGGTGGACGTGTGGGACGTATCGGCCGGCGCGGGGGGGCTGACGCTGCTGAAGCAGATTGCAAGTGACGATCCGCTGGGGCCCAACGCGGCGCGCCAGGAGGCACCGCACCCGCACCAGGCGCTGCTGGACCCCAGCGGGCGCTTCTTTGTGGTCAACGACCTGGGCACGGACACGCTGCTCGTGCTCGACACGCGCGACGACGCGTTTGCCGTGGTCAACCGCGTGCGCGTGCCCGACGCCGGCTGCGGTCCGCGGCACGCCGCCTTTTTCCCAGCCACGGGGGCCGACGTGCCGACCAACTACCTCGTGGTGTGCGAGCTGCTGAGCCTGGTCGAGGTGTTTGCGCTCAACATCACGGACGACGGCGACGGCGGCAACCTGACGTTCCAGCACCTGCAATCCATCAGCACGTTCGACCCGCTGCAGCCGCCGGCCAACGCGTCGACGGCGACGGCCGCCGAGATTGTCGTGTCGGCGGACAACCAGCACGCCTACGTGAGCAACCGCAACACGGGCAACGCCACGGACAGCGTGGCGCACTTTGGCCTCACGGGCGCGATCGGGGCAACCTCGGGCGACGCGCTGGTGCTGACGTTTGTGGAGACCATCTCGTCGGGCGGCCTGCAGCCGCGCATGGTGTCGCTGTCGACGACGGACGGCAGCGAGGCGCTGCTGTTCGCCGCCAACCAGGACGGCGCCGCGGGCCTGCTGGCCATTGCGCGGGACAGCACGAGCGGCAACCTGACGGCCGACGCGGCGTCGGCGCCGAGTGTGCCGCTGTCCGTGTTTGGCCCGGCCGGGAACGGGCCGCAGTATGTGCAGCAAGTGCCTATCGTCTTGACGAGTTAGGTGTGCCAAGCAGCGGTGTCTTCATCTTCTTTCAGTTTCAGTTGTAGTAATCCAATCTTTTCATTCGTTGTTGGCACGTAGGCCATATCGTAATGTGTCATAAAACGTAACGTAAGTACAAGGCGGCCAATGTCCCTCACAGCGTCTCCGGCAGGAAGGAGGCACTGTCGCTGCGCACATGCAGCGTGGCTCGCTTGTCTTTGCACGACGGGTCCTGTGCCCCGGGCAGCACAAGGCTCAGGTGCATGCGGCCGTCGGCAGCATGGGCGGCGGCCCGCTGGAGAAGGTCCCGCAAAAAGACGACAAGACGTGCCAAGTCTTGTTGGTTGTCCTCCTCCCACAGCTGCAACCGGCCGGCCACGTTTTCGACGTGCACGTTAGGCTCAAACACGCCGCGCTTGTGGCCGGCTTCGTAGAGCTGGGCCGTGCGGCCAAAGTAGAGCTGGCTGTCGGGCCCGTAGCGGACGTATCGGGCCGACTTGGCGCTAGTACTGAGCCATGCATCCCGCTTTTGCGCGTTAAACGTCTTGACCTCCACTAGATGGTCTGCTGGCACGGGCACAGCCGGGCCACAGGGATAGTCGACCGTTAGGGTGGGTGACGAGAACGCCTGCTTTGTCTCCTCGTCGTCTGCATCCTCCATCAGGACAGAAAACCGCGAGCCCTTCGCCTTGGATCGTGGACTGGCTGGCGTGGTCGTGGGCGTGGACATGGCCAGCTTGGGCGACACGGGCGGCGACAGCGGGAATTGCACTGTTGCTGCGTGTCCCTGCCGATGCGGGTCGTAGTGGCCGTCGGCCTCGCAGTGGACGGCAAAGCGCAGGCCGCCCAGCTCGTAGTACAGCACGCGGTGGTGGGAGAAGGACGTCTGCAGGGCTTCGGGCAGATCGGGGCCAAAGCGACATGTCGCGGCAGCAAAGTTGGTGCCAAAGCCGTAGCTCACATCGTGGTCAGGGTCGTCTTTCCACTGCTGGATAAGGAGGGTGCCGCCAGCTCCGTCGCCGTCTCCGTTTGCCATACCCGTCGGCGATGGTGGGCGCCACTCCAAGTCGCACCGCAACGTCGCGAACGACTTGCGGACCAAAAAGTTGAACAGGCGGTAGATGGAGCCCGCATTGGCCACAATGTCACAGGCACCGTTCAGGACATCCACGTCGGGGCTCATGCACTGCACGGCCCGGACCAGGGGCTCGAGGCCGTGGGTATACGTTGGGTAGAGGCGTCTCTTGTCGCGATCACTGCCATAATCACCGTCGCCGTCGTCGTCGTGGCTGACTCGGATGGCGTGGGTCGTCGGCGGCGAAAACCGCGGCGGACAGCCAGGCACCGCAATCGTGTCGTCAGACACCTTGTTGAAGCTGGCTAGCACCCGTTCGGCCGTGATTCGGACGGGGCAAGTCTGGTCGGTGCTCGTATCCGCCGCATCGTCCTCCGTATCCTTGGTTTTGGCGGCGGCGAGAATGTCTGGGTGTGCGTCCAGACCCTCCAGCATCTTCGACAAGCGCTCCTGGCTCTGGGCAAGTAGAGCTGCCTGGCGGTGGATGCTGTCGGCGAGCTTCACACGGTCTTGATCGGCGTGGAAGTACGTGCATTTGTTCTTGCGAAACTTGACGCAGGTGACGCCATACATGCAGGTGCCTTTGTTTCCGGTGTACTGTCGCGTTGGACGCCAGGGCGTGGACATGGTGCGTTACTTGGAAAAGAGGGAGAAGCAAATGTTAGGTTAATTGGGCGTTGTTTGAGCGTCGAAATGTGGTTGTGCGAACATCGTCGGTATGACACAGGATCGCGACGAGGCATGTTATAGTGTTTTGGCAAAGCAGCTGGTATCGCACACAGTCCGTTCCATGGGGCTCTGCCCAAGGGTCAATCGACAAAACAAAATACGACGCCCGGCTGTCCCCATTCTTCAATCTAGGCCACCCATCATGCGACTGCCCACGAATGTTACGGCAAACAGACATTGGTCGCCAGACATTGTCCAGTCACGTCTGCCAGCCTTGGACTGACGTGGCATGCCTGCAGCCGCCCAGCCTCACTTTTTGCGTCTTTGCGACTTTGTGTCTGCGGTGGTCCAAATGGCAGACATTCGTGGTGCCCCATTGGTGTGACCGTCAGCCGCCTGTTGGAGGGAAGCACACGGCTGTGGGTGGTATCGCGCGCGGCCCAATTGGCGGACCCCGGTCGCTGCAGCCATCATCATCTTCCATCACAGCCCATCATTGCCGTCAGTCTCCGACGCCAGCAGCCACTCAACAAATGAGGCGGAACTCTCCACACCCACCACCGTTGTTTTGTCGCCAGTCGCACCAAATAGTAGGCCCAGAGGCTGCGGGGGACAATCGGCCAAGTGCCGCACGACCGCGTCTTTACGTGGGCCGTGTCCATCGTCCCTCGTGGGAATCGTCGTCGTTGTTGTCGTTGTCGCCTCGTCTGCTTGGATCAGCACGGCGTTCCATCCAGCCGCGTGTGCGCCCGCGACATCTTTGGCCGCCTCGTCGCCTACGTAGACCTTGTCCCAGTCGTCGAGGTCGACCGTTTGGGCCGCTCCCTGGCCGTCACCGCCCAGCACCGTCGGCAACAGGGACTCCGCCGCGCGAAAGATGGCCGGGTCGGGCTTCTCGACGCCGACATCGTAGGACATGCAGTGAAAGTCAATGTCGTAGGCGGCGGCCGAGGAGGATGATGCCAACAAAGGGTCGGCCGTGCCATAGCGCAGCGGGCTGACGCGCAGGCCAAAGGACGACAGAATGCCGGGCACGCGGTCGTCCGAGTTGGTAATGACGCCGACCACGACGCGGTCGTAGGCCTGTCGTTGGGTCCGCCTCTCCTCCTTCCAGGCCCGCAGGCTTCCAACTAGGCCGTCGTCCATGGCGTAGCCGTCGCTCGACGCGAAGCGCGCCAGCAGCTGCGGTGCCAGGCCGGGCGGTAGGCTCCCGGGGACAAACGGCCGGAACGTCTCCTCAATCACCCGCGTCCACCACGCCGTCGCGCCCATGCCGCTCGTCCACCGGCCGTAGTTGGGGTGCGCACGCGACTGCGCCTTGAACGCGGCGCGAAAGGCATCGCGCAGTTCGCTGTCGGGCACGTCCGCGGCCACGCCAAACTGGCGCCGGGCGACGTCGCCGTACTGCCGCTCAATGGGCTGCTTGATGCGGAAGAGCGTGCCGAACGCGTCAAAGCAGAGCAGGAGGTTACGCTTGGCCATGACGCGATGGGATGAGTGGTGATCGATGCACATTGGTGTGTGTGGCGGCATGAAACCGTATTTAATTGGTCTCGGTGCCTGAGCTTTGTTGACACCAGCTGGGTTAGCGCTGAAAAGAAGGCTGTATGACTTACAGCGGCTCAGCAGCAACTTGGCGGGCCAAGCATTAGCTATAGAGACGGAGCATTAGCGCCGTATTCGGTATTAGCAGGAATCTCTACTGCGTAATTACAGAGCATTACCCCTGTCCTGTCACATGTATTGATTTTCATTGGCCGGCGCCAGTCGCATCGCCCAGGAGCCAGGGCAGGCCAGTGAGATGATGAGGGGCAAGCACGTCGCAAGTCGGCACCTTTGCGCCCGTCGTGTCAACAAGGGTCCATGGAAAGGCCCCGCGAGATGACGCAGCACGGTATTTCTGCTACACTTCCCATCGCAGGTACTGCTACCAGCACGCTGTGCGACAGGCACGCGCAAGACGACTCAGACAGATACAGACACGTACACACAGCCTCGCACGATGAGCCTCTCGGTAGAACAAATGGCCGAGGAGAGCCCCGAGGTGGCCGAGGCGACGACGGCCGTGGGCCATGACGCGCACGCAGAGTCGCATTCGAAGCGGGAGCGGCTCATGGGGCTTTTGTAGGTATCTTACCAGTTGCATGTGGCAGCCGTGCTTCGCTGACATGCCACGCAGAAAATCCGGCGTCTCCTACGGCGAAAACCAGCTCCTCAAGGGCAAGCTCACGCTGCAGCACTCGCTCGGCCTCGGCGCCCGGCCCAATGCCATCCCGCCGGCCGACGCGCAGATCCACGGCCCCGAGCGCACCGTGCGCCTCGGCTGGCACCCGGTCGCCGGGCTGGCGGGCAAGTGGTTTGCGGAGAAGACGGGCCTCGGCAAGCTCATCACCGAAAAGGTGCACCACTATCCGGACCCGACGCAGCACTGGGCCGTGCTCGTGGGCGACTACTGCCACGAGCTCTGGATGGACGAGCACCTCGACGTCATCTACATCAACGAGACGGTCGTCGCCGGCGACTGGCACACGTTCGAGGTCGGCAAGACGCACTTCAACGACGAGGCGCTGCGGCAGGCCGGCGAGATGGTCATCTTCAACATGCGCCAGAAGCGGCCGGCGTACAACCTCATCAGCAACAACTGCCAGAACTTTGCGCTGTTCCTGCTCGACGCCATCCAGGTCGGCAAGCACCGCGAGTTTGGCACGGCGTTTGCCGTCTACCAGCGCGCCACGGGCCAGGGCACCATTGCCGACCTGTTTGCGCCCAACGCGCCCGACGAGCCCGACGTGGTCGAGCCGGCCGCGGGCGAGCAGGCGACGGACGCCAGCGTGGCGCAGAAGAAGAAGGACTACTTCCAGGGCATTGTCGACTTTGCCAAGAAGGTCATGGACGACAACACGAAGAAGGTGGACAGCCATGCTGGACACTGAGGAGGGGAGGAGATGGTAGGCGATGGGCCGGGCAAGGCACATATACTTGAGATATACGTTAGGGAGCATACGGTGAGGATGGATGGCATTGTTTCTGGCAAGACCAGCGGTCTTGGAAGCGTTTGTACATCGTAGGTAGTTTAGACATGAATTGCGTGGCCCGGTGTTAGGGCTCGCATTAGAAGTTGGAGCGAATAATTGGCTTTATTTGTGTTTTGTACACCTTTTTGTTCTCCGATGCTTTACGGGCTACAGTGCATCGCACATACTTTACTGGCACCGTCAGGCATGTAACCCTAGCTCTGCTCCGTGAGATCAGCCAAACCCTAACCTACAGATCGTGCGCCAGCGCCCGCAGGTCGTCCTCGCCCATCTCGCCGTCCCAGCCGTTCGCCAGCAGGTATTGACGGAACTTCTCGTCGTTGATGGCCAGGTCCTCGCCCGTCACGTTGGGCACGAAAAAGTACGTGACCAGCATGCCGGCGACGCCGCAGATGGCGGCAATGATGAAGGTCCAGCGCTTGCCCAGGTTGTTCTGGATGGGCGTGAAGGCCTCGGTGCCGACGGCGGCGCCCGTCTTGCCGAGGGCCGCGCTGAGACCGTAGCAGGTGCCGCGGACGGCCGTGGCATAGCTCTCGGAGGACAGCAGGCCCAGCATGTCGCCGGGGCCCAGGTTGCCAAAGGACTGCATGAGGCCGTAAAAGACGATGAAGAGCGGCAGGATCTTGGTGATCTTGTCGTACGCGCAGCCGATGATGAGGCCGAAGATGAGGTAGCCCGAGAAGCCGAGGATCATGGTGTTCTTGCGGCCGATGCGGTCGCACAGAAAGGCGCCGACAAACACGCCCGGCAGCGCGATGACGCCCAGCAGCAGACTCCACTCGGCCGTCTGGAGGATGGAGTTGCCGGACGCGGGCACGACGGACGCGATAATGAGGCCCGAGAAGACGCCGTTGGGGAAGGTGATGAAGTCGTACAGGAACCACGCGCCGCACGTGCCGATCAGGGTCTTCCAGTAGTAGCGCACAATCAGCCGGTAGGGCACGCGCCTCTTGATGGCGCCGCGGCGGTACAGCTTCGAGTTGAGCATCTTGAGGCGGAAGTAGAAGACGGACAGCGGGAACACGACGCCGATGCCCATGCACACGCGCCACACCGTCGATAGGTGGCTCATGCCGGCCGCCGAGAGCACAATCAGAAAGACGATGATGGCCAGGGGCCCGCCAAAGGACAGCGGCAAGTTCGTCACCAAAATAAAGATGGGCCCGCGCTGCGTGGGCGTGCGCTCGTTTGCGGCCTCCGAGGCGGACGTGCTCGACGCCGGGTACTCGCCGCCGGTGCCGAAGCCGACGACGCCGCGCGCCACGGTCAGCATCCAGAACATGCCCAGCGTGGTCACGCCGTGGGCCGTCGTGGCCATGATGCCGCCCAGGACAATCATCAGCGTGGTCACGACGATGGCCGTCTTGCGGCCCATGTAGTCGCACGTGAGGCCGACGACGACCTGGCCGAGGATCTCGCCGACCAGCAGCGCGTTGGACACCTGGGTGCTGACGGCCGACGTGTAGACGGCCGCATACTCCTTTTTGAAGAGCACGTTGCACATGGTCATGAGGTTGTTCTGGTAGCCGTCGGAGATGAGGGCGGCACCCGCGCAGATCTACACCTGTTAGTAGCCGGCAAACTGTGGACGGCGCAACGGTCCTTGGTGGGACGCCACGGAAGACGTACAATCGTAAACAGGTCCGACATGGACTGCTTCTTCGCCGAGACGGGCGCAACGGCGCCGGTCGCGCCATCAGCCTTTTCGTCGCCATCGCGGGCGTCGGCGGCGTCGGTGGCGCCGTTGTGCGCCTGCGCGACTTGCTTCTCGTCGATCTGCTCGAGGCTACTGGCAGGGGCGATTTCTGCCATGGTGTGCCGTAGGTGTACGTGAAGGGTATGACAAGACGATAAAACAAGAACGAAAGAAAAAAAGAAGAGGGAAACGGGGACACCAGCAAGTCTTATCTGTGCGGCCTGGGATCGGCATCCAAAAGGATACGGCCTGCATAGTTCTGCAAGACCGTCTGCACGACGGAAACACTGTCGCCGGTCATCCTACGACTCTCCATGCGCAAGTCACTTTGTACTTGTTTATCTCCACCCGTCGTATTGCTTCGTACAAGTCGCCCAAAACGGCAACTTTTGGTGCACATCCAACTGAATCCCCTCTGCTCCATATTCCTACTCACTAGAGCACTCCTTGCTAGCGCCCCATGCGCGGTACCATTGCCCGTCAAAGGGTCTTTTATCTTTGGATTCGTACCAGCGATCCTTGTCCGATACCCGGTGCTCTCTCGTTCATCCCATTGTTTTGACTTTTGATCCTTTCGGTGCCTTTGTCTGCATCATCGGACCGCAGGCGATTCGTCATTCCATCACGTCGATTTCTCAGTCTGTCGAGGCTACAGTCATAGCCAACAGCCAGACCAGAGTCCGCACTCGTCACCGTAAGCTACATGGCTACTGCTTCGTTGGTGGCCACAAGTACGATGTAGTACGACTTTGCACGCGAAGGACGACATGCTGTTGACAACGGCCAATCTGAGAAAGCAAAAAGCCCACTATCATTATCCATTATTCGTTTACTTCTACCGAGCGTCCATTTGGGCAATCCCAGTCGACGCCAGTGTCCCACGTGTATATATGCTTCATGTGGGCGTTTGTTCACGTCGTAAACTGTCGTAGATACGAGATTTTTGCGTCGACGTTTTGTGGTCGAATACACTTAATACCGCCCGGTTACATTTGCAGTGGGTCGACATTACCGGTGCCTAGCTACACGTTGCAACACCACGTCCAGCACCATCGCCAAGACATAAGCCAGTTTTCTTCCACAATCAGCGCACGTGCACCTCGACAGGGGTTTGTAGATACGACCGCTAGGCCATCAGAGAGCCTCCAACACCAAGGCTAATACAAGTCTGGAGGACCACGGATTTCCGCAGGTTTAAATCTGCAAGTTGGTTCACCAAGACAACAGTCTACGACATAGACGATTTCTCCAAGAAGCCGCCAAGCAACTACCACAGGGCCATCAAAAGCTTGTTTCTACGCCTGCCCACCAAGTCGGCAAAACGTCCCGAACAAAGCCGGACGCTTGGTTCCGGCGAATGGAAAACGGACGATGCCGCGCGGCAGCAGTCGTACTTTGTCTTGGTTTCTTCCACTTGTCTCCTTTTTTCGTCTCCTTTTTTTCTTCTATTTTCCAATCGGCTTTTTTCTTCAAATTCGTTCTGCATTGTGGGGCCTCGTGTGAGATGGGCCAACGAAGGAAGCGGTAAAACGGCACGAAGTAAACATCCAAGGCAGATAAACCAGAACATAACAGATGAGCCTTGTGTGAACGTGCCATGTTGTACCTTACCTCATTGGAAATGGGAGAGAAATTATACAGAGAGATTATAGAGACTCACCAGGGGGATTGCGTGGACAGTCCATTCTTCGAAAATATTAACACGAAAAGAGGAACGGCAGCCCAACGTGTCATAATAACCGGACGAGAATCCATGTTCTTCGATTCGTAAATTGTGTTTCTATCTGGGTATCTTTTCATCCAAGCTACGTCCCACTCCTCCCCTTGTCCACCTCCCTCCTCCCTCTAGTACACTCATATCACCGTAACACCCTCGTAGCCCCACTCCTCGAGACTTGTCGGCTCGACGTCCGCCTCGTCCGGGTCCAGTATCGGGTATGTCAGCAGCGCCGCAATGCCCCCCAGCCCGTCCAGCCGCCGGCCGCCCTCGTGGTCGCTGCTCAGCAGGTGCGTCGCGCCGCCCTCGTCTCGCACCCGGTCCACAATGCCCACGTACTGCCTGCGCGTGGCCACGTCGTCGCTTCGAAAGAGCGCATTGTTGACCAGCAGCGCACCGCCCCCGCGGCCGACGGCGCCCTCCTCGACGGCCTGGGCCACCTGCCGCAGCCCATACGCGACGCGCCCGTCGTTTTGCCGCACGCGCGCCATGACTTCGTCCATGACGCGCGTCTCGTCCTGGAACTTGGCCGTCTTGACGACGGCCGCCACTTCCGGGCTGCGCAGGGCCTCGTGGAGCGCGTACACGTTGGCCGAGTTGGCGTGGACGACGACGGCGTCGCGGCCCATGCGGCGCAGCTTGGCGTCGTCGGCGCGCACGGCCTGGTCGCGGACAAACGCCTTGAACTTTTGCGCGGCAAAACCGGGGCTGGCCAGCACCAGCAGGCGCGGCCCGCTGGAAAAGTCGGCCGCTTCGAGCAGCGCCGCGAGCACCTCCCCATAAAACTGCGGCGTGGGCTTGCTGCTGCCCTCCATGCGCGTCTTGACGAGCGTCTGGTACTCCGTCACCAAGACGACGAGCGCCGTGTTGTGCGTGTCGCCGAGCACCACCGCCACCAGCGCGTCGCCCTTGTCGGTGCGCAGCGCCACGTCCAGCTCCGCCTGGGCCACCGAGTCCCACCCGCCGCTCTCCCGCGCCTTCCACAGCGTAAACGGCCGCTGCAGCTCGAGGTCGAGCGTGTGGTACTGCCCCAGCGATGCGAACGGGTTCTCGACGACAATGGTGCCGTTGACCTGCAGCGCCGACGAAGGCGGGTCGAAGAACGTCGCGGCGACGCGGATCGTGAGTTCGGTGCGCATGCGGTTGGAGCTCGTCGAGCCCGTCGCGGACTCGTCCACGACCTTGCGGATGGCCGTCGCCTTCAGAATGTCGCCAGGGCGGATGAGGTTGTTGGCGTGCCACATGTCTTCGGGCTCCGTGGGCAAGAGTGTGACGCCGGCCTCGCCCTGTGCAGCGTCCGTCGTCGCCGGCTTCTTTCCTTTGACGAGCTGCATTGCGGGTGTGTGAGTGGCTGTGTGTATGTGTAGGAGTATGCTTTATCGTAAAATGGTGTTTCACGGTTAAAACGTCGTTTGGTATTCGAAAAGTAAGCTGTGTGGGTTGAGTGAGTGGTATAATAGAGAGATGGGAACGGTGATGGGATGCAATCGTAACCCCGCATACGTCAAAATGACTGAATGTGTGCCTGCCGGAGTTGGCCTCAGCCTTCCAGGCCGTCTTAGGGGCTCCTTAGCGCGAGGCTGCGCTATAGCCTCTAAGTGACCTGCCCAGGGGCGGTGAAAAAGCGTAAAGTAACAATGTTAACCTATCATAACATACTTTCTTACATTCTGGCTACAAATAAAGTTAAGAGCATTCTTTGTCGCTTCATCAATAAAACCCAAAGTGCAAATCCAAGCCTTCGCCGTCTGCAATGCCAAACTCGACACCGGGCACACCCAGTTCTCCATCCGCCCCGATGCCCGCTCCGACGCCCACGTTGAGAACGTCGGGCAGCTCCTGACCCGACATGCTCCCTGTAAAGCTCCCTGGAAGACTCCCTGAAAGACTCCCGGGAAAACTGCCCTGAAGACCTCCGCTGCCGACACCGCCTCCGCCGCCCATGGGCACAAAGTTCATGCCAAACTCAAAGCTGCCCCAGTCAAAGTTGGTCTGCGCCATCGGCACGTCGTAGGTGCCGTCGGCCCAGTTGGAGGCGATCTGCAGGGCTTCCGCCGACAAGGACAGCGACGAGCGAGCCGAGTCGTCCGAGTGCGCCGGACGGGGCACCGCGATTGGCACTGGCCGGGCCAGTGTGGTTGGCACGGCCGTTGGAGCGCCCGTTGTGGCCACGGTGATCTCTGGCTCGGCTGACCCGCCGCCAAACCGGCCCTCGACCACCTCCACGCTCTGCACCACCTCCCGATCGTGTGCGTCCCTCGCCCGCTCGAGCAGCCCCGACGTGCCGTACAGCTTCAGGTTCGGCGACATGGGCCGCGTCGGCGGCGGGCCGCGCGACATGGGCGGCGGTGTCAGGGGCATCTGGCGCTGGGTGGGCGGCCGGAACTCGTCCAGGTCCAGCAGATGGCCGTACTGCAGCGCCATGTCGCCCACGGCCAGCAGCAGCTTGCGGATCGGCATGGACCAGCGGGCGGTGCGCTTGGCACACTCGAGACAGGCGGCCATGCCGTCCTTGACGCGGGCGTCGTCGAGCGACAGCACCTCTTTGGCGTCCTCCGCCGCCCGGCCGTCGCGCCCCTCGCGCCACCGCTCCATGACGAGGATGCGCATGGCGAGGCAGCTGCAGATCGCCATGAAGGGGTCGTGCTCCGACGCGAGGCCCTGCTGCCGCAGGCATTGGGCGACGACGTGGGCAATGCCGCACGCGTGCTTGAGCTGCTCGACCTTGCAGGCATGGACGAACGCCGGGGGCGGCACGACCGACCCCCGGCGCGCACCACGCCGCGACGGGCTGGCGGCGGGCATATGCCGCCCAACAAAGGTGCCGATGCGCAGCAGGTCGGTGTAGACGGCGTGGAACATGGTGTGGAACGTATAAAAGGCCGTGCGGTCGTGCCGCGGCACGGACGCGTGGCTGCGCAGCTGGTAGGCGGCCGGCAGATCGGCGGCCAGCCCGTCGAGCTGCTGTTTCAGGGCGTAAAAGGCCGAGCCGTCGTGCCACGGCCAGACACGCGTGGTGCCCTTGGCCGCGTCGTGCGCCGCCTCCTCCCGGCATTCTTCCAGCGCCACAGCCGCCGCGCGCATCGCCCACGAGTACTTGAGGATCCGCTGGCGCAGCATGACCATGCTGATCAGGTACGCCCCGATGCTGGGCCGCGCGTGTCGTTCTCGTCCTCGCTCTCGGTCGGCCTCCCCCCGCTCGTACTGCACCTCGTCGCAGGGCAGCCGGCTGTGGATCACCGCCGGGTCGAGCAGGCTTTGCAGCGGCCGCGTCCCGCTCTGGTGCACGTCCGGCACCGTGTCCATGACATAGCAGCTCCAGATGAGCCGGCGCCGCGTCTCCACCACGGACGGCGGCAGCCGCACCGTGTTGCCCTTGCCCTCGCACACGTCCGTCGGCTCCAGGTGCAGCTGCAGCGCGTGCGCCAGCCGGTACGCCACCCCAGACAGGAACCACGCGCTCAGGTGCCCGCCGCGGTGCCACTCGTAGCGCTGGAGGAGCAGCAGCGTCTGCAGGTTCGTCGTCGAGATGCGCGCAAACACGTCCAGCACCACGAGGCCGCGGCACTCGTCGGCCCACGCGTCGGCACGGCGGGACCGCTCGCGGCTGCCGCCGACGGCGCCCATCACCTGCAGCCCTGTGGCCAGGACAATCAGAAGAAGCGACCGCGGGATGAGGCCGTTGTCCAGCATCTTCATAAACGACGGCCGGTGCAAGAACGTCGAGTAGCAAAAGTAGTGCGGGCCGGCAAAGTAGGCGTCCAGGATTTGGAGGAGTTCCTCGCGCGGGACGATGCTGTCGGCGCTAGCGGCATCGTCTACTGTATTGGTCACGTTGTCGCTGGCCTTGGTGTCTTCACTGGCAGGGATGCTCAAGGCGGGCTTGGCCTCGCCGCCCACAGACGACAACGCATCACACGTCGCGCCCGCCTTGAGGCACTGTCCACATCCAGGCCCAGACGACGGGGCCGTACAGCGGAGCTGCACGTCGGGCAGGAATACGTTAGAAAGAGCATCTCACAACGGAGTCGGGAATACGGGAACACGTACCTTCTTATCGCGGCATCGTGCACAGGCACGCCAGTTGCGGGACCGCCGCCGACCGGGCTCGCTGTCGCCCGGCGTCTCCCAGGTGCAGCGCGCGTCCAGCCGGAAGCAGTTGCGGCACACGTCGCGCGTCTCGTCGCACTTGACCTTGCGCTGCCGGCACGTCAGGCAGCCCCGCCGACTACGGCGCGTTTTGACGGGTGAGGTCCTCCGGGCGTCAAAGTTGTCACCCATGTCGTCAGTCGTCCGTCGTACTCCACTAGCCTGTGCTCTGTCATGTAAATCCGCGTGTCGTCTGTCCGTCGATGTGGCAGTGTCGGTCATCCATTCCTACAACAATACGAGGCAGCATTGTCCTCTGCATCTCCACACATCGAGAACTAAAGAAAAGAAGAAATCGAAGGGAAAGGGACTCGACAACGATCAGCCATGGAGTTGACGCCATACTCATGTGACCCCCCAAAGTAATTGTTCGATGGTACAATCTGGCAATCCAGACGGGATGGTCGCGATGGCGTCAACGGGTATTTGTATGCCTGCGCTGGCGTAAGACCCGCTAGCAGCGATAACGATCCTGGAAAACCCTCCGCAACGGACACCACCCCAACCTCAAAAACCTCCGCTAACGCTCCGCTAACACGCTATTCGCTAGCAGCTGCCGCAGGGGTGTGGCTCGCTGTTTTAGGCGGGGTTTATTGGCGCCTCGGCGCCGACTGTTGTGCTTTTGTATCTTACGAATGTATCATGCATGTTGTATTTTGTCATGTTTGCATCATATCCATCTCCGTCGTCGACCAACCAAACCTCCCCGGCGACGCGCCACGCAATGCCCCCATCGTCTGCTCCGCGCGATCCGGCCGGCAAGATGGTCGCCGCTGAAGTGAGCTTCTTTGCCAAAGCCCTGGCCGGCTTCGCCAAGTCTGGCGCGAAGTTTGAGGTTGTTTGCTCCGTCTCGAGACGACATGTCGTATCATCACCAGCCTCCCCCTCCTCCTCGTTACCATCGCCGCTTGTGCCGCCTGCGCGCCAGCGCTCCCAGATCCATAGCCTCGTCATCCTCGACTCCTCTTTCAACCCGCCCACACGCGCCCACATGAAGCTGGCCACCTCGGCATTGCTCGACTGCCTCTGTGCGCCACCACACCAGCTGCTCTCGACGCGCCTTCTCCTCTTGCTATCCGTCAATAATGCCGACAAGGCGCCCAAGCCAGCCTCGTTTGCGCAGCGCCTTGTCCTCATGCTCGCCCTCGCCCGCGACACGCACGCCGAGCTGGCCCAGCACAAGAACGACCGCCTCGACATCCCCATCGACATTGGCCTCACCTCCGAACCCTACTTTCACCACAAGAGCAACGCCATTGCCGTCTCGCCCTTTTACGTCCGGCCCTCGTTTCCCTCGGCGCCCGTCGACCGCCCAACGCCCGACCAGCTGTTTCTGCTCGGCTACGACACCCTCATCCGCCTCTTTGATCCCAAATACTACCCCCCAGCTGACGCAGACGGCGCACCGGCAATACCAGAGGGCCTGCCCGCCGACGCCACGCCCATGCAGATTGCCTTGACGCCGCTCCTGCGCCGCGCCCGCTTGCGCGTCACAACCCGCCCGGACGACCAATGGGGCGACGAAGTCGCCCAGCGGGCCTGGGTCGCCGGCACGGTGGACGCCCTGGGTGGGCCGACGGAGCAGTGGGCTAGTCGGATCCAGCTGGACACGGGGGCTGACCCGGGCACGCAGGCCGTCAGCAGCACCGTGGTACGGGCGGCGTCACAGACCGGCGACACGGAAACGCTGCGTGCGTTGGTCGGGCCAGCTGTCCTGGAGAGACTCGCGATATTAAAGCCGTATTCCGAGGCGCCGTAGAAGCTGTATGTAAAAGCGTGTGCTGTAGCATTTTTCATTTAGCGTATTTTAGCGACTTTCCTGCCCCCTGTAATTTTATCCACAGCGCTTTCGGCGACCGTTGATAGCACCTTGTTTGGGACTCCCAATGGCCCCATGCGCCTATGGGAGCCCTTGTTTGGGACCCATTTTAATTTATTATGTCATCCTTCATTTTGGGGACGACTTTTCTCGACGGGGCTTCGCATCTTGCGATCGTGACCGTTTGGACTTCTGCATCCACCATCTGTCAACGACACCACGCGCCACACATCCCGTCGCCACGATGCTGCCGACTCGAGTTCTCTTCAAGCGGTCGGTCTGGAAAGGTGCGAACTCCTACTCCTGCGGTAGCTCCTTGCCTCACACGACAATGCTAACTTTTTCTCTGTCCTCTAGGCCCACACATTGTGCCGTACGACTCCCTCGTCCCTCGTCCCTCGTCCCTCTCTCCCTCCCTCCTCGTCGTTCTGTTCTCCACGACCCCGCAACCTACTAACACATTCAGTCTTGCCATTCCCAACGTCGAGGCCGGCAAGTCGACGCCCCCGATCCGCACGCAGGCCCGTGCCGCCACCATCCTGCCGAGCTTCATCGGCCTCAAGTTCCAGGTCTACAACGGCAAGGTCTACCACGACGTCACCATTACCGAGGATATGGTCGGCCACAAGCTGGGCGAATTCTCACCGTACGTCCCCTGATCATCACCGAGAATCTGTCAATTCAAGTAGCCGCTAACTTTGCCAGAACACGCAAACCGTTTATCTGGTCGCGCCGTTAATTGGCGCGACTGACGCGAGTGCATAAGCATATATGGATTTGGAGTTTTTCTGTTTTTTTATTTTCCTTGTTAAAAGCAACGACACGACACCGCAGGGAGCCAAGTGTTGGTCCCGCCAAAATGTAAATATATGTACAAAATACAGTTTTTAACACAACCGTCACTCGGAAACAAGTTATTTAGAATAAACGAACGAAGACGACAAAGATAAGAACGCCGTGTAGATGACCCGTGCAGAACCGAATAGGACAGAAAGAAAAAGGTAACGACTCATACAAAAAGCCCCGTCCAACGCCATGCCCGCGTGGCAGCCAGAAACCAGTCCCGACGGCCGTAAGCAAAACACAAATAGACAAAACGTGCTGGCACGCGCACGCCGCCCGGTCTCCCCCCTCACCGGTAAAACTCCCCACGCTTCACATTCACGCCGTACTCGCCCACCGCCATGCCCAGGTCCTCCATCGTCAGCACCGTCCGGTTCTGGCTGCCGCCCTGCCCGCCGCCACCGAACCCCGGCCGCTGGATGCCCAGCGCGCCACCGCGGCCCTGGTCTTTGCTGCCCACGCCCGGCGCGTTGGGCTGGCCCGGCAGGGGGAAGCCGGCCGCCGTGCCCAGGTTGCCCATCGGGTTGTTGCTGTTGCCGCCCGTGTTGCTCGCCCGCACGCGGCTGTACTGGTACGCATCGGCCGCGATGTCGGCGACAAATTTCTGCGTGGCCAGGGCCAGCAGGCGCGCGAGGCGGGGGTCGGTCTGCGGCGGCGGGGGGAGGCCGGCCTTGGTCATGTAGTAGTTGGTGACGGCATCGGGGATCTACTCCTCGTCAGTCTTGCACATTTGTAGATGGATGGAGTACTTTGGATTGGATTGGATGGGGCAACGCACAATGGGAGCGTAATCGTCCATCTTGTTGAGAAAGTCTTTGAGGGAAATGTCCTTGGCCGTGGTGATGGGCCGCGGCTCGACGGCGGCCGTTAGCGAATGCGGGCCCGCCACGGCGTCGCCTGCGAATGCGCCACCACCAGTAGCATGATCGTCCGCGCCCGCTCCAGCACCCGCAGCATCGCCTGCCAACGAGGCACCGCCAGCACCGCCGGCCGCGGCGCCGTTTGCCGCTGGAATGCCGGTGCCATTGCCCGTGGCCTCTTGCTCGGCACCGTTCTGTGTTGACGCCGGGTTGGTCGCCATGGTGTGTGGTTTGGTCTAAACGAGAGAAATATTCGAAAAGAAAGTGAGGGCGGTTGTGATGGCAATGGTCGTGCAGGTTGTCGTCGACGCAATTGCGATGTAAGTGTCGACGCAATTGCGATGCAAGTCGTAGGCGCTGCTGACCGAATTGGGCCATTCGCGCTTGACACCCTTTTCGAGAAAGTCATGTGATATGATGACTAATACTGGTCAGTGACTTTTTGTCTCGGCTCCATCTGTGATGCTTCCGAAACGTTGAAAATAGCATTCACTTTAATTTACTATTATTTCTATTTTTCAGATAATATTTTATGTCTATCATTCAGCTAAATGTGCCTCGGCGTGTTGTTGTGTTGCTGTCCCAAAACATGACTTCGGAGGAGGCACTACCGACAGTTCAACCGATGAGGAGAAGAAGATCGTCGCCTTCTTTCTACTGCGAAGACGGACGGCATTACAGCATCGGACGAAAGAATAAATCTAATTGTGTTCATTAACCGTTTAAGCTCTATGTAATTGCTTTCTTGGAAGTTCTTTTTTTTTTCAGAAAAACGTGAATATAAAAATAAGTCGCATATTTTTCCATGTCTGTTGCTTTTTCTTTTTATTTTGTCTTATTTTGTATCACGCGATTATTTTATTTTATTTTATTAGGAGAGAGTTTCTATTGCTACAGTCACATGAAAATAGCCGCATGTTAAATAAAATCCATTTCTGAAGAGTGACACATACAAACGCAAGGAACATTGTTCCTGCAACGTACAACCCATCGTTATCACGATCCAGGTCCACGACGCTGCGACTGGACGAATAAACTTTCGGTTGCACTCGGTCTCATTGTTCCCCACACACATCGTTGACCCTGCCGAGCCGGCTCAACTGGATGAACCATGTGTCTAGGTGAAATTGCTGTGTTCCCCTCTTCCTTGTCCCCATGCACGAGGTCCCATCCAGGGAAACATGGTTTCTCATCCTGGTACACCTGGCACGGCATCGTCCGTGGAAAAAAGACGAGGGCGGAGGAAACATTTCCGTCGTCCGGTAGGACGAGAATTGACACGTGCAAGCATGTCAACAAAACAGTGAAACTTTTTTGTATAAATAGAGACCGTGGAGCGTGAAACGCTATGAGCGAGATGCAGAAAACCAATTCTGTCTTCATCACTTCGTCTCTTTTGGATGCCAATTCACTGCCAACATGCGCTTCATTGACCTTGTTTGTGGCGCCGCCGCCGTGACGTCGGTGCTTGCTGCGCCGACGACGGAGGCTGCCGGCACCTCTGCGGCCAAGCAGCGCCGCAAGAGCAAGTTCCAGTTCACGGGTGTCAACGAGTCGGGCGCCGAGTTTGGCAACAAGAACCTGCCGGGGCAGCTGGGCAAGGACTACACGTGGCCCGTGAAGTCGACCATTGACGTGAGTACGCTGCTCTTGTCTCCATGTCGAAGAGAAAGGGGACAATGCCATCTAACAGATCCAGACTTTGACGGGCAAAGGCTTCAACATTTTCCGCATCCCCATTATGATGTACGCAAGGCCCCGTTGGAACAAAAGCCGTGACATACTCTCCACATACTAACAGACCTAGGGAGCGCGCGATCCCGACGAAAATGACGGGGACCATCAACGACACCTACTTCCAGGGCCTGACTGACGTGAGTATTCTTCGTGTAGTGTGTGTGTGTGTATGTGTATGTGTGTTGTCTCAACGCTGACACAGACTGCCCTGTATAGATCGTGTCCTATGTCACTGGAAAGTGAGTCGCCATCATAGAACAAAACGGGATGCGCAATGCTTGGACTGCATAGTTGTCTAACGCTGTAATGTACATTAGGGGCGCGTATGCCATTGTGGACCCGCACAGTTTTGGCCGCTACTACGACCAGGTCATCACCGACACGGCCGGGTTCCAGGCCTGGTGGACGACCGTCGCGGCCCATTTCAAGGACAACGCCAAGGTCGTCTTTGACACCAACAACGAGTACCACGACATGGACAACACGCTGGTCGCGCAGCTCAACCAGGCCGCCATCGACGGCATCCGCGCCGCGGGGGCCACGTCGCAGTACATCTTTGTCGAGGGCAACTCGTGGTCGGGCGCGTGGCACTGGGTGTCCAGCGGCACCGCCACGGGCATGGCCGGGCTGACAGACCCGTCCGACAAGATTGTGTACGAGATGCACCAGTACCTGGACGCGGACGGCTCGGGCACGTCGACGGCGTGCGTGAGCAGCACCATTGGACGGGAGCGGCTGCAGGAGGCGACGGCGTGGCTGCGGGCGAACAAGAAGCTGGGCCTTGTGGGCGAGACGGCGGGCGGCGCCAATGCGCAGTGCATCGGCGCGCTGACGGACATGCTGTCGTACATGCAAGACAACGCGGACGTGTGGAGCGGGTGGCTGTGGTGGGGCGGCGGACCGTGGTGGGGCGACTACATGTACGGCATGGAGCCGCCGAGCGGCACGGCGTACACGGGCGTGCTTCCGAGCCTGGTGCCGTACATCTAGGGGGGTGGACATGTATGTATTTGGTGACGAACGAATAGATTGCCGTCGTCACCGTCAAGGCCAGAGACTATCGTACATGAACAACCAGTCGTCCCAGTAGCTTGTGTAGTTGCCCACGAGACGGCTCCGTGCATCACCACGTTCGTTGACCGGCCATGGTCGCGCGTAGACGCCGTCCGTTTGCGTGTCCGCACGAAGATGCCGCTTGGCGGCAATGGTCATGCTGAAGGAGCTGGGGCTGACGCCGAGAAAGAAGGCGCTGCGGACAAGGACAACAAAGTCGACGACGGCCTGCTGGTCCCATGTGAGGGCGTGCAGCTGCTGCGCCAGCGTCGGCTGCCGGTCGAGAAGGGCGTCCTTGGTGACCACGCGGATGCCCTGTTCGAGGGCGCGCTCGGCAAACTTGGCGGCCTCGGTGGCGTTGCCCGTGGCGAGGTAGACGGCGTGCGTGCGCCCCGCCAAGAGCGTTTGGAGAAACGCGCTGGTCTGGGTCTCGAACGTCGGCCAAAACGCCAGGGCGTCGCTCTCGGTGCGGAGGTGGACGCCGGCAAACTGGGCGCCGCCCGTCTTCGCCATGGCCGCCGCCACCGCGTCGCCGAGCTGGAGAAGGTCACGGCGGAACCGAAGCAGCCCGCCAAAGGTGTTGGCAAGCGCCGGGCCGTCCTTGGCGACGGGCCACTCCCACTGCACGCCCCATACCGGCTGAAACAGGCGCGGATGCGCCGCGCTCACCGGCGGCAGGTGGAAGTCGGCGGCCGTTTCGGCGAGCAGCGCATCGAAGCGCGTCCGGAACATGTCGGTGTGCCGGTTCACGTCGCGGTGGTCACACCCGCCGCGCAGACCCAGGGCCTTGGGCTCAAGCGGCTCGGCACGCCGGGGCGCCAGGTGTGGCACGGCGGCCGTGCTGTCGTAGACCGTGATGGCCGGGCACGCCTCGCGCAGGCCGCGGCGAAAATGCGGCTCGTCAAAAAAGTAGCCAAACGGCTGCCGGCCGCCAAAGAGCTGGGCCAGATTGGTGTCCGACCGCGTCTGAATCTCCGGCAGCACAAGCCCCGTGGCACCGGCGGAAAGGGCGTAGCGCAGACAGGTCAGGACAAAGTTGCGAATGTTGCCGATGCCGCCCGAGTTGTTGCTGCAGGCAAAGACGAGGCCGGGCGTCCAGCTGGTCTCGCGGCAGAGGCCGGCGAGGGGCCAGGCGACAAACGGCGCGTCTGGGAGGGAGAGATCGGTGTTCCGCTGCCATGTGCCATGCAGTGTTGGGCTGGCGATCCGCGGTATGCGGTGAAGATGGCCGACGCCACTGATGCCAAGGAACAAAAAAAGGCCGAGCACGACTGCGACGGCGTAGATATAGACGAGCCGGAGCCGCGGTATCCAGCCTGCACTTGACAGGCGGCGCGCGTGTCGGGCGAGGCTGTTCAGGTCCATGGCGTGTGCGATGGTGGTGGCGATGCAATGACGCGCATCAAAGACGCCAGAGGATGAAAAGCAGGTGCAGAGCAGACTCTTGACAGTCGTCACTTGACGACGCAGACGCAAACAAGTTACAGCGCCTCTGGTTTCCGGCCGGGTAAATGGGCGCGGGACGGCGCATCCGCAGGGGTAGGCACTTGCATATCCGGTCAGTTTTCGTGTTCCGTCCAATTTGGGTCCCAGTTTCAAGATGATCTGTCGAAGACAGACGGACGTGAGTGGTTGACTTTTTACATTTTCATAAAATCTGTTTTGGTTGACGTCGTTCCACAAGGGGCAAAGAGAAGTAAACATGATGACTTAGCCGTTCAGTTCTCCAGTTATCGCGATAACGACTTATCGATAAGAAAACTTTTTTTTTGGTAGGTGTGTCGGTGGTTATGGTGGGGTGTTAGTGGGCTCGGTGGGCTACAGCAGACATCTAGTGGCGATCATGGCTCCTTGCAGCGCGCGCAAATAACAAATTCCCCTCCAATCTTCTCGGATTCTCACGGCTTTCCTCCCAATTCCGCACGAAGCCTTCTTCCCAAACGAGATAAATACACAAAATGTCCAAGCGCACGGCCGACGACGAGGAGGGTGGCGTGGCCCTCAAGGGCGGCGACCGGCCCATGGACATTGACAACGACAACGAGATGGGCGAGTTTGAGGACGAGTTCGAGGACGAGTTCAGCGACGACGAGATTATCGAGGCGGGCGTCGACGGCCGGCCCGATGCAGAGCGGGAGGCAGAGGAGAAGGCGGCGGGCGCCATGGACGTGGACGGTGCGCCGGCCGGCGGCCCCGGCACATTCATTGTCGGGCGCACGAAGCTGGAGCCGGGCCAGGTGCTGGCGCCGGACCCGAGCGCGTACGACATGCTGCACAGCCTCAGCACGCCGTGGCCGTGCCTGTCGTTTGACTTTGTCCGGGACCAGCTGGGCGACGCGCGCACGGCGTACCCGGCGACCATGTACACGGTGGCGGGCACGCAGGCGCAGGCGGGCAAGGCGAGCGAGAACCAGCTGATGGTGCTCAAGTTTAGCAGCCTCGGCAAGATGCAAAAGGACGGCGGTGGGGAATCGGACTCGGACGACGACGAAGACGGCGACGACGACGGCAACGGCGACGGCGGCGTCGACAGTGACCCCATCCTGGAGAGCCGCAGCATCCCGCTGGCGTCGACGACCAACCGCATCCGCGCGCACCAGGTGCCGTCGGCCGACCCGTCGCGGCCCCCGACAACGCTGACGGCCACGATGACCGAGTCGTCGCACGTGCTGGTGCACGACATCTCGCCGCACCTGGCGGCTTTTGACACGCCCGGCACGGTCATTTCCACGCAGCAGAACAAGCCCGTGTCGACAATTCGCGCGCACAAGAGCGAGGGCTACGCGCTTGACTGGTCGCCGCTGCACCCCGCTGGCAAGCTGCTGACGGGCGACAACGACGGCCTGATGTACGTGACGACGCGGACGGACGGCGGCGGGTTTGTGACGGACACGCGCGCGTTTGTGGGCCACACGGGCAGCGTCGAGGAGATCCAGTGGAGCCCGTCGGAGGCGTCGGTGTTTGCGTCGGCGTCGAGCGACGGCACGATCCGCGTGTGGGACGTGCGCAGCAAGAGCCGGCAGGCGGCCATCACGGTGCAGGTCAGCGACACGGACGTCAACGTCATGAGCTGGTCGCGGCAGACGTCGCACCTGCTGGCGTCGGGCGCCGACGACGGCGTCTGGGGCGTCTGGGACCTGCGGCAGTGGAAGCCGTCCAGCGCAGGCGCAGGCGCGGTTTCGAAGCCCACGCCGGTGGCGCGCTTCGACTACCACAAGGAGCAGATTACGAGCGTGCAGTGGCACCCGACGGACGACAGCATCGTGGCGGTGGCGGCGGGCGACAACACGGTGACCCTGTGGGACCTGGCGGTGGAGCTGGACGACGAGGAGAGCCGCGACACGGCCGGCGTGCAGGACGTGCCGCCGCAGCTGCTGTTTGTGCACTACCACGCCAACGTCAAGGAGGTGCACTGGCACCCGCAGGTCCCGGGCGCGCTGGTGGCCACGGGCGACGAGTTTAGCATTTTCAAGACGATCAGCGTGTAGGTGAGGGGGGTGAATGGGATGGATTGCAGGTGGACGAGTCATATCAAAGCTAGGTCGTTTTTTTTTTTTTTTTTTCCTTTTCTAATTTCGTCTTTTGTTTGTTTGCTTGCTTCTGCTTGGGAGTAATTGGCCCCAACTGGCGCCACTCGATTTGAATCATCCTTTACGTTGTCAGTCTGACATGTAGCAGTGAGCAAGGTGCATCGTGAGCTGGTGGTCTGTGGCCACTGCGAGTTTATGTAGTATAAAAGCTCGTGTTCTCGCCATCGTATTTGCCAGGACTCTTTGATACGGCAGATTCGCCCCCCGGCATTGCATGACGACACACATCCACATCAATGCTTTTGTTGTACTTTGTTCCTGCTCAGACCATGAGCGGATATCCACTTCAACAAGCCATCAACCCCCAGCTCGCCTACGGCGCCCCGTCGGTCGTCTACCCGGCCCAACAATCCATTTACACGTCTGTCAATCCTCACATGCCGGGCCGGGCCGTGCTTGTCCAGCCGCAACCGTACGGCATACCGTGCAACCATGCCCCCGGAGCCACGGCCTGCTGGATGCATCGTCCTGCCGGTGAGCTGATGCAGCTGCCGGCGCCAGCACCGGGTCGACCAGGACAATGGATCCAATGGTGCAACGGCGCCGTCACCTGGCTGGCGGCACCCATTGAGACTCTTTAGGAGATAAATTTGCATTACTTTCCATACGATCGTACTTCATACTTTGCACTCCATAATAATGCATTGCGTTTCTTGTATCAGTATTTTCTCCACCGTAGGATCACTCGTGCCCCGTGTAAAGCTGAACAAACGGGGAGATGTGTTCCTTCGACCCTACCGTTGGGGATTTAGGATATCTTGACTGTTCCTTTGTCACAGCGTCAGTGAGTTCATGCGCTAGTGAATCACTAGCATCACTGGCACCGAACAGCCGACCCCGCAGCCCGGGAAAGCTTCCCCAGACCCGCCAACGGTCACTGAATCAGTGGCCATGAGCCGCGGGACTGGGCGGCTTAGAGACAGACGAGGACAGACGAGGACGGTGGTTGTAAAATGTGCTGCAAGAGGCCAGCTCTACTTCAAGGTGTTATTCTTTCTTTTTTCTTTGTGTCCCTCCAATATCCCAATTATCGTTTGTACGGCATACGACAGCACTGTTTTATTTATTTGGTATGTCTAATTAGGGTGCTAATGGGTCAACGGCAGTGTAGTCCAGCGGGCGACATGCCTGTGGACACGCACCGGAAACCCCTAAATTCACAAACCCGCTGTACTTCTCACTTACACTTACACAGAAGCGCCGATCGTCAACAGTGTTGACAGTCCCTTTCTCCCACCACACAGACGCAACCGTCACCCACCATGTCCCGTCAGTTTGTCTTTGCCCGCCTGCCGCTGCACACGGCCCAGAAGCGCGACGAGCTCCTCCGGGTCGTCGCGCCCGTTACGGCGTTTGCCCACGCCGGCGAGCCGGGCGTCAGCAAGTACGCCGCCCTCGTGGCGCGCGACGACCCCACGGACGCGGCCCTGTACATGATTGAGGAGTACGACGACCAGGCCGCGTTTGACAGCCACGTGGCGACGGACAACGTGGGCCGGTTTGTGCAGTGGCTTGGGGTACCGGGCCACGTCGACGGGGCGCCGATCGTCCGGTTTACGGCGCACACGGACCTCGAGTACGTGGCGCCGCAGCTCGGCACGGCGACCGATGCGTATGTCGTGGTCAACACGTTCCGCGTACCGAACAAGGACGTGCGCGCGCAGTTCGCGGGGGCGTTCACGGCCGCACGTCGCCGCGGCGCGCTCTGGTTCGGCGTGTACACGGACAAGGAAAAGGGGTCGGACGTGGTGGTGACGGCCGAGGCGTACGGCAACGTCGCGGGCTATGCGGGCCCGGCGTCCCTTCTCGGCGCGGGGGCACACGTGGCGTCGACGGCGGTGTTGCAGGTGAAGCACGGCTTTTTGTACAAGCGGGGAGTGACAAGTTCATTGTAGTCGTTGGTAGCAACTGTACATAGTTTTCCAGACGATACACCGTATCGTGACGACGTCATATTGAAATCAAAAGACGAGTCAGTGGTGGCTCTGCCGTAGCGATAGGATCAAGAATAGACGAAAGACCGCGTTCCACGCTGTGCTCGTTCCCTGCAGGCATCCATCCTGTCGTTTGTCGTGTCTGGAGTGCGGTCATCCATGGCGAGTGGACGACCGCTTGGTGAATCATTAGCGCGGCGAGGACGAGTCGTGTTAGTGGCAATGTGTGGCCCAAGACAACACCCAACGGGCCATTCCACAGTCGGAAACGCGGCTCATGAGCGATGTCGACGAGACAGAAAGTGAGGAGAAGCTGTGTAGCGTGGGAGGATGGCGGGAGGAGAGACGCGAGATGAGATTCGTGTTGTGTGTGCGTTTTGGCTAATGACTCTCGAGACTTGCAAGAAACAAGTGAAATCAAATGAGAGCGGCCATCTGTCATCTATTGATATTTAAGCATCGTCAGTTCTTTCTTTCCTTGATTTCCTTTTGGTTTCTTTGTTTCTTCCGTCATACACTCGCATTTCTCTTCGTCATCTTCCTCTTGACCGCCCATTTCCTTCCCACATCATCGCATCACCACACCACCACCACCACCGTCTCACCATGGGTTCTGCCGGTGAGGTCAATGCCGCCAACGGCGCCAGCACGCCCAAGCGGCCCATCCGCATTGCCGGGTGCTCTGGCGGCGTGTACGACCGCAAGCGGGCAATCCACGACATGGCCAAGTTCGAGGACGTCGACGTGATCACGGGCGACTGGATGTCCGAGTGCAACATGACGCTGCGCGGGTCCGACAAGCGCGACCGGCTGGCGCAGAAGAAGATGACGTCCGGCTCGACCGAGGTCGCCAAGGGCTACGAGCCGTATTTCCTCGAGGAGCTGGACCCGGCGCTGCCCTGGCTGGCCAAGAAGGGCACCAAGATTGTGGTCAACGCGGGCGCATCCGACGTGCACGGCCTGGCGGCGGCGGTGCAGGCGCTGATCCAGAAGCACGGCGTGGCCCTCGCGGTGGGCGTGGTCGACGGCGACGACGTGACGGACGCCGTGCTCAAGCTCTACAAACAGGGCGAGCCGTTCCTCAACCTGCCGGCCAACAAGCCCATTTCCGAATGGGGCTTCGAGCCCCTCTGCGCGCAGTGCTACCTCGGCGGCACGGGCATTGCCGCGTGCCTCGCGGGCGGTGCGGACATTGTGCTGTGCGGGCGCGTGGCCGACGCGTCGGTGACGGTGGGCGCGGCCATGTGGTGGCACGGCTGGACGCGCGCGGACCTCGCGGCGCTGGCGGGCGCGCTGATGGTGGGCCACATTATCGAGTGCAGCACGTACGCGACGGGCGGCTACTACTCGGCCTTCAAGGACCTGGGCGAGCACGACCTCGACATGGGCTACCCGATTGCGGCCGTCGACCACAAGGGCGAGGCCGTCATCAGCATGGAGAGGAACCGCGACGGCCTCGTCAACATCGAGACGGTGGCATCGCAGCTGCTGTACGAGATCCAGGGCCCGCTGTACTACAACTCGGACGTGACGGCGTCCATTGAGGACGTGCGCCTGGTCCAGGTCGGCCAGAACGAGGTCCACGTCTCGGGCGTCAAGGGCCTTCCGCCACCGCCGACGACGAAAGGTGTGTCCCTTTGGTACCTACTGTGATTTTTTTTTTGTACCCCTGTTTTCATTTACTAACCACGGACCCCCAGTCGGCATCACGGCCAAGGGCGGCATGCAGGCCGAGTTCCACTTCTACCTCACCGGCCTCGACATTGCGGAAAAGGCGGCCATGATCGAGCGCCAGACCAAGGCGCGCATGGGCGCGTACCTCGACAAGTTCAGCTGCCTCAAGTTCACAATGGCCGGCGCCGTGCCCGCCGACCCGGCCACGCAGGATGAGGCCACCGTCGACCTGCGCATCTTTGCCCAGACGCGCGACCCAGACCTGCTGGCCGGCAGCTCCTTTGTCGACTCCGACCGCGGCTCCTTTGCGCGCTTCTGCATCGAGAACCTGCTGCAGAGCTACCCCGGCGGCACCATGGCCCCGGACATGCGCACCGCCATCGGCCGCCCCTTCTTCGAGTACTGGGTCGCGCTGATGCCGCAGGCGCTGGTGCACGAGACCGCCCACCTGCCGGACGGCACCGTCCAGCACATCCCTGCGCCTACGGTCACGCAGACGTTCCCCCGCGAGCAGCCCAGCTACGACACGGCGGATCCGGTCGACCTCGCCCAGTTCGGCCCGACGACGCGCGCCCCGCTCGGCTACGTGGCGCTCGGCCGCTCCGGCGACAAGAGTTCCAATTGCAACCTCGGCCTGTTTGTGCGCCGCGACGACGAGTGGGCCTGGCTGCGCACGGTCCTGAGCACGGCCAAGCTGCGTGAGCTGCTGGGCAAGGACAACGTCGGCCGCCCGATTGACCGCTGCGAGTTCCCCAACATCCGGGCCGTGCACTTTCTGCTCAAGGACCACCTGGACCGCGGCTTCAACTCGACGTCGGGCCTCGACTCGCTGGGTAAGAACCTCTGCGAGTACATCCGCTGCAAGTACGTGGACATTCCCGACAAGTTTTTGGCGCGGGGGCGCATCTAGCGGAGGCACACAGCGGAGGCACACAGCGGAGGCACACAGCGGAGGACTACACGTTTCGCGGCAGCGCGAGACGGCGAGCGAAGCGAGGACACCCAACGTCAAAGCTTATATGTTATACGTGGTCGAATAAATCAGATACAACAAAAAAGAAGAACACATACGTTCCGTTGGTGGAAATGCAAAACATGGAAATGCAAAGTAATGTCAAAGCGCATCTGAAAAAGGCGAGGAGGCTACGAGTGAGCAAAGAAAGTCAATATACGGGTAGACAACAAATCCAAAGAGGGTATTGATTTGCATGTTGGTGCAGACAAGTGGACAAGTGGAGGGATAACTGGACCGTGGGAATATCCAGACGAAAGGAATGGAAACGATGTCGACCATGGAATACACACGGAACACGGATGGAATGCCAAAAGAAGAAAAAAAGAAGAGCAAACGAGGAGACAATGTGCACGGAAGTCAATAAAATGGTGGAGCCAACGAGCATCCCTGAAAATGTTGATGACAGGACCTTGCATGGCCAGACCAAGCTTGACCAGGGGCATTCTCGGGTGATGCGACGCTGATGGGAGAGGGGAAGAGGGGCTCGAGGCAGGCGGAGGACAACAAGTAGAAAGAATTAACACAAAATCCACCCGGCCCAAGGAATTGTAGCTCTGGGATAGCACCAGGATGCAGCGGAGAAATACGACTGTTATGTGCATTCAGTGACCCTGCCCCTCTACAAGCTGCAGGTGAAGTGACAGGGTCGAGGTAAGAAAGAAGCAAGTCGTAACAAGAAAAGATCGTGATAGCAAAGCAGCAGCGCGGAGAAGGCGGCTGCGGGAGACGGCACGGGTCGACGAGAAGAGTGGTCGCCGACTGAATGTCTGTTGGGTTGAGTATGGCTGGTGAGACTGCCCGGCTTGTCCCTTTACGATGTACGTCCTCCATCATACCGTTACATCCCTCCACTTACACAGGACAAAAAAAAGGTGCATGCTCAACTCGACTACAAAATGGATGCGTCCCGTCTCGTCCCGTCTCGCCCTGGTTTCTTGCCCAGGTCCCACGGATGAACTGCACCGCCTTACCGCCTTGTCTGTGTCGTTGATTTGCTTTTGTCAATGTCCTCCCTGCTGTCGTACGATCCGTGTTGAGAATACGTCGCCCCGCTGATTTTTCTTGCTATCGTCACCGACACTCTGCATTTACTTCCATAATGGTCGTCCTGCCCACACGCGCACGGGGTGCCGGCTGCGGTCTTGGCCTCCTCGGCCTCGTGTTGGCGGCGCCAGCGCTCGCCCGCGTGGTGCCCAAGCACGCCACGCTGGTCGACCGCGCCACGGCCTCGTCGACGACGTACGACTTTGTCATTGCCGGCGGCGGCATTGCCGGACTGACCGTGGCCGACCGGCTGACCGAGGACCCGTCGGTCACGGTGCTCGTCGTCGAGGCAGGGCCGCTGGACCGGGGCGAGGACGCGGTGCGGGTGCCCGGCGCGTACAACCCGGGCGCGTACCTGTGGCCGAACCTGTTCTCGGTGCCGCAGGCGGGGCTCAACAACGGCGTGTACTTTGCGGCGACGGCGCGCGTCGTGGGCGGCGGCAGCACCGTCAACGCCATGATTTTCCTCCGCGGCGACAAGGACGACTACGCCGGGTGGACGGCGCTGGGCAACCGCGGCTGGGCGTGGGACGATCTGCTGCCGTACTTTTGCAAGAGCGAGAACTTTACGTTCCCGGCGGCCGCGTTTGCGGCGCAGAACAACATCTCGTGGACGGCCCACGTGCACGGCACGGCCGGCCCCGTGCAAGCGACGTATCCCAACTACCGCTTCCCCGGCAGTGGCCACTGGTACGAGGCAGCCGTGCACGCCGGCATCGCGCCCGACACCGACCCCAACGACGGCTCGGTGCGCGGCGTGTTCTGGCTGCCGCTGGCCGAGGACGCCACCACGCGCACCCGCAGCGACGCGCGCGCCAATCACTACGACCGGGTGGCCGCGGCGCGCCCCAACTACCACCTGCTGCCGGGCACGACGGTCAGCAAGGTGCTGTTTAGCGCCGGCAAGAAAGCGACGGGCGTGCAGCTTGTGGCCACCGACGCGTCGAGCACGGCGCCGACGACGGCGACGGTGGCGGCGTCCAAGGAAGTGCTGCTGGCGGCGGGCGGTCTGCACACGCCGCAGCTGCTGCAGCTGTCGGGCATCGGCCCCCAGGCGCTGCTGGCGCAGTTTGGCATCCCCGTGGTGGCGGACCTGCCGGGCGTGGGCCAGAACTTTCAGGACCAGCCGACGATCCCCATGACTTACAACTGTACGTTGCAGGGGGGGGAGGAGCCGAATGGCAAGCAGCTACTAACCTGTCTGCAGTCACTAACAATGTGTCCCCCAACTGGGGCTCGCTCCTCAACAACGCCACGTACGACGCCGCGCAGTATGCCCGTTACGAATCGTCCAAGACGGGGCCGTACACGCTCGTCCGTACGCTCAGCACCAACTTTGCCGCCCTCGCGCTCCAGGACATCACCCCCGACTACCAGGCAATCGTCGCCGCCGCCCGTGCGCGCAACGCCACCGCCGCGCTGCCCACCGGCACCGACCCGACGGTCGCCGCCGGCTATGTGGCCCAGCGCGCCGTGCTGCTGCAGCAGCTCGCTGGCGAGGCCGCGGTCGGCGGGCTCCACTGGAACACCGACACGGCCAGCACGCTGTACGCCTTCAAGCCGTTGTCGCGCGGCACTGTGGCCATCGCCTCGGCTGACGTGCGCGACGCGCCCCGCATCGACTACCGCACCGCCACCGACCCCACCGACCTCGCCGTCTACGCCGCCCTCCTCCGCAAGAACCGCCAGCTCATGGCCGCCCCCGCCATGGCCGCGCTCGGCCCCGTCGAGACCGCGCCCTTTGGCCCCGGCGCCACGTCCGACGCCGCCGTGGCCGCCGCCCTCGTCGCCGCCCTCAACCCCACCAACGGCCACGCCTGCTGCACAGCCGCCATGCTGCCGCGGCGCCTCGGCGGCGTCGTCGACGCCGACCTCTGCGTCTACGGCGTCACGGGCCTGCGCGTCCTCGACATTAGTTTCTGGCCGTTCCCCGTGGCCGGCGCGCCGTCGGCCACCATGTACGCGGCGGGCGAGAAGATGGCGGCCGTCATCAAGGCCAAGTACGGGCTGTGGTAGTGGAGGGGGTGGGGGAAAGAAGGGGGGAGGGGGGGGCGGGGGGATGACTGTATGATGTGGTGAGGAACAACGAGCTGGCTGCTTGGTATGTGGCGTGTTGTCAACTTTGTTGGCGTTGCCTTTCGTTAATGGAACTCACATGGTAGACTGTGATCGAAAGTGACAACCTCCCAGCGAAAGAGCCTAACTGTTGACAAAGAATGGAATAAAAACGACAGCATCTAGGGCATGCCTCCGTTCTGCGCGGCCGCCAGGTCTCGAGCATCTCAACAATCTGCACAAGCATGGGCCATGTGACCCCCATCGACCGCTGCATGCATGCTGCCCGATGTCGCTCGTTTGTGACACGCCATCTGTCACGTTTACGTTTGCTTTCCTGGATGTCTGCCACACCTCCACGCCCCTGCAGTGTCAACCCACGCCGCTCACGTCACGTCCCACGTCCCACGCGGTGTCCTGCTACGGCCAGCGCGACACAGCTCTAGTCACAAACAATGTCTGCTTCTCGACGGAGTAGGCCGTACGCCTTCCGTATTCTTCCGCAGGATTGTCACTCTACTTAACGGGATGCAAGGTATGATACGTGTCCTCGTATCTCTTCCTTGCGTCCTTCAAAACACCAGATAACGGTCAGCACTGCCGGCCCAGAAGGCTTAGCCAACGTGTAATTTCCGTGTCTACCACGTCGACCAGCATTGTAAAAGACCAGCTGGCAACTGAAGCGGTGCTTTGGAACAAACCAATATTTCACAAGGAGGCAACGTAGGAAGTAGACTAGCTATGATACCGCGTGTGTCAACTGCAGTAAAGTTGAAGTCATTTACGGAGTGTATTGATTGCGTCTATGCCGCTGTTTTTGAATTCAATCCTTTACTTTGTGGATTATTTACGACACTTAAAGATAAGGCATGCAAAAGTAATGGCCTCACCAAAATATCTTGAAAAATATTAGATTAAATTAAATCACAACATAAATCCGGCTCAAGCAACACTCTCTAAGTTTTGTATTTATCATATTCACGTATTCTTTACAAAATCCCTGAAAACAAAGCTGAAGGCTGACGGCCCCCACTCAATGCACGATGCACCATACAACATACATGAGACGCAAGGCAACGGAGGCGGTGAACACAATGTACTGCAGACATGCAAAACAAAGTGGTCATGTGCCCCCTCTCCCGATTTGCTCACCGAGCCTCGCCGGACACGTCTGTCGTGGTTGTCTGTCTGCACCCATCTGCATCTGTTTACATCTGCAGTCTCTTTTCATCGGCTTGCATGTAAATGAGGCGTCTTCTGCTCACATGACTGTTTGTGCAAGTCGGGGTCGGCGCTCATTGGCCAGTTCATTCCAGCAGCAAGCGTCCAGACCACGATCTGCGCTTCATCCCACGCAGCAGTGCTCCAGGCGTGCTCCAATTTAACTCCAAAAATGCCCCAACAGCCTCTAACATGCCGCTCCCACCTCTCTTGGGATAAGATACCATCCCGCGTCAGCCCTGGCATCCCACACGTTCGGTGCGTCGATACGCCGACGCATCTCCAACTGCACATCCCTTTGACTCCATTGCTGCTTTTGTTTTGCGTCTCCCACGTACATCCTCGACGCGCACAATGTTTGTCACTCTCCATTGGATGCGCCTTTTCTTCACTCCCCATCTTGCTTTGTCTCTCACTCTCACGTCTTGAACGATCGACAAACTACCACCACACCATTGGCCCTTACTGCATCCACGACGTAATGGACAACAAAGAGACTCGGCCGGGCCTAAAACGTGTCCGTTTCGTAGGCCAGGCCCTAATGTCGTAGGCCAGGCCGAATGGTCTTGACGCAATGCCCCGAACCCCCCCAGAATCAGCCACCGGATCTCCGCCCCGAGAGCCTCCCGCCCCGATGATGGAGGGGGACTCTCGCCTTCTAGAATCGCCATGACAGCATCAGTCTGAACTGGGACCGATTTGGGCCACAACTGGGACCGATTTGGCCAATTGTGCTCCAACATGGGTCCAGCGGTGGCACTTGCACATGTCAGTGGCCGCCGCTTATCTGCAGGACGTGGTTAGCGTTGGATGACTGAATTCTGCCAGCTTTTTTTTTTCGGCTTTTATTTTACTTGCCATATTCTCCGACCTTTGACCTCGTCCCAACAAACTCCCTCCCAACTGGCCAATCGTATGAATCCTGCCCCTGTTTTCCGCGGTCTTCTTTTTGAGTTTTTCTCGACGAACCCACCACGTTATCGTGCTGCCTCCCTCCCCACGCAGTCAGCGTCCATTCTTGTCCCTTTTTGTCTTTCTTTTTCTTTTTTTCTTTTCTTGTTTTTTCTCTCATTTTTTTTATTGCCATCCCTCGCTTCCTTCACCGACAGCCAACTTGAAAACCGACAACCGATGGCCGGGCCGAAGTGCCCGACAGACCGTCTGCCCGGTGTACATCCAGGGCAAGTCTAGATCGTAGCATGGAGCATTGACGTAGCCTTGTGGCAACGCACCGCCTCGTCTTGCCTCTTCCATGGACAACATGCCCCCATTGAGTGACCTGCACCCTCTGTAGCCTGTCATCGTAGCGTGGGCGGCACCTTCCCGTAGTGATCCAGCGATATCCGGAGCTATCCAGTCGCATCGCCCCAGTCGTGATTGTAAAAAAAGGGAAGGTGCAGTCCACTCCCCCTTCCTCAAGTTCTTTATCATCTTGCCCTTATCCCCTCCCCACCTTCCTCTTTTCCTCTCTCTGGGCCTTCCTAATCGATAGCGCATCGCCAGTCTGGGGCACACTCCCACCTTTCTCCTCTTTCCTCGTAGCCTCACTTCTCGCCTCACTTCTCGCCTCACCTGGCCTCATTTTGCTTCTTTCACAGCTCTGTCGCGTGCTCAAATTCACTATCCCACTGTCCCACGACCAAGACGATCACTGCCTCCCTCCCCACCGTCCGACACACACCGTCATGGCGTCCACCAGGCTGCCCATGGACACGGACAAGGACCTGGTGGCCCTCTTCCGCCAGCAGGTCCACGCGACGCCCAACGCTGTCGCCGCCGAGGACGACGCCACCACGTGGACCTATGCCGAGCTCGACCGGGCCACCGACCTCGTGGCCGACCACCTGCGCTCCGTCTACGGCGTCGGCCGTGACGTGCTCGTCGGCGTCCTGATGGGCCACACCGTGCAGTACGTCGTGGCTTGCCTGGCCGCCCTCAAGGCCGGCGGCGCCTTTCTCGTCCTCGAGGTCGCCTATCCGCCAGGTCTGCTGGCCGACGTCATTGAGGATGCCCACCCGCCCGTCATCCTGACCTCAGCCGAGTATGCCGACAAGGTGCCCGCACACATCCCGCGCATCCTGCTCGAGCGGGCGACCACGCTGGCCGACCTGGCCGCGCTCACGACGCCGGAGCCCACATCCACATCCACATCCACATCCGCGACGCAAGCAGCATCGCCCTCTCCCCTCCCCTCACCGACCGACCTCGACCGCCTCGCCTTCGTCTCCTACTCCTCCGGCTCCACCGGCCGCCCCAAGGGCATCTGCAACCCCCACAGTGCCCCCGTCCAGTCCTATGCCCTGCGTTTCCAGGTCAGCGACCTGGGCCCCGGCGACCGCGTTGCCTGCAACGTCTTCTTTGTCTGGGAGATTCTGCGCCCGCTGCTGCGCGGCGCCACCGTCCTCACCATCCCCGACGACGCCAGCTACGACCCCGTCGGCCTCGTCGCCTTCCTGGCCGAGAAGAAGGCCACCGAGACGCTCATGACCCCGACCCTGCTGGCCACCGTGCTCGGCCGCTACCCTGACCTGGCCACCCGCCTCCCGCACCTGCGCACGCTCTGGTTCAACGGCGAGGTCGTCTCCGTCGACCTGGCCCGCCGCGCCGCCACCGCCCTGGCCAGCGTGCGCCTGCTCAACTGCTACAGCGCCAGCGAGACCCACGAGATTGCCTGCGGCGACATCCGCACCACCCTGGCCACCCTGCCCGCCGACGCCACCGTGTGCCCCGTCGGCCCGCCGCTGCTGCCCGCACACACCTACGTCCTCGACGAGGACGGCCAGCCGGTGCCGCCCGGCGTCGGCGGCGAGCTGTACGTCGGTGGGCCCCTGCTGGCCCGCGGCTACCTCCACCGCCCCGAGACGACCGCCGACGTGTTCCTGCCCGACGTCTTTGCCGGCGAGGGCCGCATGTACCGCACCGGCGACAAGGCCCGCATCTTGCCGTCCTCGGGCGAGATTGAGATCAGCGGCCGCGTCGGTGGCATGATCAAGGTCCGCGGCTACACGGTGCATCCGGCCGCCGTCGAGAGCGCCATTGTCAAGCACCTGGCCGTGCGCAGCTGCGTCGTCCTGGCCGACAAGGAGGGGCTCGAGCGCCAGCTGGTCGCCTACGTCGTGCGCGAGGCCGAGGGCAGCCCCAACACAGGCGCCGACGGCACCCGTGCCGCCCTCGAGATCAACGCCGACGGCCACAGCCCGCTGGCCCGCCGCCTGCTGGCCGACCACCTGGCCCACTACATGATCCCCGTGTTCTGGGTCGAGCTCGACACGCTCCCGACCCACAAGGTGTCCGGCAAGGTTGACATCAAGGGCCTGCCCGCCCCCTCGCCCGCGCGCGCTGGTCCCAGCCCGCCCGTGACGCCGCCCGCCGAGAGCATGGCCCAGATCCTGTGGGCCGCAGGTGCTGCCGCCGCCGCGCCGCCCAACAACACGTTGGATGCCGCGGTGCGCATCGACCCCACCGACATTCGCCGCCACTGGGCCGCCTGCCTCGGCATGGAGAGCGACGAGACGCTGGTCGAGCTGGCCCGCACGCAGCCCCAGCACGACTTTGACTTTTTCGACCTCGGCGGCCACTCGCTGGCCCTGGCCGAGCTGTCGAACCGCCTGTCCGCCTCGTACGGCTGCAACGTGCCGCTTCTTGCCTTGATGCGCGCGCCCACCCTTGCCGGCCACGTGGCCGCCGTCACCGCGGCCGCGCGCGCCGCCCACGCCACTACAGCCGCGGCCGTCGACAACGGCCTGCTGCTGTCCATGCTGCGCGACGACAGCACCCTGCCTGAGGATCTGGCCGTGCCCGATGCGCCCAAGGCCGCCCAGTCGATTACGGACCCCGCCACCACCGACATCTTCCTGACCGGCGCCACGGGCTTCCTCGGCGCGTTCCTGCTCGCCGAGCTCCTGGCCACCACCTCGGCCACCGTCCACTGCCTGGTGCGCCGCCCCGCGGCGTCCGCATCGCCCGCCTCCGCAGCCGGCATGCCCCGCGTGCGGAAGCATCTGCTGGGCCTCGGCCTCTGGCGGGACAGCATGGCCGACCGCATCCAGATTGTGCCGGGCGACCTGGCCCTGCCCAGCCTGGGCCTCTCGGACGCCGACTTTGACAGCCTTGCCACCCGCGTCCAGGCAGTTGTCCATGCCGGTGCGCACGTCAACCTGGTCTACCCGTACGACGCCCTGCGGGACGCCAACGTCGGCGGCACCAAGGAGGTCCTGCGGCTCGTGGGCCGCGGCGGCGCCACCCTGCACTACATCTCGACCAACGGCGTCCTGCCCCCCGCCAAGACGGCCTGGACCGAGGACGACACGCCCATCGTGCTGGCCGCGGACGTCGTCGACAAGATTACCGATGGCTACGGCCAGACCAAATGGGCGGCGGAACAGCTGGTCCTCCAGGCCGGCCGTCGCGGGCTGCCCACCCGCATCTACCGGCCCGGCACGCTCGGCGGCCACAGCGCCACGGGCGCCACGAACCCACGCGACGTCGTCACGGCCCTGGTCGTGGAGAGTCTGCGCATTGGGTACGCGCCCAATGTGGACGGCTGGCGCGTGGAGATGACGCCGGTGGACGCGGCGTGTCGCACGATTGCGCAGCTGGCGTCGACGACGACGACATCGGCGGACAACACCGTTCACCATGTGGGCGATCCCGACGCGCTTCTGGCCAAGGACCTCTTTGCCCGTCTCGCTGTCCTGGGCTACCCGACCGAGGCCGTGGACTGGGACGAGTGGGTGGCGCGGTGGAACGAGGACCAGAGCAACCACCCGCCGGCGGCTGCCCCGGCCGCGCGCCACGACGAAGACGTGTCGCCCATGGACGTCCTGCGGGCCGGCATGCCGTCGGTGGACTTTTTGAAGCTCGTGATTCTGCTCGACGACACAAAGACGCGTGCCCTGCTGTTGCCCCCAACTGACAAGAACACTAAGAACGACGAGACGGAGCTGAAGCAGACGACGACACGGCCCCAGCTCGACCTCGGCCTGCTGGCCACGTACACGCGCCACTTCTACTCCCGCGGCTGGCTCGCCCACGGGCCCAAGGCGGTGCCTACCGCCGCGGTGGGCCCGTCTGTCGACCGCGTCGTGCCCATGCCCAAGGGCCCGCTGGCCGGCCGCGTCGCCGTGGTCGTCGGTGCCTCGTCGGGCATTGGCGCCGCCATTGCGACGGCCCTGGCCAGCGACGGCGCCCACGTGGCCCTCGGCGCCCGCCGTCTCGGCGAGCTCAAGACCCTGCAGGCGGCCCTGGAGGCGCAGTTTGCCGGCGTTCGCGTCCTCGCGCGCCCGACGGACGTCACCAGCGCCGCGCAGGTCCAGGCGCTGGTGGCCGGGGCCACGGACGCGCTCGGCCCCATTGACATTCTGGTCGTCTGTGCCGGCGTCATGTACTTTACCATGATGGCCAGCGTGCGCACCGACGAGTGGGAGCGCACCGTCGACGTCAACTGCAAGGGCCTGCTGCACTGCCTGGCCGCCACGGTGCCGGGCATGCTGTCGCGGGCCAAGCCGCACCCGCCCACGCCGGCCGAGCTGGCCGAGCTGGCCCGCGGCGGTGGTGGTCAGGATGACCACCTGCGCGGCCGCTCGCCGCACATTGTGTGCATCTCGTCCGACGCCGGCCGCAAGGTGTTCCCCGGCCTCGGCGTCTACTCCGGCAGCAAGTTCTTTGTCGAGGCCGTGCTGCAGAGCCTGCGCCTCGAGACCGCCGGCACCGGCCTGCGCGTGACGTCCGTGCAGCCCGGCAACACGGCGACCGAGCTGCTCAGCCTGTCGACGGACCCGGAGGCCATGGACAAGTACGGCACGCCCACGGGCGCCGAGGTGCTGGCGCCGGCGGACGTGGCGTCGGCCGTGATGTATGCGCTGCGGCAGCCGGCGCACGTCGCAGTCAACGAAGTGATGATTGAGCCGCGGGACGAGCCGATTTGAGGCAACGGGAGTGAGGGGATGATGCGATCTACAGCGAATATGTCATGTTTGAGTTGCGTTGTTTGACTTTTTTGCTTTTGCTTGCTTTCTTTACTTTGTTTTCAGCGTGGAAAATGGTTCAACACACGAGAGACACACGGCATTTTAACATTTGGGCTGCCAGAATGCAATGATTCACATTACACGATACAGGCCACGCCAGACACCGAGACACGATAATATCTGTAATGCTGCATCATGTCGTACATGCTGGCAGACGAGATGGGGTTGTGGCGTTCGCGGCAGGACACATCCAGAATGTGCCCTGATGGATGCCGGCCTTGGCCAGCAGGATGGTCAGCTGGAAGCCCGCGGACCTTGCGCCGACGATGATGACCTTGGAGAGCAGCATGTCGGGGAATGGCCACGGGGTTTTGGATTGACGTGTTCTGGTTTACGTGGTGACAACGTTGACAGCCTGCCTAAACGGATGATGCCCTCTCTACGAAGACGTTTACCAGGCATTCATTCACATCACGCCAACTTACTGCCCTTTTCGAAATTCGTTATGCGTTCGGCGATGCTGATTATGCACTCTGCTCGCCCTTTTTTCCAACTGCAAGCGTCGAATCCATCCGAGCATCGCCAGAGTGGTTTGGTTCAGTCTCCCCTTATGCCCTCAACTTGTGACTCGGCCTGTTCATTCTGGGTGGCAACCATTAGGCAGGAACACGCGACAGTAGACAATGTGGAGGATGCAGTTATGTAGGTCGTAACTCTGTATTCCAACTAAGCATTGTGTCCAACTGGATGGTGGGAGCATACTCCTCGCATCGCGCCCCTAACATTCAATCCCGCAGAGCATCCGGGTCCTCCCCCTCCCAGTCCATGCCCGCGGCCAGATCCCACGCAAAAGCCAGGTAGTTGGTGGCGTCGTAGTACGGCATCGCCTGCCACAGATCAAAATCCCCCGGCGGCTCGTGGGGCTGCGTGTGGTCCGGGTTCGGGTCCGAGTCCGGGGCGACCGAGGCGACCGAGGCGAGCCAGTGGCGCACGTGAATCCTCACACCCTACGAGGACGACATGAGCAGGTGGCGCAGCAGCGCGACGACGTGGTGCACCTCGACAAAGGTGTTGTACAGCGGCACCGGGGCGATGCGGATGACGTTGGGCTTGCGCATGTCCATGACGATGTCGGCACGCTTCATGGCGGCGGCCCACTTGTCGAGAAAGTCGTCGTCGCGCATCAGAATGCTGATCTGAGCGCCACGCTCGGCCGGGTTGGCCGGCGTGATGATGCGGAACGGCGGCGCGGCGTCGGCCGGGAACGCGGCGTGGTCGTGGGCGCCCATCGCCTCGGCGGCCTCGGCGGCGTCGCGCGCGTCCTGCAGAATGTCGTTGAGCAGCTTCTCGGCGTAGGCGGTCAGGACGAGCGACTTGGTGCGCAGGTCGCGCATCGAGGTCTTGTCAAAGACGGACAGCGCGCCGCTCAGGCTGGCCAGGTCGACGGCCGACGGGTTGGACAGCTGGAAGCCCTGCGCGCCGGGCGTCGGCTGGAACGTCTTGGCCATGTTGAAGCGCACGCCGAGGTCGCTGCCGTACCACCCGGCGAGCCGTGGCCGGTAAGTGAAGGCGTTGGTGCGCACGTCAAAGTCGACGTCAACGTGGCCGTCACCGTGGCCGTCACCGTGGCCGTCACCGTGGCCGTCGCTCTTCTCGCACGACGACGTCGTGTCCACGCGGCCGTGGCGTTCGTGCACAAAGGCGCCGGCAATGCTGCCCGGCCCTGCGTTGAGGTACTTGTACGTGCACCAGACGGCAAAGTCGACGTCCCAGTCGTGCAGCTGCAGCTCGACGTTGCCCACCGCGTGGGCCAGGTCCCAGCCGACCACGATGCCCTTGCTGCGGGCGTGGGCCGTGATGCGCGGCATGTCAAACAGCTGGCCCGTGTAGTACTGGATGCCGGGCAGCAGCAGCAGCGCCGTCTCCGCGGCGTGCTCGTCAATGGTGGCGAGGATGGCGTCCGTGGAGATGTACAAGTTGTCGTCCGGCTTGAGCTCGACGAGCGACTTGGCCACGTCGAGGCCGTGCCACACAATCTGGGACTCCAGCGCGTACTGCCGTCCTTGTTAGCAATTAACAAACCAATCAAAAAGTCATGTGGGCCAGTTGCCACGCACGCTGTCACTGGGAAACGGCTTCCACTCGGCAATGATCTTGTGCCGGGTCGCCGTCGGCTTGTAGAAGCTCGCCATCATCAGGTGCAGGTTCACCGTCAGCGTGTTCATCGTGACGACCTCCTGGGGCGACGCGCCCACCAGCCGGGCCATCTGCTTCGAACACTCGGCCGCCATCTCCTGCCACGGCTTCAGGGCGACTGGCGTCTCTTCGAGTTGTGCGTCGTCGTCCCTCGCCTCTTTCGGATCCCGCGCCAGGGCATGGAAGTGCCCCTGGACGCCAATGGCAGCCCACGTGTCCAGGTACGCCTCGACGTACCGCCGCACCGCCTTTGGCTGCAGCCCCAGCGAGTTGCCACAAAAGTACATGGCCAGGTGGCTGGACCCCGTGTGCGTCGGGTACATCATGGCCAGATGCTCGCCCTTTACACACGGCTTGGTCCCGGGCACCAGGTCGTAGAGGCCGCGCGTCGGCGGCTTCCCGTCCGCTTGTGCGCCCGCCATTTCCTCGAGCTGGGCCGTGGGTGCCGTCTCGGTTTTGTCCGCATGGCCGTTGCTTCCTGTCTCTTCTGCCGTGTCTTTGCCCTTGGCTGTCCTGGCCGGCGCCGCCTTGCGAATCATCTCCCGCGTCGGCCGCACAAACTCATCTTTGAACGTGCTGAGAAAGTCGTGCGCATCGAGCTCCTCGGCATAGTCGAGCGTGTGTGCATTGTCGGCAAACGTGACGGACGTGTAGTCGTCACGAAGCGCCGTGCTGAGTTGCGCAATGGTCATCATCTTGGGAGAAGCCCGGGGACGGGCTTGCTGGGGCCGTTTAATAAGGTACTGTGTAAGTGTAGGGTCTCAAGAATATGCAACGTGTAAGCGCCTAGTGCAGGGCAGCTGGGAGGCGCACGAGTATGTGTGTTGGGCCGTGCTGTTCGATGGCCTCTCTCCGGGTTTGGTTGTCTGGACGCGCGAGACCACTTTGTAGTCAGCGTTGGAGGGTCTCTGGCACGGCGATGGCGCGTGGCCCACGTCACCTGCTCCTGCCCTCTTACATGCCCACGATTACCCAAAACGGCAGGTTCGGCCTTGGCTCGCTATTTCGGGGCACCTTCTGCTATTTCGCAGTAATACAAGGACCTAGTGCACAGTGATTGGAGGAGCACAAGCCTGTATTTGCCCACTGTAGGGCACACTAGCGCGGTGATCCCAGCCCGCGGCCGTCTCTCCGCACTCCACCTGCACCCCCTGCGCATTGTCTCCGCGGTGCGGGACAGTGCTTGAACCGCCGCTGTAGTGGTGTTTTGCCTCCCAGACGTCACTGCAAGGCCGCCGCCATCCGTGGGTAGCCGAAACCATGAGGGAATATTTACCACCTGCTGGCTGCTCTTTCCTTGGAATTCAGTTGCCTCGATCCATCTCCGTCGCGCCTTCCTCTGGATTACTCTGCACACGACTGTGCGTATCGTCATTCCACGTGCATTTACAGACTAGTTTTGCCCCAAACAGGCAGTTGCAAGAGCAAAGAACCGTTAGTCGGAGCGGCTTTGTTTTCGTATCCTCGCAACGTTTTGGCCCCCGTCTCCAGTTCCGCGTTGATGGTTCCTCGTTCGTAGTTCTCCGCTTCCGTCTGATGACCCGCGGCCAAGACATACCAGCTTTGACCATGGCAGTGCGATCTGGCCGGCCGTCTACTTCATGTCTTTGCGCTCCCTCTTCCCTCGGGTCCTTTGGCTGGTCGTGCCTTCCTGTTTTGCCTGCCAACACTTGCCAACACCTGCCAACACCTGCCAACATAATCCACACCAAAGTCTCATAGCACATAGCACATACAGCTAACCACACCAATCATTCCATTCATCCTTTTTATTATTGCTCCTTTTGGTCCGCTGTGCCTCAGAACGGCGCCTTGCTTGTTTGGGACTTTTGTTGACCCATCATCTACAATACTTAAGTGTGCAAACTCCTCCCTCATGGACACTGCATTTACACACCGGTACGGCCTGTCCGACAACGGCTTCCTGCCACCCCAACTGCCACTGGCCACGTTGCCCGACCCGTACTACGCACCATGGGAGGCCATCATCCGCCAACTGCCGGCGCTGCTGCAGGCAAACCGTCTGCGGAACGAGGTCGACCGGCTGCCCATCCTGTCGGTGCATGCCCTGCGGTCCGAGCCTGAGTGGCGCCGGGCGTACTTGATCCTGGCCTTTCTGACGCACGCGTACATCTGGGGCGACGACGTCGTGGCGGACGTCTTGCCTCCATGCATTGCCGTGCCCCTGCTGGCCGTCGCCGACCACTTGGAACTGCCGCCCGTGGCCACCTATGCGGCGCTGAACCTGTGGAACTTTACCACGGAGGGGACCGGCGACATGCCCTTTGACCAGCTCGACCGCCTGCACGCCCTCCACACCTTCACGGGCACCGAGTCCGAGTCGTGGTTCTATGTTGTGTCGGTCGCCATGGAATACCGTGCGGCCAAGATCGTGCCTGTCTTGCTGCAGGCTCAGGCGGCGCGCACGAACGCCGACATCCCGGCCGTGACGGCCGCCCTCCGCCGGTTTGTCCCTTGTGTTCAGGACATCGGCCGCCTCCTCGACCGCATGCACGAGCGCTGTGACCCGTCCATCTTCTTCTTTCAGATTCGGCCCTTTCTCGCGGGCAGCAAGCACATGGCCGCGCAAGGCCTGCCCAACGGCGTGTTCTACGATGAGGGCGATGGCCGCGGCGCTTGGCGGCAGCTGCGCGGCGGCAGCAACGGCCAGAGCTCGCTTCTCCAGTTCTTTGACATTGTGCTGGGCGTCGAGCACACCTCGAATGGTTGTCACGGGCCCGGCGCCAACGACGACGCCGGAGAACAAGGCTTCCACGAAGAAGTTCGTGGTTACATGCCGGGCCCGCACCGGCGGTTCCTGGAACACGTCGCTGCGAGGCCGAGCATCAGGCACTTTGTCATGCAGGCCACACAAGGTGCGGCGCTGACCGACGACCAGAAGCAGCTGGCCGCAGCGTTTGCGGACACGACAAAGGCGTTGGCCGCGTTCCGTGACAAGCACCTGGCCATTGTCGCGCGGTACATCATCCTCCCGTCGCGCCAGAAGGCCGCCATGGAAGCAAAAGCCGCAGCGGGCGACGAGCCTGCCTCTAAACTGAGAGGGTTGGCGCACATGCCCTCCAGAACAGACGGCGCTGAGATTCTCACGGGCACGGGTGGAACAGAGCTCATGCCGTTTTTGAAGCAGACGCGCGACGAAACGCTCCAGGCCGGGGTGTTGACGGCACCCATTTCACGAGACGATATGAAGTATGATGCTATGATAATCAGCTAATAGAATCGGTGCATAATGAACACCTTTCACGGGCTTGTATTTTTACATGCAAATTAAACACGTTGCACTCCGTGGTTGTTGGTCATGTTTACGGGCAAGAACTCCGGCATCAAGTCGTGCCGCTCGAGACTGGCTCTTCCGGAAAAGTCTCCGCCCGCCGAGAAGTCTCCGGATGCGCCGTCATTTGAGCCGCTGCCTAATTTTCGATGTCAGTCAAAACTCCCCGACCGCCGCCTCCTTTAGTATCACCACAAAAGTGGATCACTAGTACAGAGTAGCGGAGACAAAACAACGAGGAAAAGGAGAGTAATTGCACCGCCTATTGTGTAAGAATACATCAGGTGGCCAATGCGAGGAAGCAGCGAGAAGATGGTCTTGCACTTCTGTGCACATATGAAACAATATGACGTGACCTGCTGCCTGAGCTTGGCAAGACGAAGTCGTAGCAAATACAAAACACGAACCTGCTCTTCTCCACGAAGCTCGTTTCGTCTGTCCTCGTCCGTTCTGCTTGCAGCATCACAGCCCACCATGGCGGCGGCAAACACACCCACGCAACTCCCGCCCACAATGCGCGCCTGGGTCTACCAGACCGGTAAGGGCGGCATCGAGAACACGCTCAAACTGATTCCCGACTACCCTGTGCCCAGCCATTTCCGCACTCTGGAGGCCCCGCCGCCGGGCCAAGGCGACGCCGTGCTGGTGCGCATCCTGGCCGCGTCCCTCAACCCCGTCGACTACAAGCTCGTCGAGCTTCCCGTGGTGGGCGGCCTCCTCCAAAAGACACCGGCCACGCCAGCCGTCGACTTTTGCGGCCGCGTTGTGCGTGTCGGCACCAGTGCCACCACCTTGAAAGAAGGCCAACTCGTCGCTGGCAAGCTCCCGCCACAGCCCCAGCACGGCGCCTTGGCCGACTATGCGGTGGCGCACTCGGTGAACGTCGTGCCTGTTCCGGACGGTGTCTCGGTCGAGCAGGCCGCCACGATTGGCCTCGCCGGAGCGACGGCGTGGACCGCGCTGGTCCCGCAGATGGAGGCGGCCCAGGCACGCAACACCACGGCGACGGGGCGCGGGCGTGACAAACCTCTGCGCGTGTTTGTCAATGGCGGCAGCGGCGGCATCGGGAGCTTTGCCATCCCCCTCGCCAAAGCCCGCGGCTGCCACGTCACGGCGACCTGCTCGGCCGCCAGCGCCCAACTCGTCCGCGACGTCCTTGGCGCCGACGACGTCATTGACTACCGCACGACCGACGTGGCTGACGCCCTCGTCCAAAAGACAAACGAGGCCGGCCGCCCTTACGACGTGGCCGTCGACGTCATCGGCATGCGCTTTGGCCTCTACAAAGCCGCCGACGCCTTCCTCGCGGCCGGCGCCGCGTTCCCGCGCATTGGCATGGAGCCCGGCACGATCAAAGACGCCGTCGCCATCGTGTACCGGCCGACACTCCTGGGCGGCGGCCGCCATGCATCGCCCTTCGTGGCCGGCCGCGCCACGCCCGACATCTTGCGCGGGCTCCTCGACCTGATGGCGCAAGGCCAGCTGACGGTGCCGCTGGACGGCGGAGCGGCCGTGCCCTTTGAAGATGTGCCGCGGGCCTATGCACGGCTCAAGACGCAGCGGACGCAGGGCAAAATTGTGGTGCGTGTGGCGGAGGATAACTAGGGATGACAGAGGTGAATTGGTCGGGGCGGCGAGTTGTATAACCAGTGTGTCTATATTATTATTGCCGCCGGATGGACGGTTATCTAAGTGCACGTCGGATGTTTGCAGATGCATTGCTTGTCAGTATTACACTTTTACTATCGATAGGAACAAAGCCAATACGATAGGAGGTAGCAATTTCACAAGTAGAATCCTGATAATTTTAGTATTATTATTAATTTTTTTCTTTTTGTTTTTAACATAAAACCCCGGTTAAGCCAAGTTGACATAAAAAATAACTTTCACTAAAATGAGTAAACGCAGTAAGTCACCTGTACGTTATGTAGTTTGACATAGCACTTTGGTAAAAAGAGGCTGTGTCGTTGTCAACCAAAGTCCAAAAAAAATAGTAAATTAAGGTCCTACCCGGAATCGAACCGGGGCTACTGGAAATTCAGATTTGGAGAAATCAGAATCCAATGTCCTAACCGCTAGACTATAGGACCATTTGTTATTGGATGTAAAGTTACACTTTCGGAGCTATATATGTATACCTAGCTTCACGTGCCCCATATTAATCTCGGCGACATTCAACGCTTGACGGCTCCCTCTTCCCAAACTAAGGACTACCAACGGAGACATGCGACAGTCTCGACAATTTAAGAAGAAGCCACATAACGCGATTGTCTCACAGCTGATTGCTCGCAACTACTTTATGATTTCAATTCAATTTCTACCGCTGGTAATGGTTTCTCCTGCTTCCCATTCTCTTGCTTGACTTGACCGGTGTCCTTTGACTTCACAAAGGCGGCACGACGTGGTTTTGCGTGGGGGATTAAAGTCGACCCGCTAAACTGAATGAATCGGGATCAAACGAGCGAGGGAAAAGGTGCAGTCGCATGTCGCACATGAGGCACACTGAGGGTCATGTGCCGTGCGTAAGTTGTTCCATGTCACGTCTCACTCCGGCCCTCCGTCCCTTTGCTCCTCGTCTTTTTGTCCGTATTTCCAGAGTGCGCACTCCTCGTGTATTTCCGACTCATCTTTGTCTCCAAGTCCAAGAACGGCCAAGGCTGCTCACCTTATATGTCGTACTCGGGATCCCCCATTTCTCCCCTCCTCCACCTCCGCGATCCCCACCGTCGCCTCCAATACAGCCGCCCTGGTGGACGACAACTGCCGCCCTCTGTCCCCTTCCCCTCTTGCGCCCCAGATTCTTCTCCGAGCACTCGTCGTATTGCTTGCGGTTTGCTGAATTAACAATTCACCTTGCGATCATTTTAGTACAGACGTTGTGCATGTATTCGACCTTGTACGAATTATTTATTTTGGGGAGTTTATTCTTTGTCAATACGCATACTGCGTGCCACTGCGTCATCACTGATTGAATTGTATTGTGCTGTACGACAACAGCTTACTCTCGACTTCCCGACGTCCCGTATCATCCCAACTGACAAATCTTATTCGGAGGCATTGGTACTGATCACGCCAAGTTTGTTCCCATTTTACTTTGTCGATTCTCACACATATAGTCCACGCTGGCCCGTCCTCATCCACTGCACTTGCTACTTCTGTCCTATTTTCCTTCACGAACTTGTCCCAGCGACGCCCTGACGACGAACACTCTTCAGAGTCTTTGGCTCACCCGCACTCTCGCATTCCCCTGTCCCGTGTCCATATATCCGGCACGCTTAGTCTGCCCCATCTCTGGGTTGAACCCCGATTCTTCTCTGCGCTGTGTCTGTATAAATCCGTGGATCCCTCGTTTCGTTTCTAGGCCATTGCAGCGACAATCGGCCTGTTGGTAACGGCACAAACACGTCCACAGCACTAGAAGCTTCACCAGCTACACCGCACCCCACATATATTTGACATCACTTTCAACAAGTACCCAGGACACAGCGCCGACCCACTGAACACAATGGCAGCCGTCGACCAGCCGTTCCAGAAGATCAAGCTGGTGCGCATCGCGCACGTCTTCTACAAGCACAAGGACCCGAAGGCGGCCATCCAGTTCCTGCACGACTTTGGCTTCAGCCAAGAGAAGACGGCCGGCCACCGCACGTACTTCCGGGGCTACGGCACGCAGCCGTTTGTCGTCTGCGTGGAGGCGGCCGACGAGACGGCGTGGGGCGGCGCCTGCTTCGAGGTCGAGACGGCCGAGGACCTGGAGCGCGCCGCGACGCAGCTGCCGGCCGCGGTCAAGGCCACCGCCGTGTACGACTTGGCCGACATTGATGCGCCGGGCGGCGGCCGGGGCGTGACGTTTTACGACCCCGTCGACGGGTTTCCGATGCACCTGGTGCACGGCCAGACCAAGGTGGCGGCGCGCGACCCCAACTTCCCCATTGTGCACCTCAACTACCCGGCCGAGAAGAACCGGCCCGTCAACAAGTTCCAGCGGTTCGAGAAGCGGCCGGCGCCCGTGCACAAGCTGGGCCACTTTGGCATGTGCGTCACCAACTTTGCGCAGTCGTACGACTTTTACGTGACGCACTTTAACTTTTTCCCGTCGGAGCTGGTGCACGACGACAGCGGCACCAACCACACCGTCTTCTTCCGGCTCGACCGCGGCGACGAGCAGGTCGACCACCACACGTTCTTCTTGTTCCAGGGCCCCCGGTGGCACGTGCACCACACGTCGTACGAGACGCACGACTTTGACACGCAGGTGCTCGGCCACGACTGGCTGCGGGCCAAGGGCTACACAAACTGCTGGGGCGTCGGCCGCCACGTCATGGGCAGCCAGATCTTCGACTACTGGTTCGACCCGGCCCAGTTCATCCTCGAGCACTACGTGGACGGCGACCTGCTCGACATGTCGGAGCCGACACACGTCACGCTGGAAAAGGACGCCCACCTGCACGTCTGGGGTGAGTCGAAGGCTGATGATGGATGTGTCTCGTCTTACCCGTAGGCGACTTCTATTGCTAACAGTGACCACAGGCCCCGACGTTCCGCCCACGTTCCTCGTTTAGAGCAGCACAGCACAAAACCTGTCCTTGCAGAAACTGGACATGCCCGCCCCGTACCGGAACGTTTCACAGCGAGACAGTTTGGAAAAAAGGAAAGGTGATACTTTTATTCATGACGACAATAAGAACGCAAAAGCGGTGAAAGAGAGAGCCGGTCAAACACAATGTATTGTCGGCGTACTCCGTACGACTAGCTTCCAAACCGTGTTACAAGCATTGGGTCATGAAACGTTTATAACGTAGCTAATAACCATGGATGATGGCCAATACCAGTGTCAACAATCCTCGTGATATACGTCCTCCAGGGCGAACCGTGGACTCAAGCCAAATCCGCATTCGACTTCTCTGGGTGCCAGTGGGACCCCGGCAGTGGGATGTTGACGTCATGGTAGGACGGTATGAACCGATTCGGCCGGCGTTTCGTCGCCGGTGAATGCAATACCTCGACGTCGGCGTTGGCAAGGCCGCCCTTGTAGGGGTCGCGGTCGCCCAGGACCTGCCGTACCAGCCAGGGCTCCAAGTTGCAGTAGACGGTGCTGTGCATCCGGAAGCCCTTGAGCTCCTCGAGCGTGCACAGCACGGTGACCAGGTCCATGTACATGCAGTAGGCTTCGTGAAACGACGCGGGCATTTCGTCCTCCGCCTCGCTCAGCACATAAAACTCGTACCGGTCCCAGATGCAGTCGCGCACGTCGAGGTGGAGCGTGAGGCGGGGGAGGTCCATGTGGTCGCGGATGAAGGCGATGAGCGATGCCCACGTAGTGTCGCCGCGGTGGGGGTCGTAGGTCCACGCCCCAGAGGACACCACACGCTGCCCGTCTGCGTTGTAGTGGCGGACGTAGAATGCGCGGCTCGACTTTCTCCACAAGGGGAACTGCTCGCCCGAGACGACAATGTGGAGCGTGGTCATCCGTCGGAGCGTGGCCGGCGTCAGCTGTTGGAGCGCTTCCAAGGTCATGGCAAACGTATCGCTCTCGTAGGCAAAGGCGGTCTTGGCATACAAGACGTCGTGGGCGGCTTCGCGGTACATTTGGCGGTCCACCAGGAAGAGCTCGACGGGCAGGATGACACACGTGCAGTGCGCCGACACGGACGCATAGTAGCGCGGACAGCAGCAGTCCATGCGCGCGTCCGTGCAGTTGCTGCAGCAGGGGGCGCCGAGGACGGTTGTGCTGCGGAACAGCGGGCGGCGGTCGCGGAACTTGACCTCTCTGACACGGCCGAGATCGGTGTACTCGAGGATCTTGACGCGGAGCTCGGCAGGTAGGCGGTAGAATGGGAAGATGTGTCTGGATTCCGTTTTCTGTGTGGCTGTCGTATCCGTGGTGTCCGTGGCATTCGTTCTCGTATCGGCACCCGTCGTGAGAGCCAGGACGGCTTGCTGGGCTACTGCCTTTAGATCAAAATCCCGTCGCCGCCGGCCAAGTCGGATGGTGCAGTCCCTCAATCGTGATGCAGGCAGAACGGCCCGCTTCAACGGAGAAACCACTCTCTCAGCCGCCTCGACGCTGCCCACGTCGCTGATGACGGTCAGGTCCAGGAGCGGCTTGTCTTGTGGATACGTTTCGAGGGCCGCCGCCAAACGTGCGCAGACGTCGTCCCACACTTGCATCATCGACTCGTCATTGGTGGGCACAGGCGCACCTGTGTCCTCTGCTGCTACGGTCGAATCGTCGGAGCCATCTGTGGCCGGCCGCAGTACAAGTGGCTCGTCGGCACGGTCGGACCGCATGTTGCAGAACCGGCAGTAACCGGTTGCCACGCCGCCCTCTACATGTTCAAACGGGTTCGTGCGGTACCGATACGTGAAGCCTGTCTCTTCATGGCCCAGCGGACAAGGCCAGCAGTTGAGCCGCACCAAGAGCGAGCCCATGCTCGCCAGTCCGTACAGAGGAATGGCCATGAGCAGCGGCGCAAATTGGTCGGCGCATGGCAGGCGCCGCAGCCGGTAGTCGTTGTCGTGATTGTCGTTGCCGCCGGCATCGCCGTGCGTGAGGGAGAATGTGCGTCCGCGGAGCACGAACCGGTTTTGCCCGTACAGCACACGCACCGCCTCGGCGTGCACGACCCGGCAGACGCGCAACAGCGCAACGGGCACGGCAGGACAGACGCACGTCCGGTTGTGCGGTTTATGCTGGCCGGGCTGGCTGGCGCGGCGCCAGCACTGGTGCATGCCATGCTGCTGTTGGTACTGCAACTCCTCGGGTGTCTGGTACGACCGCGACGCCCAGAAGCTCAAGTCGATGGGACAGTCGTCGCGCACGAGAATATACTCGAAGATGCGCCTGCGCACACACGTGGGCAGGTCGAGAAGGGCCATGGCGGGAAAGGGGATGGGTGGGCAAGAGAAAAGCGTCTAAAGCCCGCTCGTCCCGTCGATTGGGACAAGAGAGCAAGCATAGGTAAGTGTGGTTCAATACCTTCAAAGGGTCTGGTGTGGTCGTTTGCAGATACATATTGTCAGCCTCACTAGGCAACCCAACAACGCAGCTAGCGGAAGTTGCTTGTGGTTCCTGCTTCCTGCTTCCTGAGTCCGGGCTCTTTTTTATCAAACCATTTCCAGTGCGATCGTGCACATGTAGTTCTGCTCATCTTCAAAAGTGGCGACGAGGAGTTGTGTTTATTAACCAATCGAGCTGGAAGAAACGTCTCTGTTTACGCCGGGGGCGCCAGGTTAGTGAATGCAGTGTAGATAAATTAATTTTCTGCTAAATCTGCTATCTGCACTGCTCCGAGAGACACCCGTTGCCTAACGTGAGCCATTAACGCTAACTTTCAGTTTGCGACCAACAACCAACACCAAGCATTCACGTTGCTGTCAACGTCCGCCACCGTCTTTACCATGGGCGACAGCACGACGACACAGGCACCGCCACCGGCCTACCCGTTCCCGGCCGGCTCTGTATTTACAGACGGGCACCCGCTGCCGCGCCTCGTCGTCTTCGACCTGGACTACACGCTGTGGCCGTTTTGGGTGGACACGCATGTCGTCGCGCCAATCAAGATCAAAGCAGCGGACGCGGCGGTCGACGAGGCCGTGGCGAGAGGGCGGCGGGCAAGGAAGCTGCGCGACGCAATAGCCGCAGGCAAAGCAGGCGCAGGCGCTGACGTGTCTGGATCTGCATCGACATCTGCATCTGATTTTACGCCCGTTACCGTGGTCGACAAGTACGGCGAGTCGTTTGCCTTTTACGGCGACGTGCCGCACCTGCTGCACGCCTTGCCGACGGCAGGCATCCGCATGGGCGTGGCGAGCCGCACGTCGGCACCGGAGCTGGGGCGGGCGATGCTGCAGCTGCTTCGGGTGCCGCAGGGGCCGGGTGCCCACGGGGGCGATCGAGACGGAGGTGCAGACTACACCGGCGGCGGCGGGGTTGCGGCCATCACGCTGTTTGATGCCGGCCTCGAGATCTACCCAACCAACAAGCTGCGGCACATGGAGGCGCTGCAGAGGCGCACCCAGATCGCCTACGAAGACTTTTTGTTCTTTGACGACGAGAGCCGCAACCGCAACGTGGAGACGCTGGGCGTCACCATGTTTCTCGTGCGCGACGGCGTGACGTGGGACGCCGTGGAAAAGGGCGTGCGCGCCTGGCGGCGGCGGCACGGCCACAGCGGCGGCGACCGACTGGGCAAGGAAGAGACAAAGGGAAAGGTTGGCGACGGCGAGGGAAGCGATTACGAGTACGCATACTAAAAAAGGCGGTACGATCTCACGACAACTTGGCATAGATGGTAGACATAGACGAAACACGAGTCAATTAAATTGATGCATGGTAAGCTCTACTTTGTGTATATATGTAGTGTAAGCGATGGCGCGCCGGTACGGACAACAAACAAAAGACAAGATCGCATCCGATGGACCTCAGACAGTCCAATGTGGCCCCAATAAAAGGAAGATGCAACAAAAATAGCGGAAAGAAAACAGAATATTAGGTGTATCCAAGATGCGATGAAATAAAGAAATGGAAAAAGAGTTCTGGGAATCAAAAGCGGCGAGTGGCGTGGCGAGAGGTGTGACAAGACCGGCGAAACAGCCGTCTCCTACGACGCCGCCGTGGGCGCAACAGCCGCCGTCTCCGTCTTGGCTCCCGTGCTCTTTTCCGAGATGGTCAGGTTCTGGATGTCGGCCACGGGCGCCGCAGCAGCATCCTCGGCAGCCGCCACGGCGTGGCCGTTGCCCTCGGCGGCCGGCTGGGGCTGGGGCTGGGCCGGGGCCTCGGCCGCTTCCTCAAAGGTGTCTTGCTCGTCCTCGCCCTCGTCCTCGGCCTCAGCCTCCTTCGTCTCCGGCTCGCCCTTGTAGTGCCGCGGCAGCGTGCACACGCGCACCTGCCGCTCGACCTGGTTCTCGCTGCCAACGGCAATGCACTCGACGCGGTCGCCGTCGGCGTCGTTGTCGGGGTTGCCGTGGTCCGCCGCACGGGGCAGGGGCCGCCAGTACAGCGGGCCCTTGGGGAAGGTGTCGAAGCCGGGCGCCCAGGCGGCGCGCGTGCGGATGGCCGGGTCGAGGTTCGGCATGTCGCCCCAGCTAAAGTCGAGCTCGCCACCGTAGGCCTTGGGGATGTTCTGGATGTCGATAAAGGTCAGGAGGGTCGGCAGGACCTCGTGGTGGCCGAGGATGAAGATCTTGGAGACGGTGACGGGGTCGAACCAGCGCTTGATCCAGCCCCAGACGGTCGAGAAGAACATGGGCGCGCCGATGATGAAGATGCGGTCCAGCGTCTCCGGGTAGTGCGCCGTCGCCAGCGTGCTGGCCGCCTGCATGTGGCCCTTGAGGTTCCAGAACTGCCGCAGGCTGACGCCCGACACGTCGACAATGTTGGTGCTCAGCGTGATGGGCGTCGTCGCCGCAAAGTCGCGGTCCGGCATCTGCGTGCACAGCGGCTGCGCAAACCGCGTCAGGTTCTCGTACAGCGCAAACAGCCGCAGCAGCTTGGCCGGCGTCTTGCCGTCGCCCGTCGCCTTCGAGTAGGTGTTGTGCGCCGTCTTCTCGTACGCCGCAATCGTCTTGCTGTCCAGGTGCCGAATCTCAAACAGGTAGAGCGGGATGCCGCGCCGGTCCCGCCGGCCCGTCCACTGCGGGTACAGCCGCCGGCTCTGCTCGTACGCCTCCAAGTCGATCGTGTCGTAGAGCACGTCCAGGTGGTTGTCCGCGCGCCAGTCCTCCGTCTCCTTAAACTGCTTGTACGCGTCCGCCACCACCCACCGCCGCGCCCGCAGGAACCGCAGCAGCGTCGGGTCGTCGTGCGAGGCCGGCGCGGTGTCCGCTCGCGGCGTGTACGCGCCCTGCTCCGCCAGGTACGCCTTGAACTCGGCAAACGCCGCCGCCTCGGCCTCGCTCAGGTACCCGAGATGGCCGTGCGGGTAGCCGTACTCGACCGCCGCCGCCGCGGCATTCTGCTGCTTGCTGTGCGACACATGATTGCTGTGCTTGTGGCTGTGGTGCGAATGCGCGTTGGACGGCGTCTTGGTGATGTGGCCGCCGTCGTCGGCCGAGACCGAATCGCGTGTCATTGTGAGGGTGAAAAGGGGGGTGGGAAAGGAAGGGGGAGGTTGAGTCGGCCGGGAGAAAAAGGAGGACGCTGTCAGAACGGCCGTAGCGGATGTGTCGGAAACGAGAGTCGGATGATGACCGAGTGGACAATTAGTAAATGTCGTCTGGAGTCGGAGGACAGAACGACGAGGGTGGGAGAAGAAAAGAGCGGTCGGGGGAGGTCGGTGAGAATTGGTGAGAAGTCCAGTTCAGCTGAGCAGTCGGCGGATGCAGGTTGTGGGGGCAGGAATGCAAAAAAATATTAAGTCTAAAATTACAGGCGTGCTAGTGGCAGTGGCAACGGGGCTCGGGAGGTGAAACGACCCGAAATGGCGGGTTGGCGGACAGACGGCGCTGTAATTACACTTCAAGGGCCTGCCAAACTGTGCCAGGAAATGTCCACCCAACCCGTTTCTGAAAAGCGGTGGCGGATATCATCCCTTGCATCACCCGTTACGTGCCTTTGTATGTTCTTTCATGATCTCTTTCTCCTCCGAATTCTCGGCGGTTGGTAGCGTAGGGTACTTTCGAGCCCAGAAGCGCCCTAAATTCAACCCCTGAATAACCTGGAGTGATAACATGCGGGTCAGCTAGAGATGCCGTTACCGGCGCTAGTGTCAAGTTTAACTGTGCTCCGTATTGCAAATGCGACTGAAAAGTTAAATAAGCAACAGAAGTCCTTTTGGCTTTTAGGCGTGCTCGGCCGACCCTCTATTATATTGTCAATTACAAGAAAAGCGTATATGTCGTATATACAATTGTATATATCTCCGTAGCCATTGTTTCCTGGTTTCATCTGCTGTGTAATATACGGCATTTATTAACGCGCCTCTTGTTCACACACGCTGTTATTCACATCATAGAGCGGATTCAGCAGTTATTCATCGTTTCCACGAGTCTATCCAAGGTTATGTACTATATCTGCACTTTTGACGTGTGGGGTGTATTTACTTGTCGGCACGACTCAAACGGAACTGCATCCGTGCGTCGCCATGGCATTCTCTTTTCTATGCCTTCACCACCCGGTCAACAAACTTGACAATGGCCGTGTTCGTCTCTGCGGGCCGCTCCCAATACACCGCGTGGCCCGCCTCCGGCACGCGCACCGCATCCAGACGCGGGAACATCTCCTGGAACAAGGCAACCGAGGCGTCTGGCTTCACGACCTCTTCCTGTTCGCCGACGATGAAGAGCGCTTCGTAGTTGGGAATGGCGGCCAGCAGCTTGGCCGGGTTTTGGGCGTGCTTGGTCTGGCTGTGGAGGCGGACCGTCGTGGGTGTCGTGGCCACAGTACCGATGAGCGCCGACCGGAAGGTGTAGGACATTGCTTCGCGGTTGGGCTTCCAGATGCATATGTTGAGAAAGTTGGCTATGATTTGGCCGTGGGTGTCGCCCGTGGAGGCTTCTTTGATGGGCTGGTAATACTTGCCCACGGTGGGAAAGTTGACTTTGGGAAACTAATTGTAGTCAGTAGACCGAGGACGAGGCAGGCGAGAAACGAAAAGCGACCGAAGGAAGGACAAAACAGAGCGTAAGCGTACCAGTTCCAAATAGGGCACGCCGGCGAGATAGATCAGGCCGGCGAGGAGATGACCAAAATCGTGCTCGAAGACGTCCGAAATAATGGTGCATCCGGCACTCCAGCCCGCAGCAAAGACCTTGGAGGCGTCGTAGTAGGCGCAGACTGCGGCAAAGTCTTGGGCGTGGCACAACGACGTCCACTGCTCATCTTTGGTGGGCGAGTCGGACCGGCCCTGCCCACGGGGCTCGTAGGTGATCTGGGCAAGCGTGTAAATAATGACTGAGCGCAGTAGGCAACCATTGTAAACATGATAAACATGCGAGGGATGTCTCACCAGACAGTACTTTGACAGCAACTCTTCGTCACGGAACTGGTGGTCAAAGAGAAGCGCCGAACTGGCAAAGCCGGGGACAAAGACAATGGTCGGCGCCTCCTTGGCTGACCGGCCGGCCTGGGCCGCCCAGATCTTTAGGCCGTCGGCCGACTCGACCTGAGGTTCGTGCGTGTCGAGAGCGAACATGGTGCGTGCGCGTGTGCGTGTATAATCTGTTACTATGAGCCGACACTGGAACAATGACGTGCAGAAGAGGGCAATAGCAGAATATAATATACCACGTACGTCTGCTAGTAAACAAATCGTCTACCTAACGAACGGCATACCATCCGTGTATTTATATTTACTCATCTCGGCTGCCTTGCCGAGGCTTAACCTGAAGCTCTCCACATCTGGTTGTTCTTTTGTGGCATACAGCACAGTCGCTATGACGGCGAACGCGGGAGGGGATTGCTGGATTGCTACCAATCCTACGGTAACAGGCTTTTGGTCCACCGGAATACGTCGTATTGTATCATGTCGACCCTGAATTGTAAGCTGCCGGAGCCGTAAAACTCACACCACGCCGTTGGAGCAACCAGCTTCATCCCCTGTCCAGATTTCCTGTCCCCTCCCCGTTCTGCTGCAGATCACCGTATCCGCTTAACTCCGCCTTTCAATCCCCGAGCGCGAATGGCGTCGGAGAGATGATGTGCTCCCCACATCGTACGGGTTTCGTGTCGTTTCTATGGAGTGTGCAGTTGTGTAATGACGCAAAATACGTCGTATTACGCAATGCACGCTCGGGCGGGATTGTACATGTACGCCAAAGTGGCTGCATTTTGCGCTTTGGCCGACATGGCCAGGCCCGTGTAGAATTTTGTTGTATTTCCCCGATTTTTAAAAAAGACAACACAGATAGCTTACCGGTGCGACACGGACTCCGCTGGAGCCGCAATTTGTTCTCCGTTCTCGGGACGACAAACAAACCGTTTTCGAATTGTACGAATCAACACGACGTAACAGAAATATCCATAAAGGCGACATATCCATAAAAGTAACAAAATTATTGACCCTCTGGTCATATAGAATGGCAAGTATGGCCTGCATGGAATTCTATACCGGAGATAAAATGAAGTTAAGCTTAACATTTTGTCTCCGGCTGTCTCACGCTTTTACTCCGTGTTCCTCTCCAACAATTTATGCTGACACCAAGCGGGGGCAATCGTTTTCCCGGCGTCAACGGTGCTACGTTGACCCGGTGTAGCTGCAATATATATTTTCCCGGGCTCGACCATGGTGTAATTTTTCACTTCAATTATTTGGAAAAGCTATACTTAATCGCCTACATATAAGTCTTAAATCTCAGTATTCATGACATCCTGTCCACGTTATTTGCCAAAGAAATAGGAGCGGCGTATTCTAATGCCGAAAAACAGACCTATTTCTGCTTTTAGGGCTTTCCAACATGTTGGCTGGGTAGATCTCTGCAGCTGGATTGTGCGTGCGTGGTTTGCAGCTGTGGCCTAATGCGTGGCCTCGGATGCTTCAAGTGCGATCGGTGGTGAACCATCTCTATCGTGGTTGGAAAGTTGTACTTTCTTGGCTGGAATCGTACTGATGGTGCTATCGGACTTGACCGAGTCGCGGTCCTGGGCCTTATCCTCTACCTCATCCTTTACCTCTTCCTTTGCCTCTTCCTGTGCCTCTTCCTTTACCTCTTCCTTTACCTCATCCTTTACCTCATCCTTTACCTCATCCTCCACCTCATCCTTTGCCTTATCCTTTATTTTTTCCTTGATCTTGGCAGAGTACACTTGGCCGTCTGCCGAGATCACGGCTACAACGGTCATCATGTAGTCGATTTCGTTACTGTTGGGCATTTTGACTTTGCGTCGGGCAGCGACTGCCTCAAGAATGGCTTCCTGTTGCTGCCAAACCGTGCGACCCGCGAGCAGCAAACTCAGTTTGTCTCCTGCCTCGGTGCGCGTGTGGACGAGCAGGTCATCCCGCGTGCCGCTGATGCCAGCAACGTAATCATCATCCTCCCCGGCCCCATATACCTCTGTACATGTGAATTCGACATCGTCGACATGATCGAGACGGTAGATGGTCGGTTTCCGAGTCGATTGGGGGGTTGACGAAGAGGATGCCGCGTTGTTGTTGTTGTTGTTGTTGTTGTTGTTGTTGTTGTTCGTACCGTAGCCAGCATCTTTAGACAGAATGTAGAGCGTCGTGCCCGCCCATGCAAGGTCGGCGATTTCAAACGGAAACGCATGATCATAAGGCTGTGTGGCCAATGAGATGCGCTTCGGTTTCCGGTTGTCACCACCCAGCGAGATATATGATGTGGTCTGTGTAGGCTCTGTGTTGGTCTTGTAGTGACTCAGAAAAGCCACATCGCGGGTGTGGCCATCTCGCGGCGTGGCAGGCTGCCCATACTTTCGATTTGAGACCACTCGCGCCGCCACGGCCGTCACCAATCCGTGCCCGTGAATGGTGGCATTATATCTACCACCACCAGTGAACCACTGATCCCAGGCATATGGCGCGTGCTGTGAAACAATGACGATTCGCCCGAAAGGGGATAGGGTAAATTGAGTAAAGGGATAATGGCACTCAAGAGGCGTTGGCAGCTCGTCGATGTTAAGCCGATGGTGATACACCGCGTACATTTGATCTTCCGAGCGTAATGGACCCCGGTCCGACATGAACACAATATAGCCTCCTTTTCGGGACAATTTCGGCGAGCGGTCGTCAAATGAACCGTCCGTAACGCGTCGCGCCGAGTGTTGTTTGCCCGCGTAGGCCATCCAGATGCTGGATGTGAAAGTCCACTCGCTGGTGTCAGCCTCCGTTGTTTCCGTTGTTTCCCCAATTTCCACTCCTTCCCCCGTTTCCGTTGCCCTGACTCTTCTTGCTCTTTTTCGAATCTGGTATGCCACCTTGCTGCCATTTGGCGCGATGGAGAGTCTTGTCGGCCGACCCAGATCGCCGCTGTCGTCCTGCTCCATATGATTTAGCTCGTCTTGCTGCGTTGAGTTTGGCGATGGATTTTGGGAGTTGCACGGTCTTGCACCTGTAGGTGCGATGTTGAAGAATGCTTTAATACGTTCGTCCTTGACCCTCTCGACATCTTTTGGATATTCCGGGCAACTGTCGAGAATACACAATTGCGGCACAGCATGGGATGCGATTGCACGTGGTATTCGGGCCAACGCCGGCTATTCGCATGCCCACCCGCCACCAACATACACGTTGATCCAACCAACAGCCATGGAAATTATCCTGAGACTCTTGGCCCAACAGTATCTTTTTGCACTTGCCCGCCCGAGATCGGGCTCCACACCGGTCTCTCATCGCGGCCCCTAGGGGCCAGAGCCTGAGAAATATCGGCATTTTGGGCCTTTCTACTACGACCCCGTGCCGTGTTGGCACGGTCCTCATTATTAAGGGGTCACGGTGCCTGCAAAGGCCAACGATTGTTTCTGCAGCCCGAATATATGGCCGACTGTTGGATCTCTGAGTGCACGACGGGAGAAACGGGTACATTGACTCTACTGCCACCTTTGTATCTGCCAACAGCACAGTCCAAAAGTATTCTCATGTGCTAGCAAAGGGCGTCAAGTGGTTTGCTCCATAAGAAATAATTTCAAACTGGAATATCTCCCGTAATACTGAGACACACATTAAATACCTCCGGCTATAGACTTCATGAATTTATAGAAGTATGCCATGTGTCTGTTGGATATACCACACATGCGCATGCAGTTTGTTGGTGTTTTATCAATGGAGCATACACAATACCTTAGAATTCAAAAACGTTACTTGTCAATATATAAAGAATGCTGTACAGAACCTACATTGAGGAATGTCGGCCATGGCACTCACCCAATGTCATAATTAAGACTCCGCCTATTCCGCACAACTGCAGAGAACAGTGACCGCCATGTTTTTTCGCCGCGCAACGACGCTCGTGCTGCTGTGCACATTGCCAACCAAGGCAGCGCGACTTGACACACGAAATCGAAAGTTTACCGATCAGACTGCGGAAGCCGAAATCTCCGTATTCAACCACTCTCTTGCGGTGTTGGCTGGTCAGTCCATTGGCGCTTCCACGCCCAACTCGCAGCCCGGGCCACTACTATGCCCCACGGGTGTTTGTGCAGATGTATGTTTATAGTCGACAATAAACGAGGTGGACTACCATTCGACTAACTCTTTGAATAGGACTCCTGTATGTGTGCTCCAGCTCAATCATCATGGACTGTTGTCATATAAGTCATCTATACAGACTGGGTGTGTACTAACCATGTGCCTAAGGTTGTGGAAGCAATGGAAAGTGCGGCTTTGAAGAAGAGAATTGCGGTGCTGGATGTGTGAGCAACTGCAATGCCACCGCCATATGCGGCCGCAAGAGTTTGGGCGGCAACTTGGCCTGTGGTATGAACCTATGCTGCTCTTACTCGGGCTGGTGTGGTTATGAGGTACGAAGGTCCCTCCGCAATCCGCATGCACACAACAACGCATTTTTGCTGACGTGACTTCCAGGAAGTCCATTGTCAACACTCTGATGGATTTGGGGCCGGAAAGGGGGACTGACAAAAAGGCATGGGATATTGTGGTGATCCAGGTATGTTTATATGACCATCGTGTCCATTGTACCTTCCTCCTTCGTGCCTTCCATTCTGGTTCATTTGCCGCTGTCACCCTTATTTGCTTGTTTTGTGCTCATTCGCTTTTGCCTGTTACCATTTCCCCCTTCTTGGCTCCTTCCTTGTTGTGTTCTGTCATATCATTGCTCTTTCCAATTTTGGTAATCTACCCCTTTTTTTCCGAAGTATCGTGCTGACGTCGAACAAGCTCCCAAAATGCCCAAGGCCGTCGGCGGCAACTCTGCATCCGGTCGCAAAATTGGCTACTGGCAAAGCTCCAACGTCCGCAAGCGCCAGTATAAAGATGGCAAGTTCAAGTGCCCTCCCGTTCGACCAGGCGACATTCCTCTTGATACCAATATTCCCTCGGTGGCCGTTGGACGCATTTATACTATGCTTTTGGTGCGATCAACCCGAAGACCTTTCACATCGTCGATGATCCAACCAAGGCACCTTTGTACACGGAATTTACTGCCCTCAAATATCGACCAAATGGGCCACAGACTTGGATCGCCGTTGGTGGATTCGATTTCAGTGACCCCGGCGTAGATCCGGATGCAGAGACGGACACCGCGCCAGATGTGTCCACACACAGCACCTGGAGCGACATGGCAATGACGACGGACCGTCGAACAGCATTCATACAATTGCTCATTACCTTTATGGATAAATACGGCTTCCAGGGCATTGATCTCGATTGGGAGTATCCCGTCTCCGAGGATCGTGGAGGACGTCCAGAGGATACCAAAAATTTCGTGTCTTTAGTTCGCGAGATGCGACAGGCCTTCGGCACGAAATACGGCATCAGTGTGGCTTTAGCACCCGATTTCTGGTACCTACGTTGTAAGTTGGATGTAGCCTTGACACATTTCACTTTCTTCGGAGTGTGATCTTCTAATAGTGATAGACTTCGATGCCGTCGCCATGCAGCCGTATGTCGACTGGTTCGGCTTTATGGCATATGATCTTCATGGTGTTTGTAAGTGACCAATGCTTCTTGTCCTTACACTCGGTCACTAGAGTTTCGCTTACACAAACATAAACAGGGGCATCGGACAGCAAAAGTAAACTCGTCAGAGGCCATACGGATGCCGAAGAAATCTACAAAGACATCATCCCACTTTCCTTTGACGGCCTGGATTTTAGGAAGATCAACTTTGGCATGGCAATCTACGGGCGAGGGTTTACGCTGGCAGACCCAAAATGTCGAGCCATGGACGGGACCTGCTCATGGACAGGCGGAAACGAGGCTGGTATTTGCACCGACTTTTCTGGTGTCTTATCCTATGACGAGATTCAGCAAAAGATCTTAGACGCCCAGCGCCAGAACAGGGCAGGCCCGACCCTAGACCCTACAACAATGATGAAATATCTCACATGGGGCGACAAGCAACAAAACTGGATCGGATATTATGATCAAGAGACTTGGCAGCTCAAGAAGACCAATCTGGCCGACAAATACGGTTTTGGTGAGTTCCGCATGTTATATTATCTGTATGTGTTTTATCGACCTACAAATATTGACTAACTCATCACCCAGGTGGCACATTGTTTTGGTCTGTCGATTTCAGTAAGTTCCTGCGCTGAACGCTATCTACAAGTTATAACCCCCCCCCCCCCCAATGCTAACAACTGGCACAGTGGGCCAGGGTATGAATATATCGGATGTGTACATTGACCCTTCACTGGTCTGTCAGGATGGAAACAATGGCAACCGCATCGCATCTTGCCATCAACCGTGTCGTTTGATTATGCCCCAATGTGCCATACCCACGACAACCGTGACGGCCACATATACCATCACATTCGAGGTTTACCAGGGTCCGTCTTCGACTCTTACCGAGACAATGATCACGGAAGTCACAGTTACGACAGCCTCCATCTCGTTCTCGCCTGTCTACGTCGGCGGTGGCCGCAATGGAGGCGACACATTTACCCCTGTTCCCATCATTCCTATGCCATCCATGATTCTTTCTGTGACCCCAACTGCCGGTGGCACTGTGACAACCCGTACAGTCACCCTGCCTAACTGGCCTACGACAGGCCAGTGGCCACCCCCCGGCGGAGTCACTAACCAGGACCCTTGGCAAGCGCCCACGCACAGCGATGCCAGCAGCAGCACGTCAACACAAGAACCCTTTGCTCCTCTTCCGCCGCTATACCCGATAACGGGCCCTACAGACCCTCCAGTACCCAAGGAGACAGATTTTAGAACGACCGAGACGACCGAGACGACCAGCACGACAACAGCTGCGGTTGTCATCATGACATGGCCGCCAGGTGTAATAGAACCTACAGACAACGACGATGACGATATTATACCATGTCATGCATGGTTCCTTACCGTATGTTTGAGTGACACTGTCGTTGACACGTATTGAACGGTACAACCACAAATAAGCTGTTTAACATGTCAATTTTGCTTCTCCTGGCCCGGTTTCGATTTCAAGGGCTTTAAATTGAATTTTCCAATACCACCTGGCCTTTACATGTGAGTACAAATAAATCGCAACTCGAGCTAATCTAGACACTGATTACGTTGGCAGTTTTCCACCTCCCGATCCTCCTTCTATTAAACCACCCCCAGGCATGAACATTAATCTTAAACCCGAGCCACACATCATTCTGACGTAAGTCACTCGTATCTGTTGCCATGGCTGGAGAAACAAATCATGTTTGAGATTTTTTGACTAGGCCGTGACTGGCACTGGTTCACAGCTAAACAATGTCGATAGACGTGGCAAGGACAACAAATGGACCACGTCGCAGCGGAGTGACCAAACTAGTTCCTGCGCACACAGTACCACGGTGTTTGATACGGCAACATCCGTGACGGCGACGGTAACAATTAGCGGAAAGAGCACATGGACATCGACAGCTACAGTGCGGTCAACGCAGATTCCCCGGACCGGTTGTCACTTGCAGGCCACGGCCACAACCGGCCAAACATTTGTGACAAACACTAACTGCCCACATGCCAGAGGTATTGTAGCCTTTGAACGCAAAAACGAGGAAGATGACAGTGATTCAGATGGTAGTGATGCAGATGGTAGTGATTCAGACAGTAGTGAGTGGGCCGACCATCAGCTCCATTCCGCTCAGAGACATGCCAACAATAAATCTCTTGGCCATGATGATAACCTTAGCCAATCAAGACCTGGTAAGAATACCAGAAAATCTACCAGCCGACGACATCCATCTGCACCGCAATCTCCACACAGACGAGAAGAAAACAATGACATCGACATTGACTGTTGGTTTGGCCATTATGGTATACTATTGCCCGCGGATCCCCTTAACGTCGTCGACATTGATCGGCTTCTGGATGACTACAAAGCGAATCGGAATCTCCAGTTCACCAAGATATGGGCACCATCGCATCGAGGGTTCACAGCAGGTTACTTTTTGGAGGACGCTACGATACGGCTCGAGAATGAATTAATAGCACTTCGGAATAGTGGAATCGTAAGTACAGTGTCCCGACTTGTTTTATTGTCCCTGGAACCGAGGCGCAATCTTTATGGATGACGGCACACTAAACAGTCCCATATGTTTTGTCTAGCTACGACCATTTTTTTACATAGATCACTTCCACTTCAGTGACTCATCGGATGGATCACTGGGCGGATCGCTGCGACGACGAACCAGACCAGTGATGTCATTCAATATCACAGAAACCAAAGCACAAAATAGAGAGCAGGAAGTAAGGCGCAGTACGAACGTCGTCGCCAAATCTAGTTCGTGGAGCGCATCTCAGGTCTCAGTTCCTAGAGGCGTTCGATGGCCAAACGACCAATCCCGCATAGGGAATGACTACCACTATTATTACCACCCATCCGCTGGCCAGGGCCAAAACATACATGTCTGTGAGGCTGATGATATTCCTTGGCACGCCCATACAGTAAGCATAGATGTCATCGCCGCCACCCTATGTTCTCGACAAGTACATTCTGACCACGTTGGACAGGAATTTTCAAACTTCCAATCACGCAACTTGCCAGTACGTGCATACAGTGTCCGTGGGGGACCAGTCTTCACCGGCGACGGTTACCACGAGCCCCTGGTTCACAAGGGACGCCACGCCTCACAAGTGGCGGCCATGGCTGTCGGTCAACACTTAGGTATCGCCAAACGCGCCAACTTGTGGACATCAACGGCTGGCGCAGAATCATTTATAGAAAGCGATGTTTTTGAAGTTGCATTCTGGTTGAATGACGCTTTAGTGGAAATCCTCGAAAGCATCGCTTCACAAAATAACGCCCATACCGCTGTCTTGAGCATTTCCTTTGATTCCGAGTTGTCTGAAAACCCCGCGATGATAGGTCTTGATCTTATGGGAAGTAAGTCTATACTGTGGCAAAGATCTTTGTGTGTTGCATACTTTGCGTTGCCTTGACGCTGACAGCCATTTTCTGTTGGTTTCGACCCTCCCTTACAGCTGCCATCTTGTTCGAGTTTTACAAGCTAAATATTCCCATTATTATGTCATCGGGAAACATCTATAACAAGGACCCGGCAATACTGTGGCCGCCAATCCTTGCATATGAAACTTATAGAGGATACAACAGCATTCCCGGCACGCCAAATAGGAACGAACTCAGAAACTTTGCAAATTCCATCATGTTGGTCGGTGCCACTACAAAAAACGGTCCCAAAGCTGATTTCAGCCAGTTCAGTTCCCTTGTTCAGCTACACGCGCCAGCGAAGGCGTTATGGGAAGTTCAAGCCCCGAAACATGGCAATGGTCTCATCGAGACAAACGACGCAGACGCACAGGGGACGTCGTATGGTAAGACTGATGCAAATCGACAATGGCGTCACATATTGAATAGTGGCTCTATTCGTCATATTCTGAGTCCAGTGATCTTGTAACACAAAAAAATCTAACACCATATGCAGCCGCACCGCAGGTCGCTGGCCTGATTGCCTACTTCAGAGCACTTCCAAACACAGATCTCCAAAAACGACTTAGTGACGTACGAACATTGGTATGTTTCTTTCTTTTTATGTTTCGGTTTTCTGACTGCATATGATTATTTCGGCCTTCACCGTGACGTTGTATGTCTTTGTCTCGGACAAGAACAGCTCGTGCCAGCATTGAGTAGCTATATTAACGATTCACACTGTAGAAATATTTCCTGGGCAAATTGGCACGCGTCTTGAACGTCATGCCTGGCCTCCCAATGCCACCTAAGTACAAAGCGAGATTTCCCGAAACACTGATGGTCCGGACGATATGGAATGGCCAGCTGCCCGAAGACTTGTCATGTCTCGTACAAGAGGATATTGACAAAATGACGGAGGCACAGAGAAACGTTTGTCCCGACATTAAAAACGACAAGTTCTGGAATGATGCAAAATACTGGAACGCCATCAGCACCACTGAAGATAACGACAAGGGTCAGACCATTGAGTGGCAACCAGGCGAACCCGGGCCGCTCTGCTCGGCAGCCGCCCCGTCCACTACTCCGTCGAAGGGCTCCGGGCGGGCAACTCTCCCTCCAGAGCTTAATGGTCGCGCACCGCAGATTGTCCTAGGACCAGGCCAGTGTGGCACAGGCTGCAACAGTGACTGGTACTGCGACGATTCACCAGACGGAGTACCACCATTTTACCGAGACCCCAAAGATCCGGTTCGTTTTGTTCTCTCTCCTTTTTTGTCTCTGCGATGCTGTGGCTGTCAGGAACGCTCAAGAAACTTACCCTGTTTAGTTATTTCCCGTCCTGAATTTTGACAGCTAACACTCCGGCCTGATAGAACAAGAGCAACCCCTATTTGGGCATTCTTCCAGTGCCGATACCGATCCCCACTCCGCTGCCGTCAACGGCGCCACAAGTCCGGCATTGCCATTTCCATATCACAAAAATATTTACGTACACGACATCGATCGCACCTACGAGTCCAACATTGTCTCGGCTCGCCTGTACAAGCTACGACCCCAACAACGCCAACACTGTCCTCGGTACCAAAAATATCGGCACTGCGAGTGGGAATAAGCTGGTCTGGTCGGCTTCCCAGTCCAGACTGCCTGCTGATATTCACTTTGCGCTATCCAGCTGCCTTGTTCCGCGGAGCATGAATTTCCGCCGAGGAGTGGACGGTACGGATGATACGGACAGTACAGACAGTGTGGACGAGGTGGACAGTGCGGACGGTACGGATGGTGCAGACAGTATGGACGGCTCAGACGATAGCCCGCTGGAGTCCGACAACTGCGTAATCACGTTTACGACCAGCGGCCACACCTGGTCGACGGACGACCGCGATTCGGCAAAGGCAGCGTATTGCAACGTGGGCAAATACTCGGGTCATTTGGTACGTTCCTCTCTTCATAACATGCTTTCGTTTCTTTGCTCGTGGTGGTAATGGGTACTGACCAGCCTTACTTTTCGTTCTTGTAGACCCAAGACATGGACTGTTTTTACACATGCTAGATATGACGGTGAGCGAGAAACGGGCTCCGACGGTTGTGTGTGCAAGTGCAAAAATACCAAGAGAATCATCTGGCTCAAACATGACCACCTCGATTTATTTAGTTCCGAGTCTTTTTTTTTTAATTTGTTTTATGTGCGGGCGCAGCATGCAGTTATCAATTCCCAGTGTTATTGGTGCTGGAGAACCAATCCATGTTAAAGAGAACAGATACAATGTAACGCTGCTCTTGCTCCGTCGGCGGTGCCGGTGTCGTTAATATGCCCCACAACCCAGACTTTTCATGAAAGTGTTTATTTTAGAAGAGCTTGATGTATTTCAGTTATTATTACTGTAATTGTATTTTTATTCATAGGGATCTTATTTCTTCGTAAATCCAGAATAAATGAACATTTGTTGTTTAATTTGCCATCTTACAAGCATACAGTTGTCTTCATCAACGTCAAGTCATGACTTGGTAGGGGGATAAATTTTGGCCGTGGCGATTTATAGCAGTATGTGTTGAACCTATGAGACATTAGATTTGGCGTTGACTTTGCCACCCGGTAAAGACAGTGCCAGGATACAACAGTAATGACAGGAGCCCGCGGTGATTAAGCTTAAAGTATGGGCCCCTCTGTATCTTTCACAAGTCCCTCTGTACTTTGGTGTTTGTTTTCAGCCGTCCCGTGTCCAGTACCACTGGAATGACTGTGCAAGGTTGATGTCTGTTGGTTGCATCGAACAGACAACCATTATCATCATTGTCGTGTGTGTGCCAAGACGCATCTGGTGGCTGTTTCTGGTTAGTTTTGTAGCTGCCTAACCCTACCAATAAGGCCGACAGCCTACTCTTGTACTCGTCCTCAGTGTGTGCCTTGCCATTGGCATTCTGGTGACCCTTCTCCACGGGGTGTTTGCGTACTGCATGGTCGCGCTTCGTATAAAGGCGTCACAGCGATGTTGCGGCGAAGTCGAAGGATGTCCTTGTCCACCCCCTTCAACTCTTGTTTGCTCATCGACAAATCGACCGCATCCACTTCTCACCATCGCCGCCTCACCATGTTTGGCCGCATCAACCCCAATCCTGTCGGGAACAGCCGTCGTTCTCGCTCCGGCCCCACCTCTGGCTTGACTGCAGACGGCGTGGCATCCTCCTCCTCCGCCGCCAGACGTTCGCACATCGCTTACGGCGGGACAGGCTTTCTCGTCTTGCACGGCCTGTTTCTCCTTGTTGGCCTCGCCCTCTTCGGCGTCTCCGTCGCGTACCTTGGCTACGTAAGTCACACCCGCCGCGGCATCGGGCTCGTGGTCGGCGCGGTGTCGGTGATCAACGACATCTGGGCCATGCATGTGGCCTCGTCTCCGAAGCCGGCGCTGGAATGCGCCGTGGTGGGCGACGGGTTTGGGCTGGCCTTGGCGGCGCTGTACCTGGGCGTGAACCACGACGGCTACTCCTTGTTCAAAGTCCCGGTTGGCGAATTCGCGTACGGGGACGCTGTCCTGCTGCAGCTGGCCAAGGCGGGATTTGTGCTGGCGATTGTAGTGGGAGCGATGCGGCTGGTGTCCGGGGCGGTGACGCTGGTGCTGGCATGCACGCGGAAGCGAGGCCCGCGGCACCACCCGTATTAGAAGGTGATGGGTGCGTCAAGACAGCGGCTCTTGTGGCGTTTGTTTATCGACGATATCACAAGCTGGCAATATGCCATACCGAATTGGGATGAAATAAATGCCAAATACCAATAAATTGTGCGAACGATCCATAGCGGCACAGATTGAGCATCGGATGAAGTTATGTGAATGGCGTTTCAGACTCGCCCTGGCTGCTGAGTGAAAGTAAACCAAATGACCGAATTCGAATTGGACATTGTGAAATCCACGTACAGCAAAACTGACGCTCTTGTAGAATCGTGCGGTGCAGAACGTCATATCGATCCAACATGTACGGTTGAACTCCCCATTATCACTGTAGCCACGCCCGGCCTCCATGCGGTACCACATCCGGCGTCGGTCTGGCTCGGACGAGCACGGCCGAGTCGGTCTCTCGTTCGGTCCCGACGTACAAGCGCAGCTGCAAACTAACAGAACATATGCTGTACATTCGTCACGACTGACAACTAACGAAAATTCCGTTAGCGCCTTGTGGGGCTCGAAATGTGCGAAATCTAGAGCGATCGACAGAACTGAAGGGACTAACATCTCGACCCGGACACGACAGACTGGCAATGCGGACAACGAGGATGTGGAAAAACGAAGTAAGAATGGTATGTGTTTACAAAACAGAGTAAGTGGTGTATGTTTGTTCGAGACGGAGGAAAGGACCGCATTTCTTTTCAAAGCATGTCCCATGCTCTATTAGACCAAGGAGGTCGACTTCGGACGATGGAGAGGAGCGTTTGCGAGAAAAAGTAGTAATACCGGGCCCAGGGGCAACACGCTAAGCCTTAGGGACATTACGCGCATTGGTGCATTGTCGCATTGTCCGCGGGCAGTCGCAAGTCGGGCCTTGGAAGCGCCGACGTTTTGCAATGCGCCGTTCTCGACAGTTGAAAATGGAGGACTTCCCCAACCGCGTCCGACAGCTGCTGGATTTTATGCGTCGCTTTACACTCCTCTGTTGATAATATTGACATCCACGTCCAATTGTGTGTTAAAGGCTCTCGTTTTAGACCCGAGGTGCAACAGTCACCACGCCAAATCTGCCACTGTCGCCACGAACACCACCAACACCACTAAGCCACTAGCCCAACTGCCCACTAACACCAACATCTGCGGCTACTTCAGCACCAGGCCAGGGTGCACAACATCTCGTCCTCATCAAACAGCTTCATTTGCACGTCAAGTTCACATCGTTTCCACCCACGGTCCCCCAGTCCGTCCACGCTTGTCTCGCTTTGTACCTGCGTGCTACGACTGCCCACCGACCCAGCTTTGCTTCCACAACAGCCATCTGGAGCGTCCCCGTCACACAACCGAACAGGTGTCAGGTTCATTTATTACTGTTATTATCCCGGGCAACACATATAGCCGCTGTGCTGTCCTCTTCTTCACGGCACCTCCTTTTTTTATTTGCAGTCTTCTCCTCACAATGGCGTTTCTCGCCTCGTCTGCACGCATTGGCCTCCGTCCTCTTGTTCAACACCAAACTTCCCCGTCACGACACCTCGCCTCACAGACCAGAACCGCCATACACAGCCATTCCCTGTCATCACCGCCGCGCCCAACCGCCCCTATGAGCGCCTCTGTTCTCTTCGCTGCCGCGGCCGTCGCGGTGGGCGCCTACGTTGCATACACGTGGACGTCGTCCACCGCCCAGGCCGAGGCGCCGGGCGGCAAGCCCCCGTTTGCCAGCTTCGGGTTCCGCACGCTGACGCTCGCCAGCAGCGAGACGGTGAACCACAACGTCAAGCACCTGCGGTTCGACCTGCCGGATCCCAAGACGCCGAGCGGGCTGACCGTGACGTCGGCCCTGCTGTCCATTACCTTTCCCAACGGCCGGTGGCTGCCGGTGCTGCGGCCGTACACGCCCATCAACGACACTGGTGCGTAGCAATCCTCCTCTCTCCCACCGTCTTTTTTCTTTGTCACCTCTACATTCTCAAACTAACACTGCATGCAGATGACCTCGGCCGCATTGACTTTTTGATCAAAAAATACCCCGACGGCAAGCAGTCCTCCTACATGCACAGCCTCCAGCCGGGCGACGCCGTCACCTTCTTCCGCATCCCCGGCTACAGCTGGACCCCCAACGAGCAGCCGCACGTGGCCCTCGTCGCCGGCGGCCAGGGCATCACCCCCTGCTACCAGCTGCTGCGCGGCATTCTGCGCAACAGCAGCGACCGCACCAACGTGACGCTCGTCTGGGGCGTCAACACCGAGGCCGACCTGATCCTGGACAAGGAGCTGGCCGCCCTGCAGGCGCAGTACCCCGGCCGCCTGACGACGCAGTATGTCGTGAGCACGCCGTCCACGAGCGCTGCGTCGTCCACGTCCTTCAAGAGCGGCCACGTCACGAGCGCGGTGCTCAAGGCTGCTGGCGTCTCGGCGGCCGACGGCATAGGCAAGGTGTTTTTGAGCGGACCTCCCGCCATGGAAAAGGCACTGTTGGCGCGCGACGGAGCGCTGGCTGAGCTGGGCTTTGGCAAGAAGGAGGTGCACAAATTCTAGGCGGAAAAGAGTCAAGGGTGTGTCACAACGAGAAAGCTGGTTTCTTCAAGTTTTCTCTTTTCTTCTTGTTCTTGTTTTCAACATTTCAATGTTGAACATAGGGGTAGTTTCACGGAAAAGACAATGATGCTCCGTTGCCATACATTTATCTCGACCAGGTCGTTGGACCGATGATCATTTCTCATTGTCACGAGCTTTAAAAATATTAAGCAAAGTTTGTTTGTACAATACTCGTTTGAACACGCTGGTGTCTTTCAAACCTTATTATTTTCTGCTCGTCTTCCAGTCACCGTTGCATTAATAAACGGCCTGTTAAGTGGTTGTTTACCCGGACGCAAATTGGCCCTTGTCCAATTACAGATTGCGCCTCGGCGCGTTCATGCCATTGATTGTCGGCACCATGCAATGGCTGGGCTTAAAACGCTACTGTGTTCGGCATACAGTACTTCCTAATGACTCCAATTTGGTATTGGCTGTGTTCCGACGTCACTGATGCCAGCTTGTCAAGAACTGCTCCTAGCTCTACTGCCGTTGCCGAGACCGCAGGCCGGATGGCGAGCAGGCAGGAAAATGGTCTTCTTCGGCTCGTCGTGAAATTCTCCGACCTTCACAAATGGCCGGCCGTTCGTGTGCCATTCTCATCATCTCCAAGGTAAATCTGTTCTGTTAAACGACAGCGTGCTTGTAAACTGCCAACGACCATGGCCGACCCGTCGCGTTCGACTTCTTCGGTCGTCCACATCCACAAAGCATCCATGCTCCTCTTCCTGGCGGCATCGTCCACCCTCGTCGCAGCAGCATCTGCAGCCCGCGACCACAGCAGCATCAACGTGGACCTGCCACTGCCCCAGGTCGGCCACTGCGCCTGGTCCAAGTATGGCTACCCCATGCCCACCACCGGCCAGGACGTCTGCCCGCGGCCCGTCTCCGACCTCTCGAGCAGCTTTGCGCCCTGGTCGTACCCGCCGTACTGCATCTGCGCGCCCATGAACGCCACCGTCCCCGACCCCGAGGCGGGCGACGCCCGCGTCAGTGCCGGCGGCCGCAAGTACTGCGTCTACACCGCCCGGACCTTCCGCGGCCGCGGCCTCAGCGTCATCTCGACGCCGCAGGGCGCGGCCAACTTGGTGGCGTCGCTCGACGACACGCGCGTGCTGCCGCGCCTGCGCGACCACCCGGCGAGCAGCATGGCCAAGCGGGACGCGCGGCGGGACGCATGGCGGCCGTACGTGATCAAGAACGTGGCGCCGGGCCGCGGCAAGGGGCTGGTGGCGCGGCGGCGCGTGCCCAAGTGGGGGGAGGCGCTCGTCGGGTTCCCCATCATGGTGGCCCGCACCGACTTCCTCGAGGCGCTCGAGGACGCGGACCGCCAGGCGCTCGAGGACCGCGCGCTGCAGCAGCTGCCGGCCATGGCGCAGGAGGCCATTCTGGCGCTGGCGCACGGCGGGGCCGGCGCCGGCGACAAGGAGCATCTGCTCGAGGACATCTTCCGGAGCAACATTTTTGGCATTGAGATTGCGGGCGTACACCACTTTTCGCTGCAAGTGGAGGGGTCGGTGAGTTCACGAGATGGCGCAAAAAAAAAAAAAAGGTAATTTGACTGCAGCTGACCTTGTCCTCCCACAGCGCATCAACCACGACTGCCGACCCAACACCTTTTGGCGGTACTCGCCCAGCACCATGACCCACGAGGTCGTGGCCTTCCGGGAGATCTCCATCGGCGAGGAGTTTACCCACAGTTGTACGTTGCCGTGACCGGTTCCCATGCACTCAGAGTCCAACAGCAGAGAACCCACCGCTGACCCGCAGACCTGCCACTCGGCTTGGCCCTCAAGGACCGCCAAGAGTCCATCCGCCGCTGGGGCTTTTCCTGCCACTGCAGCCTCTGCATGGCGCCCAAGAACCTCGCCTTCGCCTCGGACATCCGCCGCACCCGCCTCGTCGAGATCTACACCACCATGGAGGACGAGGCGGCGCAAGGTCTGCTGACACGCGACACGATCGAGACCCTGCTGGCCGAGATGATGCTCTTGATCAACGGCGAGGACCTGGTGCCTCAGCTGTGCGAGTACTACGCCATGATCGCCCGCGCCTACTTGTCCATCGAGGCCTTTGACGATGCCCGCCACTACGCCCAGCAGTCCGAGGAATACTGGATCCGCTACGGCACGGAGGAGCACGACAACGTCGACGCGGTGCGCGCTCTATGGAAGCAGATTGTGGCCAAGGAGAAGGCCGTGGCCGAGCGCCGTCGCCACCAGGATGCCGCACAGTCCAGCAAGCTGTAAGGGAAAAGTGTCAAAGATACCAGCCACAGGAGTAAACAAACACAGGGCATGCCACATACAGACTCGAACCAAAACGTAGCCGCAATAAACAAGACGCATATCAACTTTCCTGTACTTGCCGTGTATGGTATATTTGTCTATTGTTCGTGAGAGTAATATCTATTTGTACCATCGTAGACGTCGTCAAAGCCTCGCTGTTTTAATCTATGCTGTATGTCTGGCTCCCTGCCTTGGTGCGTGCCTCGTGCCTTTCGTACACGCCGATGCGCCTCTCATTGCCATCAGGCATCCGGCGATGTCGGTGGTGGTGTTCTGAGTAAGCCAGGTGGAGGTGGCATGTCAGGCGGCGGCGTGCCCAGTTCTACTAATCCCTCAAGGGCCTACAAAACGAAACCGGTTAGCCATGTCGACGACATCATGTTAAATGGAGATTCGATATAGCAGTTTGGATGGGCAACGTACCTGCGCGGCCGTCAGCCTCTCTGTGCTCTGGAACTTGAGCATGCCCGCCACAAATCTCCGAATGTCCCGGTCCACATCCGGTAGAAGTATGTTCCACGGCTTGCGCGGGAATACGTTGTACATGTCAAAGGGCGGCGTCGGGAAATGCTCGGCTTCGGGCCACGTCTCGCGTGTCGGCGTGCCCAGTTTCTTGAATATGTCCAGGATCAACCCCAGCTGGTTGCCGTCCTCATGAGCCGCCCGGGACCGAAACAGCGGCTCGCGTGGTGGCCGGCGTGCGCATTGACCGAGCAAGGCACCTGCCGCCCAAATGTCGACCGCCGTCCCGTAGGCCTCGTTGGTAAAGAGAGTCTCGGGTGCGCGGTAGGAGCCTGTGCCGATGTCGAGACACTTCTTGTCCGCAGGCTCGTCTGGCAGGGACAGCTCGGGGTGCCATGCGGTGCCAAAGTCGGACAGGAACACAGGCCCGTCCAGCCGCTCCAAGAGAATGGACGACGGCTTGATGTCGCGATGGATGATGCCAAGGCTGTGGACGTGTTTGAGGGCGGAGAAGATGTCGGTGAAGTAGTTCAAAACACGGTCGCGGGTCAAATAGTGGTTGGTATTGTTCGGGCCCTTATCCCCTTCCAGGATTGTCTCCAGTGAGTACCGCAAGTAGGGCATCACCAGAACCGGCCGTGAGTCGTACGTCAACTTTTTGACCAGTGAGATGCAGCGATTGTGGCCCCAGTTCAGGATGCGCATAATCTCGGCTTCGCGCTCAATACTGTGTGGCTGCAAATCGCCATCGTGCCTCCAGACTTTGAGAGCATATAAATCGCTTCGGTAGACGTCGGCGGATGCACCTTGGCCAATGTGGATGCAGTCCTCGTATGGCCCGATGGTGACGCCCTCCGGATCGTCCATATCCGCATCGAATATTATTTCGGTGTCGCTTGGTGGGCCGTCAGAATGGCCAACGGGGTAGGAGTTATTAGCGACTGCTTCCCGATACTCTCTCTATTTGCGTCAGTGGAGAACAGTACGGAAAACAAAGGAGAGATGCACAAACAAAGCGGGATGGTTCGTACAAGATTTAGGCTCTCGTTCCACAGTTCCTGTTCGAGGGCTGCTGCAGTCTTCCTATCCAGCTCTGGCCGGTCAGTGAGGCCGCTGTATACCAAAGAAGAGTCAGTATGTATTGGTCCCGGGTCAAACACCAATGACAGAAGGGCAATGACGGGCAGGAATTCTCGTCCACGGTAGAGGATCTCACATTATTCGGATGTTCTTATAACGCTCCTCGAAACCGACATGATTTCGCCAGTTCTCGTCTCCGTCGTCGGACAGGCTCCACATTGCGGGTTGTGGTTGAACGTCTTGCCGTAGATTGATAAAACAACTAGTTGGAAATACGATTAACGAGTGATGAAAAGCGATGTTGCGGCGCAGCGTGCTGCGTGTGATGCTGTGTTATGGATGCCACCGTTTGTTATGATGTTCTGATGTTGTAATGTTGTGATGTTCTGAGCTCTGGTGGAGAGCGCTACAAAACCCACCAACCCGGTACGATTTCAGTGGAGAGCTCCCGGAGAAACGCTTTCCCCGCAGCCGGCCACGTCCAATGCCATCCACTTGGGGAAGGCGCAACGACGACACAACGTAAACAAACATAGCGACATTGCCTTTTTGACATCGACTGCATAATACGACAGTGCAGTAGTGTTGTCCATAGAAACGAGCCTGCCGTAAATGGCGGTTGAAGCAGAGATGAAAGGGCTTATCAGGTGACTGCCGATCAGTGTCAGCGACACATGTTGCGCTTTGTTTCCAATGGCGAAAGGTATCGTGAGAAGCACCCTTCAAACGTCATCAGGGTCTCAGCTAGTCCATAAAGGCTCCTTGACAAAATTAGTGACCGGCGAGACCCCAGTGTCCAGAAAACCCTTTGCGATCTCCACTGCTTTGCCTGGAAGTTCCCAGCAAGCTGCTACTGACAGCTCCCGCAGCACTTTCAAGGATTATCATTCCTTCAACTACGTGAATCCATGCTGCCCATGTCGAAAATGGCTTTGTTCTTGAATGATCCTGGCTCACTACTGGCAATGAGGCTCGGAGGTTTGGTCAAAGGACCAAAAGGATCACATGTTCGGGTGTCCTTCCCCACACAAAGGAGACAAGGCCCACCAGTCTTTGGGTTGGCTACGTCATCGCACCTCTCCTTGAAAGAAGAGCGGAAAAGCGGGGGTTAGTTGAGACAGTTCGCCTACTGTGGCGGAACACTGTATTTTCTCTTTCAGGCGATGTCTTCGTGCCCTGGAAGACAAAGATAAGAGCGTTGCATGACCGTCTGCTGGAAATGAGTTTTAGCGAGAGATGCAGCGGGCAGCAACAAGACCGCTTGGGTGGAGCCCGTCCCGGGGTCAATGCCTACAGTAGACCAATACGACGAAATACCTTCGTATTCAGGCCGCCGTCTGCCGTGTCTCTTACTTCGTAGGTGTTTTTTAGACCAGTGAGATTCGGAGCACTGTGCTGCTCCTCCGCTGTGGGTCTCTGTTTTCCCTCCTGAAGACGCTGTTTGGACGGGGGCCTTTAGTGTGAGTGGGCCCCCGCGTGTTATCTCGACTGAGCTGGGCTGCCTTCTGCGCCTTGATTTTTAGCCCGTAAGGCCCCTGTTACCCCCCGCACAAACTGCCTCACTGCATACCCCATACGACAGCAAAGTGAATCCGAGACGAAGCCGGCAAAACACGCCCGTGTTCATGATGGGATGCTCTGTTCATTGATGGTAGGACACATACAAATAAATCCAGTAACTTCCAGTGCGTCGATAGTCTCCATGTCCGTACATTGCTCCTGTTAAGGCCTGGCTCGGTATGCATCGGACGATGCAGACGCCAACGACAAAACGGACCCTGTAATTCCTGCCGTGACTGCGCACATGTGTACTTGCCCGATCCGCTTCCGTACGTCCAGTTCAAAGGAAAGAGCAAGTGACGACAGCGCCAGGCCGCTTCTCCATGCCCTAGCATTGCGGGGTATCCACATGGGCTGGCGTAGTAGGCCCTTTTCTCAGCAAACCCCATCACCCCATCTCATGCATCTGCGCGGAACCTTCTCCTTTCAGGGCCTTGGCGCCAAACAAAGCGGTCGTGACTTTGCTGTACCGTTACGTTGTTTGACCCTTCCAACGGGCTACTTTGGACGGGCGTCACACGTCTCCACGATTTGAAGCCTAGCGCTGGAGCCTGCAGAGCGGTGGTGGCCCTTGTTGCCCTTTTTGGCGCCTGCACTCTATGTCGTCAAGTGTGTATCTTGGGGTACCTCCTGCCGTCACACAGATACGCAATTGCCTATCTCGGCCTGCCGAAGACTTCCGTTACGCCCTCTTCGCCAATCGTGGGCGATGCCTGGCGCCACTTGCGCCTTCCGTGAGCACAATAAGACAAATCCATCGTGTGCCACTTTCCATTTCCGTATTATCGTGCCTGCCTCGCCTGTTTCCTCTTTGCTCCGAAACATCTTCCTTTCTTTATCCGTCAGTCATCCCCTACTTTTATTCTTTGCTTCTCCAGGATTGTCAATGGCCATCACTGCCAGCGACGTTTCGCTCAACATCTCATTCTGCTCTTAACCCTGGTCTCTCTGCTTCGACAGCAGTGATTCATGGACCAGTCTCTTTCGTCTCGTTTCGGCGCTCTCCTACACGTCCATCGTCGCCACTTGGCCCTTTCGTCCTCATAGTAAGCGATGCCAATGATTTTGTCAAAGTTCCATTTCTTCGTTCCGTCGGAGACAATCTCCATTTCGCACAGCATGCTAACGCGATACCCATCCAGACCCCATCTCAGCCCCCGCAAACGGCCCCGTAACATGGTCCTAGCCGCCTTTCATCCCCACACATCGCCATCATGTTAACGACATCTGCTTCCACTTTGGCACCTCGCGTGCGCCTGGCCCAGTCTCGCATTCTCGGCTCGCGAACACTCGCTGCAGCCGGGACTGTCGCTGTCCTCACCCGGCACCGCCAGCTACAACAACAGACCCGTGGTTTTGGCTTCGGCTGGTGGGCCGACCACGTCGACCATGAGCAGCGCCGCGAAATGCGCCGCCGCTACAAGGCCTTGCACCACCGGTACTCGGATGCCGTGAACCGCAAGATGCTCTGGGAGCAGCAGCATGCCAACAATGCCGACGCACCGGCGCACCGGCGCTGTACCCAGCATTACTGGCAACCCAAGCGGTACTTTGCATTCAGCCGGTATCGCTCCAACAAGGACAACTTTTTCAAGTCGTCGGAGACGAGCAGCAGTAACCGCACTTCGAAGAGCAATGCCACTGGCGCAGAGCCCACCATAGAAGACGTTGAGCGCAATGCGTGGGGCCACTTCTTGTTCCGCGACGGCGAGCGCACACATCCTTCCTGGTCATCCTCGTTTGACGATATCCGAAGCTACATTGCCAGACGCCAGGAAGACCTCCTCAATGAGACGCCCTTTGGCACGCCGACGGCCAACGCGACGAAAACGACGTCGTCAGCATCGTCGTCTGCATCCGGTGTCTCTGCATCCACATCCTCGTCCTCCGGGACGCTTCATCCCGACGCCGACTATGTCATCGACCCGATTACGAACCGTAAAGTGTCCAAGTCCTCTGCCAAGTCCACACCGGACGAAGTTGTCTACGATATGGACCTGCCCCCAACACAAGCCGAGATGCGCGCGTACAAGAATGTGTCGGTGGACGACTCTGCCTTCCACAACCCCACAATTGGCGCCGCCGTCGCTGATTCTATCAGCTTCAAGAGCCTTGGCGACGAGGAAGCACCCAAGTACGACGACTTGGACAAGTACAAGCCCATTAAGCACAATGAACCAGACGGCAAGCCAACCGATGCGCCCGTCGAGATTGGCCATGAGGGTTACGACGAAGCGGAGGTCCAGCAGTACAAACCATTCAAGTGGAACGAGCCGGATGGCAAGCCTGTCGACAAGACGGTTGAACTAGGCCACGAGGGGTACGACCCCGAGGAGCTGGCCAAGTACAAGCCTTTTCTCTGGAACGAGCCAGACGGCCAACCGAACACCGAACCGGCCGAGCTAGGCCATGCTGGCTACGATCCTGCCGAGGTGCAACAGTACCAGGCATTCCGGTGGAACGAGCCCCACGGTCAACCCAAGGATCGGCCCGTCGAGCTGGGCCACACCGGCTACGACCAGGCTGAGGTTCAGCAGTACCAGCCATTTGGATACCATGAGCCTCACGGCCGGCCTCCCGTCGCCAACGAGGAAAAGGGTCATCACGGATATGATGCCGCCGAGGTTCAGAGCTACAAGGCGTTCCGGTACAACGAGCCAGATGGCAAGCCCCCTATTACTACCGGCGAGCTTGGCCGTGAGGGTTACGACCGCGTTGAGGTGCAGACCTACCAAGCTGTCCGATACAATGAGCCCGACGGCAAGGCATCGGAGACCGCCGAGGATGTTACCGACTCATCAGAACTGTCATCGTACGGCGCGGTGCGATACCAAGAGCCCGACGGAAAGCCATCCGTTAGCGCTGACTCGACAGCCGACAGCCTGAAGGAGTACGACACGAAGTCGGCCAATAAGGAGCCATATGACGAGGCGTACTCCACGGTTTTGCGGGAATTGAGGGCGCTGTCTCCCCACGACGGAGACGCGGCCGCACCGAGCAACGGCTCCTACGGTTCCGAGTCCGAATCCGGCGGGGCCGGCACTGCTTCTGCTTCTGGAAAGCAGGCCAAAAATGACGGAGCTCGCCCTAGCCGATCTGCCCTTGAATCGTCGATGGACCGGATCAGTGCTGAGCACGATGCCATCGACACGCTGGCCAGCGTCTCCATCAAGTCGCACAAGAGCCGCGCTCGGAAGCAGATGACCGATGCGGAACGCAAGCAAGCACAACTAGACCCGTACTGCACGAAGCCCCAAGGCCTCGAGACGGCCTATGCCGAGGAGTGCGGTGGTGAGGGTACCGTGCCAATCTTCGTCAAGACACACAAGCGTGTTGATCGTGATGCCCCTTCCCTGCCTGTGGCCGCGACGTCGACTCCCACGGATCCGTTCGTATACAAAATTCTTGCCTACAACCCCGGTATGAACACAATCGACACTGCCGAGACATCATCGACCGTACCTGACGCATCATCGCCCATGCCGGCTGCGGACGTGCTGCTGCGTCTTTCCAACCCTGCAAAGTTCTTCCCCCATTTTGAGCCTCTCCGCGCCCAGGGCTTCGAGATTGTTTCCGGTAGCGGTGACGTCCTCATCTTCCGCAAGGTGCGCGAGCCCTCGGATGGAGAAGGCAGCGCGCCGTCCAAGACGCCAACGCCCCAGATCGCTCAGAAGACTACGCGGCGCGCTATGCCTGCCACGACCGTCAATCCTATCGACATGACCGGCAAGCATGGCTATGTGCCCCCGTCAACGGCAAATTTTGTCTCGCCCACCGGCTATGTCAACCTGGACCTCCCACATCTGCACGAGGGGTCTGCTGCCTCATCTGCCGATTTGCCATCGCCCCCTCCTGCCTCGGCGAAAGCTTCGTCCACATCTTTCCAGTCCGGCATTGGCGTCCGCCGTGAAGAGCCCGTGTTCAGCGGGCCAAAGGACAGCAGCAGCAAAGCCGGCACGACTGCCGGTCCTGGTGTGGCCAAGCGGATGGTGGTCGGTGCCACATGGGTTGCGGGTGTGTCGTATGTCATTGGTGTAGCGAGTGAATACGTCAAGGGCCGTTGAGTGCTAGTTACTCTCACCTGCCCGTCGGCAGGGCCGACACGAGGAAGTCATTCCTTTATCCTTCGCTTCTACTTCCCACATTCGTTCCATTTCCTATTCTTTTCCTTTCTCGTACGTCCTTTCCACTCGTTTTTTAACATGGTCGTTCTACCGGAGCATTACCTGGGTTTTTGCTTGTCATTCTGTTTCCTTTGTGGTGCTCATTGTTGAGAAGCCAGCCACTTGTACATTTCCTATCCCCATGTCCACCATCCCCCCAGTACCTATCTTTTGTGCCTACCTCAAAGCACCACTTCCCGGGCGTCGGACTATGTTGTGGGTTATACCCTACTTTACTGTCGATTTTTGGTTGCTCATTATCATACTTATTATGTGGTTTTGTTATCATCATTGGGTATCGCCATTATGGATTGTTTTATGCGTTGTTGGAATCGTTCTTGGCCATGTTGTCTACCCTTCTCATGGAGTTCATAACTTTGTAGCTACAAATACCACACAATATTTACCGGACTTTATGCGCAAAGAAGATTTATAAAACGGCCAAAAGCAGTAGTTTCAGTAATCCTCCGGCCCAATGCCAGGGCTTATTTGCCGCTTGCCATGCAATTTGCAACCTACGACGAGCTCTTTGTACGCCTCAAGCTGAACGTGTTGCAAGGTAAATTCGAAGTAGTTTTTAAAGCTCCGCAACGAAACAAAACAATACGTTACTTATGCACAACCTCACTAAACCCCCAGTCTGACTCGTAGAGGCTCCGCGCCGAGACACCAACAGGCGAGTGTCGATGTTGGTGACCATGATGTGGAGCGGTGGCTTTGTCGCCGCCACCCGCGTGCGGTTGACACCCACACGCCAGCCCCGTCGACTGCACCATCATCGCACGCCGGTATTCCTGCTCGTCCCAGCTCTGCCGCCGGTCCGGGGCCGGTGTCCAGGCGGTGGTGGCAGCCATGCAGTGCTGGGCGGCTTGCGACGGCGCAGGGGACCGGGAGCAAGAACGGGAGCGAGAGCGACTATGGCTGCCGCACATGCGCGGAGACGGCGGTGCCAGAAAGGTAGTCTTTCCTTGCAGCTGCCGGGCACGCGGCGGATGGGCACTGTGTCCGTGGGTGCGGTGGTGGTGGTGTCTGTGTGGGTGGGCGAGTAAGTGCCTCTCGAAGGCGGCCAAGGGATCCGAGGGATCCTGGCGGACGGCGGGCCTTGTGTGGCTGTTGTTGGCATTGCCAGTGTCCGCCGCGGTGGCCGAGCCGTAACTGCTGCCGCTGCCGTCGCGGAAATGTGGTGACTCGGGAGGGAACATCGTGTTCAATGTACGGTAATGCGAATGCGATATGTAGGTCAACGCACTGACTGTTCTTGTGGGATGGTAGTTAAGGATACTTCACAATGCAGATTGCTTCAATGGTATTGATGTGGGTTGCTGTAGCGTTTGTTTGCTTTGGATAAAGGTAAATAAGAATAGAGAGACGAAGGACAAACATCACACTTTGATGCGTTGAGGTGAAGGCACTCGCCAAATATATGTCACTGTTCATCCTAGGTACATCGTTCCATCCCCATTGCCGGTCGCCCTTCTGTCAGTTGACGAAAGAAGCACGGTGAATCTCAGCGAATGTATGAAACTGATTCTGTTTGTCCGGTAGTGTGCAGATTGTGGCGAGAGTGAACTCACAGAACGCAGCCGTTGGAGCAGTTACCAATTAGGTTTGTCGGCCACACACTCCACAACGCCATATCACCACGTATGACTGTGGCCTCCCAATGTATGCCACACATCTCAGGAGGTGGCTGCAACGATTGTTGGAAGCAGGTGAAGAGATGTTTCGTTTTCTTTGTTCCTGACTGGATTTTGTCTCGTTCCATTGTTTTATTAATTGGATTCCCCTCTTCATTATCACTGTGTCTCAAACGTGTCCTGCCAAAATTGGCTCAGACCGTGGCCTGGCCTGCCTTGCATTTCAAAGCGCGTGTCGCGTGTCATTTTAGCATGGAATTGAGAGTCACGAACAAATAGCACCGGTTTGACCAAGGCCGTAGTTGTCACCACATAGCACCAGATGAAAAGCACACCACTTTTCCGTACTTGGATCCAACAGCCCACCATTACGGCCTCGACATTATTATTTCGAAATGTTTTCATTTCATCATAGCGTTTGGCAAGGCTTTCAGGACCTGCAAGCAAAATAACATCAAAATCATGCCAAGGCGACAACTTTGCTACCAAATACTTGAAGAATTTTTTATTTTTTTATTTTAATTTTTTTTTGCAAAACAAATAAATAAAATAAATAAAAACCCAGTACTTCCGGTGGAATGTCGTGTGCCCCAAACAGATGATGCGCACTGACAAAAAAAATTCGGGTTGTCTTAGGTTGCTCTTAAACAGAAAACAGAAAACAATCCATAAATGCGTACGGATGCGCTTCAAACGTCCAGGTTAGGCAGGATCTCACATTAGCCCCAAAACGCGTCAATACAATGAGAAGCTCCAACAGATATGCATGAAGAACACTCATTTTTTTCAACCGTGACTCGCGTCTTTGGAAATTCCTCATGCACTTTATCCTCCGGGTCTGTTTCCAAGGCTGCCCAGGCTACTTCATCAGACGAAGACAAAGGGCGGTCTGTAAACCAAGACTAAAATAAACCGACAACCATACTGGTTGTAGGAGCTCTTAGTTCTGTGCTATCTTACAGGCCGTTCTTCTATGAAAGGACTTCTGTTCAAGCTTTCTTGCCTCGAGATTCAAGCCTTCCTGCCAAGGTAGCTAATTCCTTGGCTTATCTGGGCACATGGACGCCACAGTTCCAGACGTCCGGAACTTTTGCAACCCTAGAAGCGTCCTAATTGGGGATTCTTGAACTGCAATACCTCTTCCTTTTTGTATGATCCAGAAACACCTTACCCAGCATGACTCGACTGCCATTGCACTGCGCAAGCGACACAACCTGACATGGTAAGATAGGATGGAGACGAAGCGGGATACAGGAAATGAACAGCGTGATCATGGTCGATCTTTCAGTGGACCCAACCAATCTGAGCCACAAAATTTCTACACGACAGGTACGGAGTACAGGGCCCATACGCGCCCTGCCGCCGTTTGCCCTACTGCCCTGCTCGCTCCGGCCGTATGTATGCAAAGTCCGCGCCTGCGGGGCGTGGGAAAGGGGAATCTTTCAATGACAGACCCCGGTTCGAGAATCTTATGCACCGTGAGAATACGAGGCGAGGGTTTGCTAGCGCGGCTCAACAGTAAGAATAAGCTTGTCAGCGCGTTGCCGAGAGGTGCCGCAGAAGTGGAAGGGATAGACAAAAGACGACGAGATTGGCCGACGCCGTTGTACTTTGTATTTTGGGTGAGACCCTGCCTCGGAAACTGGCATTCGCTGCTTACGCCGTGTGATTGTTCTTTTGTTTTCCCTACGTAATCTGCAATGTGCTGTTCGCAAGGTTTGGTACGCCCGACGAGCCATCACACTTGCCAAACCATCCGAGTTCCGTGGCCCCTTTTCAATGCTGACTGCGCCGCTCTCTCTGGCCCTCAGACTCAAATGGCAGAAGAAGGCATACGCATCTTGCCGACGAGGCATCACTTTTGTCGCGAATGAGGGGGTACGATGCGCTCCGAGACCGCCGGTGTCACTTTTTACACATTGTCCCGACTACATTGCTGGCCAAAACGCGCCAGATCGAGAACGGCCCGGCGCGATGCGCATCTCACGTGGCCGCACCCGCATATGGCGGCGCGTGGCATTTGTCGTGGCCGCCATCGCCTTGGTCTACTTGATGTTGCCTCTCGACAGCCACACGCGACTGGCCGTCCGCCGACTGTTCCACACCCCGCTGCAGCGCACCTTTTCACGCCAACAGTTGCTAGCGACACCACCGCCGTACCCCGTCGACTTGGCGACGGACGTTGTGCTCGTCATCAAGACGGGATACGGGACGCGGGCCAGGCTGCCGGGAACATTGGCCTTTCTCGACGGCGGGAACAGGACCAGCACGAGCTCTGTCCCTGAGGGGCCTCTGTTCAGCAACATATTGCTGGTCGGCGATTTTGTGACGCAGCAGGGGCAGCACTATCGCTGCAACGGAGAGGAGCTGCCGATGAACGATGTGGTGGGCATGACGATCTCGCTTGCCGGGCCGCAGCCCAAGGACAAGGAGCCCGCCCCCAAAGTTGGCTTCTACCACGATCTGCAGAATGCCATCGTCGCCGCAGACGAAGAAGCGGCCATGGCCTTGTCCAAAAAATTCGGCTGGGAACTCGATGCCTTGAAAGTAGGACGCCCCATCCCCCCCTTTTCTGTTTATAACTGTCTTCCCCACGCCCCAGAATGAACCACCATTTCTCACCATGCGCAGTTCATCTCCAGCCTTGAGCTCGCCTACCGCCGCTTCCCGGACAAGAAGTGGTACGTCCTCGCCGACGACGACACGTACCTCGTGCGGCCGGCGCTGCGCCAGTTCCTCGGTCAGTTCCACCCCGCCTGCGAGCACTACCTCGGAAACGGCGTCGGCGGCTGGGAGGGCCGCTTTGCCCACGGCGGGTCGTCCATTTTCCTGTCCCACGGCGCCCTGCGCCGCCTCTTTGACGGCCACCCCGCGATCGTCGCGGCCGCGCACACGACGGCACTCACCACCGGCATGGGTGACTCCCTGCTATCCAACACGCTCATGAAGGTCGGGCTCTACGTGGCGGAGGAGCACAGCGTCCTGTTCAACGGCGAGACGCCCGAGACCGCCAAGATCCGCCCGGACCGCTTCTGCCTGCCGGTCCTGTCCTTCCACGGCCTGCGGGCGCCGGACCAAACGCTGGCCGTCGACCGCGTCCTCCAGACCAACTGGACCGCGCCGACGCCCCCGCTGTGGCGCGACATCTGGAGCCTGTATGGCGGCCCATCGCTGGAATCGCTGGAGGCGACACCCCACCGCGTTGACTGGGACCATGTGGGCTCGCTGGACGAGTACACCACGACGGCACGGGATGTCCAGCAGGCCAGCGACTGTCAGGTGCTGTGCGAAGCCCGTCGCGACCAGTGCATGGCATGGCGGTGGGAGCAGGAGACCGGCGAGTGCCACCAGAGCCCGTGGGTGATTGTGGGCGGCAAGGCAGAGGGAAAGACGTCGGGACTGAACCTGCGTCTGGTACGAAAACTGGACGAGTCCTGCAATGTTTGAACCATGAAGGGTGCAGTGTGTAGAGCAAGATTCCCAATAAATAAATTAGAAATGGAAATAATGAGCGATGATACCTATCTTCTTTGGAATACCATGGATTGTGAATGCATGACCAATAGACCACTGTCGATGGCTCAGCATTGTGGACTGTGATTGCAATATATATATAGGTACAATCGAAATATTTACTCATAACAGTATAAACTCACCTAAGTGTATTTATACGGTAGAATTTACACCACTGCAAGTTTAACCATTTCCAAGTGATGGCCGCGGCTCTCGACACTTCCCAGGAAGGAACAACCGTCGGGTCTCCGCCAACAGGGCTGGCACCTTCCGTAAACAAACAACACTAATACGGGCCGATCCTAGACGAGTTAAATCCAACATTGTTAATTTGACTTTATGAGGAACTGGTTATTCCGACAAAATGGTATACGACATACTCCGTTAAGATACACAATTCATTGCGTTTCCGCAGAGGAAAAACGAATATACATGTTAGCATCTCGTAATTCGGTTAGCCAAGTGCAAAACATTGAACTTGCAGCCTCGTTGAGCTTGCAGGGGTCTGCCCCGCCCCCGCTGCGCCTCCTTTTTTCAGATGGTCCATGAGCTCAAGTCAATACTCATTACATGGAAGTTTACGGATTTTTTTTTTTTTTTAAAAAAAAGATACATATTCAATTTTGTCTTTGGCGACCCAATCTTCAATATACCACAGACGCTTACACGCTCCGGGAAGTCAAGATGACCAAGACCGCAGACGCAGCGCAACCAGGAGCATATGTGGCAGTCTTGCCCCTCAGAGGCCACGGTCCACCAAAGCCAGAGAACGCTTTGCCATACCGTGACAAAGCGATCGACAGCAACGGGCTACGTCTGCTGACCATCGAGCCGGCCGCAAACGACGACGATCCTGTCGTCTGTACGCTGGTCGAGACGCGGTTTGGCGACAAGCCCAAGTTCCACGCGCTGTCGTACACATGGGGCCACAAGGCGCCCGACGACCCGACCATCATGCTCAACGGGTTTCCGTTTGTCGTGCGACGCAACCTCTTTGACGCGCTCATCTTCTTTCGACGCCAAAACCAAGCGGCGGATGCAGGCCGGCAGTTCTGGATCGATGCGATCTGCATCAACCAGAGCGACGTCGAGGAGCGCAACCGGCAGGTGCGGATCATGGACCAGATCTACTTCCGGGCGACCGAGGTCGTCGTCTGGCTGGGCAAAGCGTACGAGCGCTTTGAGGTGCCCGTTCGACCGGAATCGGGCGTGCAGAGCGACGACTGGGATGGCATCACCACCGCCACGAATAACAACACCAACGACCGCGGCGTCGGCACCGCCGTGCACAGCGGCCGAAACGCGTACGGGCGTCAGTGGGAGCTCTGCGGGCAGTTGCAGGTGGACCCGTACTGGGAGCGCGTCTGGATCTTGCAAGAGATTACCAAGGCATGGACGCTGCACGTCCACTTTGGCCGGCGGTCGTCGTATACGTGGGACGAGTTTCTCGTCTTTTTGCGCAGCAACACCCGGCGGGAGGACGCCCGCGCCGGGCAGCAGTCCGGCCCCCTGTGGCTGCACGAGAGCCTGCGCGCCAAGGACCAGCGGGGCGCGCACACGCTGATCGAGCTGCTGCACGACCACCGGTTGGCCAAGTGCGCCGATCGGCACGACAAGGTGTACGGGCTCCTGGGCATGGCGACGAACGGCAGTGGGTTCCCCATCGACTACAACAAGTCGCTGTTTGACGTGTGGGTGGACACCATGGTCTTTTTGAACGGGAAGCGGCTCTTGACGGCGGAGCACAACGTGGTCTTTGTCGGGCAGCTGGTCCGGGAGATCCTGCAGGTTGCGGACAGCGATCTCCACCTGCCGTCCCTTGTCGCCGGCAGCGCACAGCCCGGTGGCGCACAGCCCGGTGGCGCACAGCCCGGTGGCACACAATCCAGTGGCGGTGCGGCCCAGGCCACATTCGTCGAGCAGATTGACGCGCGCGACCGCGTCGACATGGCGACGGAGAAGCGCCACGTCCTGGACCGGCTGACACGCCCGGCCCCCACGCATCCCCAGGCCTACCACCACCACGCGACTGTCCTGGGCCAGATCCTGCTGGTGGGCCCCTCGACCGAAAGCATCGTGGCCGAGCCGGGCACGCTGTCGCTGTGGACCGGGCTCATTGACGACCTGTACGACGCAGGCCAAGTCAAGGACGCGCACGTGGAGAGCAACAATCTCATCCGCGTGCTTCTCCATGCGGACGAGGCCCAGATGGCGGCCGCGTGCGTGTCCGTGCCGTCGACCGTCTTGTTTGCCCCCGAGACATTCCCGGTGGAAGCCCGTGAGTTTAAGGCAGCAGATGTGCCCGGAGCAGCCGCGCTGGCGGAGACCGATAGCACAGAGTCATCGTCGTCGACGTCGTCGACGTCGTCGTCTGCGGCCCCCAGACTATACTATCTCGAGGCCATCACGGGCGCGACACGCCACAAAATGGGCGTGGCGGCCGGGCTGGTGAAGGCGGGCGACATCGTCTGCGAGGTCGGGCCGCAGAGGCTGCTTGTTCGGCTGTTTCACGAGGGCCCGTTGGCCGGCCGGGCGTGCGTAGTTGGCACGGCGCTCACGACGGAGGACGTTTGCCGCGCCAACGCGCACGCGTACTCTGCACAAAACATGCGCATCATCGATCGGTATGCCGACATTTACCTTGGCAAGGAGGCACTGTACGTCATCTCTGGATTGGCGAGTCGCCATCCGGGGTCTGCTTCGGGAACCGTATAGAAATTTGGCTGAAGCGGGTGCATCCAGCCGTTGAGCAGATTGGTAATCACTACGTTTGTCAGTCGTGCATCTCCACATTTTGCGATGATGGGGTGTCGAACGAGGGGCGAGACGTTTGTAAACAGAAGGCTTATTAATTTCAGATTTTATTTGTCTGTTTCTTTAATTTTTTTTTTTTCGTCTTTTTTATTTTTTCGTTGTTCACCTGTTTATGTGTACCCCGCCCAATCCTTTCCACTTGTCCGCATTATAAGTGGACTTGAACAAGCGTCCCAGACGGACTTTGGAGCTGAACGACTCACTCAACGATTTTCTTTTGCAGATAGCAAGCGCCAGAATGGATGGAGAAACACGCACATACCTGGCTGGCTCGCCCAGTGGCGCCCTGCAGCGCCGGACGGCCCTAATTGCACTCGGCGCTCTTGAGGTACTGGTCCGCATCACCCATTCAGGCGTCTGCGGCACCGACGTACACGACCGCACGGCCTCGTGCGGCCTCGGCCACGAAGGCGTCGGCGTCGTCCACCGTGTCGGGAGCGAAGTGACGGCTGTGCAGGTCGGCCAGCGCGTTGGTCTCACGTAGGTTGAGGTGGATGGTCTAGGCCCCGACACATGCGTGCTTGGTATTTCTTGGTATGTCGCTCTTTCGTCAGCACTAACGACATCGCGCAGCTTCCAAACTCATGTAAGCACCATATCATGATTGATCGACCAGCAGGCAGACGGCATCTGACACAAAACGCAACAACGCAACAGGCCTGCGGGTCTTGCCCCGAATGCATCGCCGGCTACCGCCAGTACTGCCACAAGTCCGTCGGCCAAAAGTACGGCGCCGAGGAGCACGGTACGTTTTGCGACTACGCCGTCCGCCACCAGGACTTTGTCAACCCGATCCCCGACGGCCTGCCTTCCAACTTTGCGGCGCCGCTCGTCTGCGCGGGCATTACCGTCTACGAGGCGCTGCGGGCGGCCGACGTCACGGCCAGCGACCGCGTGGGCGTCGTCGGCCTCGGCGGCCTGGGCCACTTTGCGGTGCTCTACGCCAAGGCCATGGGCTGCGCCGTGTCGGTGTTTTCGGCGAGCGACACGAAGCGGGCGGACGCGCTCGCCATGGGTGCGTCGGCGTTTCATGTGCTGAACACGACGACAACCGCGGGCGCGGCCGGCACGCCACCGCCACTGGCGCTGGATGTGTCCTCCAAGGTGGACGTCCTGCTTCTGTGCGGCGGCGCCGTCACCGACTTTGGCGTGTACGTTGCACCCTTCTTTGCGAGATCGCCTCTACAGCCAGTCTTGGTACGACGGACAATGCTGACAAACAGTCTTCTTCCTCTTCTTGCACGCCGTGCCCGGGTCGTGCCGGTTGTCATACAGACCAAGGACATTACCGTGCCGTGCGTTCCTCTCGATTGCCGGGTAAGAGCATACATGACACAGCACAAAACACTAACCATTCGCGTTGCAGATACATGCCGTTCATATTGCCGGGCATGAAGATTATGTACGTCACTGCATGTCGTCTACAGCGTCATTGATGTCCACTAATCCTCCTCTTGCAGCTTCAGCTTAGGTGCCACGAGACAAAACGAGCAGGACGCCCTCAAGTTTGCGGCGCGCCACAACATCCGGCCGTGGATCCAAGAGTATCCCATGTCCGAAGAGGGGCTCACCGAGGCCTTTGTGCGGTTGGCCGACGGCACGATGCGGTACCGTGCAGTGCTGAGCAAGGAGCTGGGCAATGCGTTTTCTGCGTAGGACGGTCGTCCCGGGGCGGGCTGACGTCGTGCCGGCTAGCTCATATAGATACAGTAATACGAACCACAGTAAACGGGTACACAAGACCACACCAACTTATGTCCTTTCGTGACCACGCCCATGCGCCACGGCGTCCGCCCCGTCGGCGGCCAGAAAGTCGAAATCGACACCGTCGTGGGCCTGCGTGACGCTCCGCTCGTACAGCCCGCGGTAGCCGCGCGTGGGCTGGCGGCGCACGTCGGCCGGGCCGCGGCGGGGCAGGGCGCCGTCGAGGCGCAGGCGGCGGTCGCGCAGGCGCTGCTGGAGGACGGCGTCGCTGATGTCGAGGTGGAGGCGGCGCTGGGCGACGTCGCACTCGATCCAGTCGCCGGTCTCGACGACGCCCAGGACGCTCGCGGGCAGCGCGGCCTCGGGGGCAATGTGCAGCACGATGCTGCCGCCGGCGGTGCCGGACATGCGCCCGTCGGAGAGGCGCAGCATGTCCTGGACACCGCGGGCGGCGAGCTTGCGGGGGATGGGCACGAGGCCGGCCTCGGGCATGCCGGGGCTGGCAAAGCCAATGGGCCCGATGCCCTGGAGGACGAGCACGGAGTCGGCGTCGACGTCGAGTTCCGGGTCGTCGATGCGGCGCGCGAGGTCCTGCGGGCCGGCAAAGACGACGGCACGCCCGCGGTGCTGCAGAAGGCGGCGGTCCTTGCTGGCGCTGGCCTTGAGGACGGCGCCGTCGGGCGCGAGGTTGCCGCGCAGGACGACGAGGCTGGAGGCCCGGTACAGGGGATCGTCGAGGGGGCGGATGATTTGTGCGGAGAGGGGAAACGGCTTGAAATGTTCGGCGTCGAGGGCAGCCCCCAAGGTCTCGCCCGTGATGGTGAGCGCGTCGAGCCGCAGCAGCGGGCGCAGGCGCTCGAGCAGCGCCGGCAGGCCGCCGGCATTGTGCAGGTCGGTCATGTAGTTGCTGCCGCTGGGCTTGAGGTCGACGAGCAGCGGCGTCTGGCGGCCAATGTCGTCGAGCCGCTGCAGGCTCACGGTGCCGCGGACGGCCGGGTGGCGGTTGGCAATGGCCAGCAGGTGCACGATGCCGTTGGTGGAGCCGCCGATGGCCTGGAGGACGGTGAGGGCGTTGTGGAACGAGGCCTCGGACAGCACGGCCTGGGGCGTGCGCTGGGCCCGCGCGGCGTCGACGGCGTTCTTGCCCGTCAGCTCGGCGATGCGCAGGCGCGCGCTGGACACGGCCGGCGCCGTGGCCCCGCCGCGCAGGGGGATCATGCCGAGCGCCGCCGTGATGCAGGCCATGGTGCTCGCCGTGCCCATGACGCCGCACGTGCCGGCCGTCGGCGCCAGCTCCTCGTTGAGCGCCGCCACGTCCTCAATCGCCAGCGCGCCGCCGCGGTATGCCGCCCAGTTGCTGCGGCAGTCCGTGCAGGCGCCGATGCGCTCGCCGCGGAACGAGCCGGGCATCATGGGCCCCGTGATGAGCGGCAGCACCGGCTTGTTGGCCGAGATGCCGCCCATCAGCTGCGCCGGCACCGTCTTGTCGCAGCCGCCAATGACGATGCACGCGTCCACGGGCTGCGCACGGATCATCTCCTCTGTGTCCATGGCCATGAGGTTGCGCAGAAACATGCTCGTCGGCGACGAAAACGACTCGTGCACGCTGATGGTCGGGAAGTCAATGGCCAGGCCGCCCGCCAGGTGCACGCCGCGCTTGGCGGCCTCGACCAGCTGCGGCACGTTGGCGTGGCAGGGGTTGAAGCCCGAGAACGTGTTGACGATGCCCACAATCGGCCGGCTCAGCGCGTCCTCGCTGTAGCCCAGCGCCTTGATAAACACCTTGCGCAGGAACAGCGCAAAGTGCGGGTCGCCGTAGTTGGGCAGGCCCTGGCGCATGCCCGTGGCCGGCTGGATGGGCCGGTCGAGGAGGTAGTCGGCATGCGGGGGGACTGTTTCTGCCGTGTAGGCAGTTTCGGCCGTGTCGGCGGCGTTCTGCTCGGGTTGTGAGCTTGCCATGACGGGCGACGGAGATGTGTGGTGGACGAGGAAGGGTTTCGTTCTCGTGCGTTGTCGTCGAGCTTTGCCCTGTAATTACGGGTACCGCCCACTAACACGATGGCGCTATTGGTGCCCTGAATTGCAACTTCTTGTGCCGTTGTCGCTCGAATCCCCGCTCGCTCGCTGTTCGGCCGCTGGAGCTGTAGTGGATTTAGGGGATGGAGTGGACCGTCTGCCCCATAGCGTTGGCACACAATCGCATTTCTCCGCAACGCGGCATCGATCTCGGCTGTCAATTGCCCGTCCACCGAAGCTACATCCAAGGCCTGGGTGTGTGTGCTATTTGTTTATTTGGATATTTGGATATTATTTTCTGTGGACACATACCCAGAGAGCTGCCTACGCCATCTCCAGAAAGCCCTACGGCCACCATCGCTGATCGCTCCCCTGCGCTGCTGATCTTTAGTCACGATCGTCTTCATGGGTGGCCGCCCGCCGGCCCTTGCTTGTCCGCAGCAGGCCCGCGTGCGCATCCACCAGCGGGCTGGCCCACTGCGCTCTGCCGTCGGTCCCCCGAAACGACGTCGCGCCCAGCCCCGTCGGCTGGTAGTTGATGTAGATGGACTCCCAGTGCTGCGCGGGCACCTCGTACGCCTCGTGCATGATGCTAAAGAGATGGCCGACCGTCGACGCCTTGCCCGCCACCACCGTGCTCCAGTAGTCCCACGCCTCGCGGTGCACGCCGCCCGCCGCGTGTGCGAACCGGTGCAGGCCAGCGTAGCTGCGGAAGTAGATCTGGACCATGACTTCGTTGGACGCGGCGCGGTCGTTGGCCAGGAAGCTGCGCGCACCGAGGTAGCCAAAGCCCTCGTCTCCGTTGTCGTCCTTCTCCGCACTGCGCGCCTCGAGGTCGGCAATCATGCGGTCAAAGTAGCCACCAATCGTCAAAAAGTACGGGTGCAGCGCGCCCAGGGCGTGGTTGCTGCGGGCGGCCAGCTGGATGACGGCTACGGTCTGCTGGGACGGGGCCGTGCTGCCCGGAAACTGCGCCGAGACCTTGCCGTCGACCACGCCGGCCAAAGCCGGGTTCGCCCGGACGCCGCCCCAGATCAGCAGCGTGTCGATGATCTGCGTGGCGAGGTAGACGGCCGGCGGCAGGACGGCCCATTGAAACGGGGCCAGGGCGACGAGGAGCGACTGCAGCACGGCGCCGAGGGCGATCCACGTCGACACGCCAATGGCGTCACGGAGGATCTAGACATGTCAGGTTGGCGGCGACAGAAGTAAATAGAAGGAGCCGACGCACGTTGAGCTTGCTGGGACCGGACCAGTATTGCGACTTGGGCCGTGTCGCGGTCGGCGGGAGCATTGCTTGAAAGACGGCCATGATTTGGTTGTGGTTTGCAGACTATCGAAAATCGTGTCTGTGAAACGACACTTTGCAGCGGGGCCTGCTATTGTATGTGTTCTTTCTCGTATATTTCGTATCCAGTATATAGATCGACGGTGGGAGGGCATCAGCCCGCATGCATACAAAACAGGACTCTGTGCCACCCATCTTCCAAACTAAATTCACGCAGACAAAAAAATGTAAGTAAATAAAAAGAGGATAACCCCCCGTCCATTTCACTCTACCCATATCAAGACACCAATGTCAAGACACCAATGTCAGCAGCACGCAGAGCACATACGAAACAGGGCCCATTGGCTCGACGAACAACGGCACATTTGCCGTTCTCCGAGCACCAGGCCCTCGCGAGGACCTCCGCGCCCGTACCTGTCGCATTGATGGTCAGGACATCGTCCGGCCCGAGGTCGTCAGCCGTGTGGTCCTTGAGCTGCTCGGCGGACCAGATGTTTTTCTGGAAACGCGACAGGTCGCGCAGGTGGATGGGGTGCGGTCCATCCCGGCACGGCGGCGGGGTGACAAAGACGGGGTTTGTGTAGAGCCTGTACGTCACGGGGCCCTGGTTGTTGTCGATGGCGAACGTGATGCTTGCCCGGTACTGCGTCTCCATGATCACGTCCTTGTCGGCCAGCGCGCCCCGCGAGGCCCGTTTCGCCGCATCCGCTCGAGCGGCAGGGCCTTCAGTTCGATGGTGGTCGTGTCACATGTGCTCATGTCACGGACCGGCGGCTCCGGCACAATCCAGTTGCTGGCGTCGCGTATTTCCTCCATATACGGCTCGATCTCCTCCGTGGAGCGCATCTGCGGCATTCCGTAGTGGCTGCGACAGCGCCGTAGTCGGAATTGCTTGTCGCCAACGCAATGTGGCGGGCCTTGATCCGGGCATAGCATGGGCTGACGTCGGCCTTGACGTCAGCCTTGTCCGCTGCCGTGGATGGAACGAACGTGACCGTGGGACACGGTCCAATCCAGCCGCAGAGGGAGACGACGCCGGGGAGACAGCCCAAGCCCAGCACGCGCCCAAGCACCGTTCGCACGCGCCAATACGAGCGGGTGGGCAGCACGACACCGCAGTCAAAATACGGGCTGACGCCCATCTGCGCCTTGACCGTCGGGGAGCAGAGCACCAGCGCGGCCTTGATCTTGAACGCAAACCACTTTCCGGGCAGCATCATACCGTACAGCCAGTCATGCAGGTGGATGTTGATAATCGCCCCGCCGCGCATATTGCTGTACACGTCCTCCGCGGTGTCGCGCACCTCCTTCATGTATGGCCACTTCATGCGTCGAGCAAACAACAGCAGGCCGTCCACCTGCCGTTCGTGCACAAGCGAATGCAGCTGCACCATCTTGCCATAAATGTCCCAATCCTGGTCGAGAAATTTGTTCCGCAACAGATGCTGTTTTTCCTTGTCTTTTTCGTCGTTGATGGCGCGGATGGAGCGGGTGATCTCGTCCCGCGCGGCTTTGAGCCCTTCACGCATGTTCACGGTGGCGTCGTTGCCTGCCATCGCCAGAGCGTTTTCGTAGGCAAGCTTCGCCCGCTTGGCAAGGCCCATTTCGAGAAAGGCCATGCCCAGGCACGACCATGCCTTTGCATAGGTCGCGTCAAGACAGGTCGCCACGTACGCCTCGTGTCCTGCTTTGTCCGGCTTGTTGAGTTTCATCAGCGCGGCTGACTTGTTGCAGCGGTACACGGCGTTGCCGTTGTCAATGGCAATGGCCTCGCCGTACAAGTCCGCCGCCTTTTGGTACTCTTTGTTTTTGAGTGCCTCGTTGCCCATGTTTTCAGCTCGTCTGCCTTGCTCTTTTCTGCTTCTGTCTGGGGCCGTTTCACATCACCAATATCCGCATTCGCATCCTGGAGAACAATTTGAACGTTTTTGAGCCACAGGTCCGACACGATCAAGGACGCCAGGATACGGGGCGTGAATCCCGAATGGGAGGATGCGTCGTCGGTGATCTTGAGTCGAGCAGCCAATTCCCAAGCGACGATGATCTGCCGTAGAAATCTCCACTTCCCAATATGGCCCTCGGTGTCGGGTCCCATGACCCTGTGAAGCTGGACACTGGATGTTGCAATGAAGTCGGCAAAGACGTCGTCGCGATTCAGCACGCTGTAGAGGTCGCCGATGATGTCGCGGTTGCGGTGTTGCGCGCCGTTTTGGTCATAGTAGGTGAAACTAACTGGACGTCAGCCAAAGAAGACAATAAAAATAACAAAAATAACAAAAATAACGAAAAATGGCACAACAGCCTAGCAGCAGAGCAACTCACTTCACGGAGCGGCCAACCACGTCTTTGAGATTCAGATTCTCCTCTGTCGGGTTCCAGCCGAATTTGCTCCTGTTTTCCTGCACTTCATGCAGCCGTCGCAAGATTGTGCTCGCCGAAAGCACAGGAAGCTGTGCATAGTTCACCAAAATGGTCACGCGCACCCTTGTTTTCTCAAAGTCCCAGCATTCCAGGCCATATCCTTTGATTATCACGGTTCCCGGTTGGATGTTCTCGTAGTTGCTGTGGCTCTCGATGTCGAAGAGGATGTAGTCTTCGTCGTCAAAGGTTTCGTATTCGCGGGACGCTTTTTTTTTCATGAACTTGGTTTTCTTGTAGGACTCTGAATGTATTAGTTTGTTCGGAATAAAAAGTGGAGACAGCGTGGTGGCAGGTCACTCACTGAAGGCGTTATGCACAGCAGACGAAGCTCTTCCCTTGTCCTGCAGATCATAGCGAGAGAGTCTCTCACTGTGACCACTCCAGTGCACGCTCGCGGAGACGTGGGCAAAACCAGAGTAGATGCCGGTGACCAGTGCACCAGAAGCCTTCTTGTCCATGAACAGCTGAAAGTCCTCGAGTCGGGATGTCCACTCGTCGAAATCCGGCGGACCAGCTTCTGCATTGGACGGTATTGCCTCCGATTGTTCTTGTGTGTTGGGATCATTTTGCTCTCTGATTTGACCTGCCGCCTTGGGGTCATGGTCACTGCTCGTCCTGGGGATAAGTTCGGTCCGCGCCGAAACCGTGGCGCCCAGCGATTCGAGGCGGATGCTGGCGAGCTCGGACAGATCACCGTGGTCGCTCGCCATGGCCTCCTGGAGAAGCTGTAGATCGTTGATCTCCACAGCGACATTGATGTCGTGTTTCATGACTTGTGCGACTTGGGACTTGGCGCCGGGAAACAAGCTTTCTAGGCTGTCGTTGAACCCCCGCAGCTCCGCGATTAAGACGGTAAATCGTTTGCGGTCACGCACCGCCCACAGGGCCTTGCCTTTGATCGTCGTGCCTGCTTGTCGCTCTTGTGCCATGCGGCGTATGCCTGCGTAGGCTCGTTTGAAGACTCGGGTCAAGTCACGCTGCTGCTGAACCACTGCAAGCTCGCGCTCGGCCTGCGGTGTGAGTTGATGGGACGGCTGCAGGCCATACTGATCGTGCAGTCGGTCGATGTTGTCGAAACAATGCTGGATGCAGCCGAGAATAGCATATACAGCACTCCGTACTTCGTCGCGAGACAAGCGCGCGTCGGGAGGCGGTTGGCTCTCGTCTGCGGCAGGTCGCCGGATGCCGCCTAGGCCAACTGCGTCGCCCCAGCATACCAGACGTACGCGCTCCACTTCAAACTTGATCGCCAGAAGCTCATACTCGAGCCCGTAGTGTCGCGCAGAGTCGACAGCATCAGAGATCTGCACACACGTTTCCCACAGCGCAGCAACACCAAGAAGAAGACCGGTGATTTCTGCCATCTAGAGATACGTGAGCAATACGGGCAAGCGGGTCGTAGTGGGACATTTGAAGCAACCTGAGAAAGGCACAGGTTTATTTTTGGTACAGGTCGTAGTTCGAATAGCAACCGATACATTCCGTCAAAGTTATCGTCTTTTGCGTAGGCCGTATTCGCAAACTCAGCAACTCAGCCTTGTTGTTCAGCCCATACCCCGCTTGAGCTGTCGCTGCAACATACCGTGCCCGACAGAGCCTCAAGCATAACGCACAACCCCCCACGTAGCGAAACGCGGATTTATGAATGATGATTTCGCCCGGCCGACGGCCAGATGCCAGTGACAGGTTGTCATTCGCCGAAAAGTTAATTTTTGGGTGTAGTGATAAAATGTGACGGCTGAACGGGCGTTGTGCTCTATCAGCCCCGGTGCGTGCATAGGTTAAACCAAGTATGGGAGCTTAAAAAGAAGTATGAGATGGTTTACATGCGCATAACATATCGTCATGAAAATTGAACTCAACGAGAACCTGGAGAGTTGTTGTATCGGACACGCATGTTTACGTTTCTATGAGTAGCCCTTCTCGAAGCATACGTACATGTCATGTTAGTTTTTAAGTAACTGTTGTATCTATATGGACGAACAAGGTAGTAGAATATAGAGTGAAGAAAGCTGGCATTAACCATCACCCTGCTGCTGGCAGGTATTATGTACAAGTTACACTATAGCACCATTTGTTCCGCGACCGCCGTGTACGTATATTTGTATATACTAAGATTTAAAAAGAAACAACCTGCAACGTCTAGTGAAACTGGAAGTGTTTGATAAAATAGTACCAAGTGCTTGGTCAACCTAATAATCCATTCATTTGTGTATATGTGGCTTACAAGTGGGATAAGGCAGAGATTGGGGGAACTGACGTAACTTGGATAGTTATGACTGAAATAAAATTGAACGTGAGACCCTGCCTGTTTGGAGCGACGTGTGTATTTGTAAACTTATTTCATCGCGTCTTGTACGCTTTTAATCGACAAACTGACGTATAAGGCCGTCTAAATTGTATGTATCTCAACCTAGGAGACGGTTTGTGTGATGAATGCTTTATCTATCGAGTCAATTAGAAGCCGGCTATCGGGTTCGAGGAAACTTGACAAGCACGATAGATACGTTTTACGAGTGGGCGAAGAGAACAAGGCCATTTCTGTGACCGGTTGGAGGGTGGTTTAGGTAGAGCCGATGCCCAGGACAGAATCCCCGAGGGGCGGGCAATCTCTGAGGGGGTGCTTTAGATACACGTACGTGGTTGTGCCGGCCAACGTCGTAAGTTGTACCATGTTATGCCAGGGTATGTCAGCGCTGCGTCTCAGGTGCGCAGGTGCAGTGCGGGAAGGATGCTCTAACAATGCATCCAAACTGCTTGAAAGGTACTGGCGCTGAAAGATGCCGTCTATCCGCCCCAGAATATGCCCGGGCCAATAAAAATAGTGCGGAACAACAGAACATGTACGACATATCACGTCCGAAGGCCATTCGCAGCATGGCACATGTTCGACAGCTTGGTATTTCTGCACACTGTCCTGCATCTTACTACGGTCCTATCCTTCACACTGCTCGGCCTTTCCTGTAATCCACTTCCTACATGTTGATCACCGTGTCCCAGTCGGGCAAGAACTGGATGTCGGCCATGAACAGGTCCAGCGACGAAAACGGTTCCTGGTTGTTGTCTTGGACCAGGCCGGCCGACGGCAGAGAGGCATCCGCTGCGGGCAACTGCATTTCCGCCAGGTCGCCGTCCGCAGGCGGTAGACCGGCAACTGGCACGTAGGATGCCGCCAAGGTATTATTCGTCTTTGCGCTCTGTTCGCTCTGTCTGCTGACGAGGTCGTCGTTGAGGGCCTGCTCGCGCACGAGCGCGGCTTGCTGGCGAAGCCGATGCAGGTAGCTCCAGATGCTGCCGTCGTCTGCGTGGCCGCCGGTGGACGCATCGCTGCTGCTGGCCTCGCCGCTGTCATTGCTGATGAGCGTGTCGGGCCCGGGCCGTTCGTGCAGGCGCAGCCCGCTGGGGAACAGCTCGTCCACGAGCGCCCACGCCGTCGCCTGGCGGTGCTCGGCCGCGGCGTGGGCGTGGGCGCGGCCGCAGAGACAGAGGCAGCGCAGCACGTACGCCAGCGCATACCACTGCGTGTACATGTTGAAGAACCAGCCGTAGTGCGCGGCGCGGCTGTCGCGTAGCAGGGTGCGGCTGCACGCGAGCGTCTCGCAGGCCAGGGCAAACGACTGCGTCTCGAGCGGCGACGCGTCCGATGCCGCGTCCACATCGGACGTGCCGCCGAAGCGCTTGAGCAGAATCTCCTCGCGCAGCTGCAGCACAAACTCCATCTTCTTGCAGGCCGTCTCCATGTGCGTGGTGGCGATGCGCGGCAGGTCGGTCGGCCGGCCCGTGTCCGGCGACACGCCAAAATGGACGTGCATGTACCGTCCGGCGTCGCGGATGGACTCGTGGCGCGCGCGGATGCGGCGGATGCCGTCGGCGACGTCGATGGGGGCCGACGGGGTGCCGTGCACACCGCCATCGCCATTGCCATTGCCATCGCCATTGCCCTCCTCCGCCGACACCCCCGGCGTGGGGCCCGACTGGCGCTCCAGCGTCTCCATCAGCGGATGCATCCGCCGGCAGGCTTCCGTCTGCAGCAGGAAGAAGGACATGTCCGTCCACCCCGTGGACGCCGCCGGCAGCGCCACCATGGCCGGGTAGAGCTGCGCATCGTTGACGTTGCGCGGCACGCGCAGCTCCCAGTTGGTGACGGCAATCGTCGGCTGCAGGCCCTGGTCCTCGGGCGCGCGCGAGTCGAGGATGCACAGGTGCCACCACAGCCGCAGGCGCATTTCCGTCTCAAACGGGCTCAGCTTGAGATGGCTGCCGTCGCGGTGGAGGCCCATGGACTGCGCCAGGCGGATGGCGAGGCCGTTGAGGATCCACACACTGCGGCCGACCTCGTGCGCCCGCAGACAGGTCTGCTGTGTTAGAAGGTGGGATGACATAAGTAGCAAAAAAAAGAAAGAAAGAAAGAAAGTCACCTACTGCGTAAATGGCCAAGGCCTGTATGCATTGAATGTCCGGCTGGTCAATGACGCGACGGACCGTGAGGAGCGCGTCCAATGCCGTCTTGAACTGGGACAGCAGGGCGCTTCTCTCCTCGGGGGGTAAGGAGGTGTCGCCATTGTCATCGTCATCGGCGCTGCACATGGACGTCACGGCGGCGTAGTAGATGGCAAACGTCAACGCTAAGGTCGATGCGGCCGCCGATGCCGGATCAAGGATCGTCTGCACGACCGTCGACTGCAGCGTCGGTATGTGCAAAATCTTGAGCACGGGGTCGACGTGCTTGACATAGACGCTCCAGAGCTGCAGTGCAAGCTGCGCATGCGGATAGAGGGCGAGTACGTCGGCGTTGTCTCCCGGTTTGTGGTCGTGATGCAGTCCTCGCTGTGTTGGGGCCGGCGTGTGCTTCTGTGTCACTTGCAAGTGCGAGGCCGGTGTGCTGGATGTCGATGTCGACTTCTACACAGGAGTAGGGGTTGTCAGTAAGTTGCAAGATTGTGTCTGATGCCAGTTTGTATATTCTGCTTCGCCACTCACATTCACATGTCCGCTCTGTGGCGTCTGGCCCATGCTGGGTGTGCCAACAAAGGTCAGTGCTCGTTCGTCGAGTTCGTCACGCAAGAGGATTTCCCACGTGGTCGACGGCGCTTGCGGGTTCTGTTGGCCTTGGCTGTGTCTCTGGCTCAGCTGTGCCTGCTCAGAACGCGGAGACAGTGCGTTGCGTGGCGGATCGATCGGGCGTGGCGGCGATGTCTCTCGGGTGCTTTTCGCAATGGATGGCAGCACTCGACTTCCTAACGGTATTGTAACCGACCCTGTGCTGTCGGTCTGGCCATCCAGTCTCTCTGCCGATGCCTCGCCCGTTTGTTCCAGCAACCGCGTCAACAGCACCTCCACACGCCCGAGCCGGTTGGCGATGCTCTGCAGAGTCGGGCCCTTCTTCACGGAAGTGCCATCCGCGTCGGTCGTGGCCCTGGTCGGGTACACGCAGCTAACGCCATGCTTTTCACAGTTGCTGCACGGCACAGCCCGGTCGCAGCGGACCTTGCGCTGATAGCAGGCGGTGCAGGATCGTGACGCAAGTTTCTGGGGTGGATAGGGCGCGCTGGCCGAAGGGTGTCTTTCTTTTGCTGTTGTTTCTTTCATTTTGCTTAGTTTTGTTTATTTTTGCTGACACGCGGCCAGACTCAGTGTCGGCGCCGAACGGTCCTGGAGGGGGATGATGCAGGTTGTTCATGAGAGGTCGGGGATTTCGGCGCCGGGCAGCCGAGAGATGAAGCTAAAGCAGTCATAAAAGTGGGGCCATACAGTGAACGCTATGGGCTCGCTCCACTTTTCCCGTTCCATCCGATTTCGTGTAAGCCGGACGTTCGGCGCCGCTGTAGGCCGGGAGCTGTTTTCAAATGCATACAACAGACGCGAGATACGCCACAGCAAGGCGTAGTCCGGTAAGATGGATGCCTGTATATGCGAGTGTGCGGTGGTATATATCTTCTGTTCGTCTCGACAAAAGCACGACATCGGATTATCAGAGACAACAAAAGAACTGTGACACAGACGACATCATTCGTCTAGAGGCCAGACCACTGTACTTTCATCACAACCGATACTCTCCCACCTGGACCGAACCCGCGACACAATGTCCGAGACGACCACGGCCGAAAAGGCCATCGACCAAGGCCATGCTAGCTCCGAGTCGGCATCGTTTGTCGACGTCGAACGCAACGTTCCAGCCCCCCAAGATGCCGTTGCAAGTGCCGTCGCTGAGATCGCTGCCAAGACCTCTGTCAAGAAAGGCACAAAAACAAGCTTCAGCATATGGTCCAAGATTTACTACACGTCCATCCCCTGCTTCCTGGCCTATCTCATGTGAGTAACGTACGGTCAGTAACGTACGGTTATATCCCCGCAACCTTGCCATCCTACTGTACTGACATACTAACAACACCAGCACCTTTTCGGCCTCCGTCGTCGCTCCCGCCACCACCACGTTCATGGCCGAATTCCACGTCAGCCGCACCGTCGCCCTCTTGAGCGGCACCGTCTACCTTCTCGGCCTGTCCTTTGGCCCCATGTTCCTGGCGCCCATTTCGGAGCTCGTCGGCCGCCGCTGGCTGTATGTCGTGACGTCGGCCAGCATCGTCGTGTTTGCCGCCGGCGCCGGCGCGTGCCACACGTTTGCCGGGTTCCTCGTCTGCCGCTTCCTGTGTGGCTTCTTCGGCTCGAGCGGCATCGCCATCGGCGCGGGCACCATCTTTGACGTCTGGGGCCTCACCAAGGCCCGCGGCCTGGCCACCCTGCTGTTCATCTACGGGCCCTTTATGGGCCCGTCCATGGGCCCGCTCGCCGGCGCCTACATTATGCACGAGCACGGCGGCGACTGGCGCTGGACGCAGTGGCTGATTGCCCTGATCGGCGCGCCCATTTTTGTGTTGATTCTGTTTATGAAGGAAACGTCGACGACGCGGGTCCAAGGAGGTGGCCATAATGACAAAAAGAAAAGCTGGCTGGGCGTCGCCGGCCAGGCCGTGTCCCTCTTGCAGGCGGCCGTCGTGCGCTCGACCACGATGCTGACCACCGAGGCCATTGCCTTTTCCATTACGCTGTACACCGGCTACGCTTACGCGGTCGTTTTTAGCTTCTTTGCCAGCGGCTCCTACGTCTTTCTGGTCGACTACGGCTTCGACGAGCGCCAGGTCGGCCTGGTCTTTCTCGGCGTCTTTGTCGGCTACGTGCTGGCGGCCGTGCTGCACATCGTCGTGGAGAAGACGCTCTACGCCCGCGCCGAGCGGCTTGCCCCCGCCGGCCAGCGCCCGGCGCCCGAGCACCGCCTCTACTCGGCCATGGCCGGCAGCATCTTCTTGCCCATCGGGCTCTTCTGGTACGCCTGGTCCTCGCGCCCGGGCGGTGGCAACTGGGCCGTCGTCGCCGCCAGCGGCATTCCGTTTGGCATTGGCGCGTTTGTCTTGTTTGTGAGTCGAACCCCCTCTCGCTGGTCGATGTACAATCACACTCTAACGTCTCCCCCCAGCTGTCCTCCATTATGTACTTGGTCGAATCGTACGGCCCCAGCGCCTCCGCCTCCGCGCTCGCCGCCAACGGGTCCATCCGCTACATGCTGGGCGCCGTCTTCCCCCTGTTTACCATCCAAATGTACGAGACGCTCGGCGTGCACTGGGCCGGCAGCGTCTTTGCCTTTTTGTCGCTGGCCCTGCTGCCCATCCCGTGGCTGCTGTTCAAGTACGGCCACAAGCTGCGCCAGAACAGTCGCTTTGTTCCTGCGTCTGCCACGACGGCCCCAGCAGTGACGGCCACGGCCACGACGGCCCCGGCCACGACTGCGTAATTCGGCGACCATCCCGTTCCAAGTCGTCCCACATCACCTCCCTTTTCAACATCATAGATCTCTTATGTTTATAGGTTCTGTACGGTCCTCATATTGCTTCGTTAATTCACTGTACTAGGCGTCCTGTTTTTTTTATTCTTTCTTATTTAGTTTGATTTTATAGATTTACCAAACTTCAAACTGTTTTACGCTTTGTGTCATTCGCGAACTTTGTTTACGACGTCTTTGTATCAATGAACGGAATTACAACTAGTGCGATACTGGTCGTCAACTTGAGTAACCTTCGAGGCTGCGACAAGGACTTTTGTCTGGCCTAGCGACGCTACCGTTTCTGTTCTTGCTGGTGTCGTGTGGCGCCGTTCGGCGTTGGAGTTGCCTCGGACACAAATGATGTGCAAAGAATTACTGGTGTAAATAGCAGGGAGCACGCCATGGTGGGGCGATCATGGTCCCATAGAGCGACACCTGCCCGACTCGGATCGAAAGCTCGGCAAGCCATCACGTGGTCGCCTTCCGACCCGTTGAACACTTGCTGAACTGCTTCTCCCAAGACTCGCAAAGCACACACAATCAGGTTGTGCTTCGTATCTCGCGGCGCCTGCACAAACCTCACCATCTGGCTCTCCAATGGCGAGCGACAGCAAGCTCGAGGTCAAGCGCGTGGCCGTCATCGGTGCAGGCGCATGCGGTCTGGCGGCCGCCAAGTAGGTCACGACTGGCTTCCGTCTATAACGACTCTATAGTTGCGAATACTCGCGTCCACTTATGACAGTCTCAGATACCTGCAAGCCGAAAAGGCATTCTCAAAAATCGAAGTCTTTGACCAGCGTGCGTCCGTTGGTGGCCTGTGGAACTACACGCCGCTGCACGTCGTCGACAGCGGCTTTGCCATTCCGCACACCAAGCCATCCGGCCGGCCAGACACGCTGGTGCACGATAATAATGACAATAACAATGACGCCGACGCCGATGCAGCGCCCCTTGTCGTCGTCTCGCCCGTCTACGACCAGCTGGAGACCAACATCCCGCACACGCTCATGAACTACAGCGACCAGCCCTTTCCGCAAGGCACCGCCTTGTTCCCGCCGCACGCCGTCGTCCGGCAGTATCTACACAAAGCTGCTGAGAGCGTCGCTCCACTGCTGACGCTCGCCACACAGGTGCTGGATGTGCGCCGGCGGGAAGCCGATGCAGATGGGGGCCGTCGGGCCGTCTGGGACGTCGAGGTCCAGCATGTGCCCAGCGGCACAAGACGAACCGTCGAGTTTGACGCTGTCGTGGTGGCCAATGGCCACTACAACGACCCGTTTGTGCCCGACATTCGCGGGCTGGCCGCCTTCAACGAGGCCCATCCGGGCGTCGTGACGCACTCCAAGTTCTACCGGCGGCCGGATCCGTTTGCGGGCAAAAAGGTCCTTGTGGTGGGCAACTCGGCGTCGGGCATCGACCTGAGCGCACAGATTGCCACCGTGGCCCGCTCGCCCGTTCTCATCTCCGAGAAAGAACGACCCAACCCGAGCACGCCCAGCACGCCCGCCCTCGCGCCCGCAGACGGCGCTCCGCCCCCCACGCACAACGTCCCCGAGATTGTCGAGTTCCAGCCCGCCCGGCGCGCTGTCCGCTTTGCCGACGGTGTCGTCGAGACCGACATCGATGCCGTCGTCTTTTGCACCGGCTACTTTTACTCGTTTCCCTTCCTCCACAGCCTGGCGCCGCCGGTAACGGTGGCGGACGGCTCGCACGTCCCCGATCTTTACGAACACGTCCTCGCTCTCCACCACCCGACGCTCGCCTTCCTGGGCATTCCGCAGCGCATCGTGCCGTTTCCCGTCGCCGAGGCCCAGAGCGCCTGGGTCGCCCGCCTCTTCTCGGGCCGCCTGCCCCTGCCCTCCCTCGACACGATGCAGCAGTGGCTGGACGCTCTTGTCGCCGAGCGCGGCGTCGGCAAGCAGCTGCACAACTTGGCCTTTCCCCGCGACGTGGCATACATCAACAACCTGCACGACCGTAGCCTGGCCGCGACGCCCAATCCGTCGTTGCTGCCAAACAACGGTGTCGGCAGGCAGCCGCCGTACTGGGGACCCGAACAGGCCTGGGCACGCGAGCGTTTCCCCATGATCAAGTTGGCGGCGCGGGCGCTGGGCGAGAAACGGCTCGAGGTGCAGACGCTGGAGCAGCTCGGATTTGACTACAAGGCCTGGGCAGCGTCCACGGAGGCCGAGGCGTCGAAGGACGCGGAAGACGGAAAAGCGGACGCGTCATGAGGATGTGCGGAGATCAGGACGACATTATATCACGGCAATGTAAAATAGAGGTACAAGTAGACATGACTTAGAATGTCGGAGCATCCGCACAAAGTAAGATGACATCACTAGAGCACGAAGCCTGGACCAAATCCCTGGCGCCGTCCGAACCCGAGCTTCGAGTTAATTTGCATTTGCATTATGTGGCGCAGAGTCGGGTTTTCACGACGCCCAGCTGCAAATCCCGTCCATCAGTCGTCATCCCCACTGTAGGCAGCAGCAGCGGGCGCTACGGAACGTCCGGTTTTTACCACCCACTTATCACCGAGCTTTGGCCCAGCGCCATACAGTCGCCAGCCAAAAACACACCAAAAATGCCACACAACAGCACCTCGCTTTGCACAGCATTAGCTCGGACATAAGGCCAGAGTGGAGTACACGGCCCGGCCGTTGCCCCATCGAAACCTCCCACGCTTCACCTCTCCGATGTCCCCTGTCTCGCTTTTGCTTCAATTCGACCAGCCAATCGCCGACCTCCGCCACACTCTTTCCTTCTTCTGCCGTGTCGACATCCTTCTTTCGTGAGGGTGGAACGGCGTGCGACATATATCTCCTCTGCGCCCGTCGTGTTGACCTGCGCAGTTTCTGCATGCGACCAACCACCATCCGCTCGCCATCATGGCCACATCCTCTATGTCTTCGCCATCAGTCACTGCGACAACGCGGCCCACGACTGGCCGTGCCGGCACCAGCAATAGTCTCAGCAGCAGCTACTCCAGCGACGACAGCTTCCTACACCGAACCAACAGTGCCCTCGACGACGACAACGACCGCCACGATGACGACAATCTCGCGTCCAACTTTTACTCCGTTCCCCACAACCTCACCAGCTTTCTCGACCACAGACCGCTCGCATGGCGGATGGGCCTGCCGTTGGCACACGACCTGACGCAAGCCCGCGATCTCAAAGACTCGTCTCTACACTACGCCCCCTCCCTCCCGCAGTCCCCTCGCTCCCACTCCCACTCCCACTCCCACTCCCGCGGCCGCCGGCCACGCGAAGATACGCTCGACCGCCTCCGCTACGACATGGCCGACTTTGTCAAGGCCACCGTCTGGGCCAACCATGACACTGTCCGGCTGCGGCCCTCCGCGTGCGCCAAACACACCGGCGAGGACAGCCCGCCCAGCAAAGGCATCTTTGTCGACTGCGGCCTCGACCTGCCCCGCTGGCTGCTGCCCACCCGCGGCGAGCACCTGCATCTGCACGCCGACGGCAGCGCCCACATGATCCTGTCGCGGGCCGATGCCACCGCGGCCGTCCAGTGTGGCTGGGCCGAACGGCTGCCCGTCCTCCAGGATTTGGTGGATGGCGGCAGCGGCGGGCACGAAGCCGTGCAGTACGTGGCAGTACACGCGCCCCGGAGCGCGGCAGAACTGCCCGACTGGAAGCGGCTGGTGCTGGCGAGCGTGCGGTTCTGCACATACACACAACGGGAGCTGAGCATCCGGCGGCCGGAGCGATTATGAGGGGAGAGGCGATGTTGAGGATGCGTTTTGACATTTAGCGTTCATACAGCACTGCAGCGGATTTGGAAGGCGTCTTTGGGAAGTCGCTACTCATGGGACGGGCGTTTATCTGGCACACCTTTTATTGAACATGTTACTTTACTCTGCTGATCTGATATTCATGGCCTCTCAACTTAGAATCGAATTGCATTTACGGTCTTTGTTCATCTCAAGTAACTGCACAGTAGAACCTTGCTCGACACGTAGCGGCTCTGCGGCAGACAGTACGAAAACACATGGTGAACATAGCACAAGCGACAATATTCATGTTTCCCATCAACACTTGTATTTACACTTTGGCTATCCACCCTCCTATCTCGACCAGCACCGCGAATCCGCTTAGCTGCACTGGTACGAGCTGATGCGGTCCCTGAATCTCTTGTGCAGCTCCGGCACCGAGCCGGAGTCCGTGAAGCTGCGACCCGTGCAGCTGGCGTCACTGTTTTTGTCAGCAGTCCGGTTTCCATTGGCGCTGGTGGACGGGGGATTTTCAAACGTACGTGTAAAATGTGCACTGGTCGGCACCGTGGAAGCTGATGGACCGGATGCGGTCGTTGAGCGCAGCAGGGACGTTGTCTGATCATTAGCAGCTGCGAGGAACTGTTCAGCACGACATGTATATCAACGTACTGCACTCATCACGTTCGGCCGACTCAATGATATCGCAGTCTTGAAAGTTTTCAATGCGGCAAAAGGAGATTTCCAAGCGACGACGGCGATCTGTATCCGCCACGGCAGCTGTAGACGCGTCAGCCGGCGCCGGCATGGCAAAGGCAACGGCCACAAGAGCGAGGAGAGCAGCAGCAAACTTCATATTGACAAATGGTCGAGCTCGTTTTTTGAGTTTAAAAAATTATGAGTGTGGCAAGGGTGATTCCAGGGTATGCCTTCTACGTTTCTCTTTTTAGTCCCCATCTTTGGTAGCTTATATACACGATGCCATCGCGGTGCCAAGCTTCTATTGTGGCGTAGATGCTCTCCAAGGCCGGACAACGTCACCTCCAAGCCGGTTCAATACTCTGATGCCTGAAGTGTGCATCCTGGTGTCCTCGTGAGAGCGACCATGGCAATATACAAATGGCACGGGGTGTTCATTATGTGTGCAAGTCTAGTGTATGCCTTTCAAAGAATATCAGTACGTGTAAACAAGGACAATATGCGCCACCTTGGGGCGGGTTCAATCCTCAAGCACACAGATGAGACAACATTGCCAATTTCAACCAACACTCCATGTTGCTTACCGGAGCTTACGCTGTGCTCACAAGCATCCTTCTCGTCTGTCGGGATGGCCGATCCTCTTGGGAAAGGATGCTCGGCAAAGAGTCCAGAATGGCCGCCGAGATGGGATTGTTTTGAAATTCACCATGCCCTTGTAAAATGGCCGAGCATAAGCTTCCGGAGGGGAATGCTTATTGGAAAGTGCTCCGCCGCAAGCCAAGTGGTGGCTCGCCACCCTACGGATGTGATGTAAATGAACTCTGTAAATGATCCACGAAAACCTGGTCCACATGGTCACTACAATATACCCACTGGCGCACCTCGCTTGCCCATTGTCCGTGATCTACAGCGCAGCCGAGTCTGTACTTGTGCGGCGCCTACCGGCTATTATGGCCACCCCGAATCCATATCGGCATCCACAGTTTGGCTTGCGCCGAACCTCTACTTGTTTTGTTTCTATTTTGAGCACTCTGTTGGTTGGTACAGCTTCGACAGAGAAAATACTGGAGAGCATACGATGAACTGCCGACATAAAGTAGTGCAACGGCAGTATTCGTGGGTTCTGCAAGCTCTGCTTTAAACGCCTTTGATTGCTTAGGTTTGTTTTATTTCTCGCTCGGTGAATTCAATAATTAGAAGTCGTGAGTCAGCATGCAATTGAGAGAGCTACGGGGAAATGCTCCTCCCATCCTGTCCGAACGAGTGCATCTGAATATTCCGAGAGTCAGTGTTAGTCACGTAGGTTGCCTTTACAAGGCGGGATTATTTGGATCTTTTGTTCATTACGATTTTCGAAAAAGTGTAGTAAATAATGTGGCACTGTGTATTTTTTGATGGGATATTTTTTTTCCCATAATCTTCTTTTTTTCCTTGTTATCCTTTTTTTTTTTTTTTTTTATTGGATATACAATGAAGTAATAAACGGACAAACTATCGAACCAAAAAAGGGCAGGGATCGTGTCAAATTCCCAGTTGTTTTGATCTAAACCCTATGATGTTTTACAAAGTCGAACCTCCACTAAAAGGAGCTTGAACTTCACACAAAGGCTCAACATTGCTCCCTCCCATCACGGCTACTGAAGGCGTGTTCCTGGGACCTGGAACCATCATCGTCTTCGAACTTCATTTTATCAATTTAGCTTGCAAAGGAGGGGAAACCCAACATCCCCGCCACCGTCCGATGTTAACGGAGTTTACATCGACATATGGCCGCCCGCTAATTGACGCAACTGAACCAAACAATGGGGCGAAGCTACTGAAGGCACGTCATTCTCCGTGAACGGAGAGAGCTCCAAGTCATTCACAGGACTATTTAAGCGCCTCTCTGCTCTCCATTGTGTCGTTTTGGAGTTCTCTCCTCGCCATTCGCAAATAGGGCATTGAATTGAACCCGCAGTTCGACACTACGCCGAGACACAGACCAAGAGCGTTTCAAACGTCACGCAAGCACCTACCTGCCTACTTCCCCATGGCGAAAGCACGCATTATCCTGGGTCTGATGACCTTTGGCCCCGACGCCGACAAGGGCGCCCGTGTTACCGATGTCGAGGACCTTAAGAAGGCGCTCGATGTCTTCCAGGGCTACGGCTACGACGAGGTCGACACGGCCCGCATCTACGTCGGCGGCCTGCAGGAGGGCTACACGCGCCAGGCCGGCTGGAAGGAGCGCAGCCTCACGCTGGCCACCAAGGTGTACCCTGTCACCCCGGGCATCCACAAGCCAGCTACGCTTACCGAGTACTTTGAGACGAGTCTGAAGGAGCTGGGTTCGGACAGTGTCGATGTAAGCAAAGTGCATCGCGACCGGGGTTGTGATGTGTTTCACGAGGACCTGCATGCTGACATCCTTCCAGATCTTCTACCTCCATGCTGCTGACCGCAGTGTTCCGTTTGCCGAGACCCTCGAGGCCGTCGACAAGCTGTACAAGGCAGGCAAGTTCAAGCGCCTGGGCCTGAGCAACTTCACTGCCTTTGAGGTCGCTGAGATCGCCCTCACGGCCAAGTACAACGGCTGGGTGCGTCCTTCTGTCTACCAGGGCATGTACAACGTCATCCTGCGCAGCATCGAAGCCGAGCTGATCCCCGCCTGCCGCCGCTACGGCCTCGACGTCGTCGTCTACAACCCCATTGCCGGCGGTCTGCTGTCGGGCAAGGTGGCCAGCACCGACGCAAAGGACTTCCCGACCGAGGGCCGGTACTCGAACAAGTTCCTCGGTGGCGCCGCACGTGCCCGCTACTGGCGCAACGGCACCTTTGCGGCTGTGGACGCCATGCGCGAGACGGCGGCCAAGCACGGCATCTCCATGATTGAGATTGCGCTGCGCTGGCTGGTGCACCACAGCGCCCTGGATGTCTACGGCAAGCAGTTCCACGACGGCATCATCATTGGTGCGTCGAGCCTCGCGCACCTCGAGTCGAACCTCAAGGACCTGGCCAAGGACCCGCTGCCCCAGGAGATCCTGGACGAGGTGGACGACGCGTGGCGGCTGGCCAAGGTGGATACGGCACCGTATTGGCACCTGGATCTCAAGTACACGTACGACACGCAGAAGGAGCTCTTTGGTGAAGGCAAGAAGTAGAGGTCAAAATTGTCAAGCAATGAAGTGGCGTCGTGTTGAATCTCGCAGAATATGAGTGCAGGCATTGGTGAAGCAACAATCTATGCCCTTTGTGTTAAATATAAAATATTAGAACTGATATGACTAAAATAAAAAATAACGTTTGAGGCCAAAATACAAATTCGTCTTTGTGATTGCCCGACTTTAAAATAACGAAAGGCTTGAACGAAAAAGGTACATCGACATCTTCACATTGACATCTTCACAAAGACATCTCAGAGCGGAGACATTCAGTCAATATTGTTTATTTGAAGACATACATCACAATGGACCTTGTTCCATCATTGTCCAATATCCCATTCTTCTAGAGTACAGCCTCTCCTGCTCATCCTGTCCCAGCCGGCCTATGCATGTCAAGGCCGACGAAGTGTGAAAAATCTAGAATATACATATACGTTATGACAGAACGTGACACGAAATGGCCGCCGAAGAGAGAAATACAGAAAGAATAACTAAAAATGCAAACACAAAGACGCCTCAGGCTATGCAACATGAAGCAAACAGAAGCAGTTCTCCCACGACGACAAAGGTGCAAAACAAAGGGTATAGTTTTCACAACAGAGTCGGTATTAGAGAGAAACAAAGTATATACTTTGAGAAGAAAAAGCACGTTTGTGATTTTGTCGTTGTTATCGTTCCTTGTCGAAAAAATGGTCCGACTATGGCGTCCGTGGGCGCTTCCAGTAGTATTGCTGTAGGAGAAAACCGTGTTAGTCAGAACCGCCACATTGACCCCACATTTTCAACCTCACTCCAACCGCCCTCACGCAACTTCACCCTCCAACACTTTCTCACACCTCCATCGCAACAACGTACCTTGTGCTGCTTCCGGCAATTCCGCAAGCTCGGTTTCCGCAGGTTGTCGACAACCGACCGCCGCGACATGTCGTCGTCCATGTCGGAGACGTAGTAGTACTCGCTCTCCAGCGCCTTGCCGGCGGCGTCTTTACCCTGCCGCTTGATCACACCGACGCACGGCGTGCCCTCAATGATGAACCGGAGCGCATCGATGGTGAGGTCGCGCCGCTCCTCGGCTGGCAGGTTGTTCATAATGGTCGACAGGGGACTCGACGACAGGCGCGAAAAGGCGAGCTGGTTGATCAAGTGATTCCGGACCGTCTCGACGTCGACGTTCTTGCTGATCTCGACTGTAGCCGAAGCTTCGTCCTGGGTAGGGTTCGGGCTCTTGGGCTCGACCGAGATACCGAGACCGACGCCTTCTGCAGAGCGGTTGGGATCCGCGAGCGGGATGCCGGATGCGGTCGGCGTCGTCGGCCGCTGGGAGGAGGAGGGTGCGGCGTTCTTGGTGTGGATCGAGTCGTCCGCGGCCGCGGCTGCATTGGAGTCAAACGATGTGATGGAACCGTCGGCGGAGGGGATGCGGCTCAGCGGCCGGCGGCCGACTTTGGGGCTGTTTGTCGAGAACGAGGCGAGGCGGTCGGAGAGGTTGGCACCAAAGGGACCAAACGAGTGCACAATCGGATCGTTCTCCTCGTCAGGATCGTCGACGTCGTCGTTTTGGCTGCTGTCGTTTGCGTCGTCGTCCGTGTGGATATCACTCAAGTCACTCGAGAAGCTGTCCGCCAGCTCGGTTGCAAAGCTCGCACCCGGCCGTGCATCCTGCTTGGGCAGGTCCGGCTCGTCGCCGCTAGCATCCTCGTAGATTTGGATGGCCGCGCCGCTGTCGTCGTCTTCATCGTCGCTGCCCATGTGCTGAGACAGCAGGGCCTGCAGGCTGGCGCCAGAGATAGGGACGCTGGCCGGCGTCGGGCTCTCGGGCGATGCAATCCGTGCAGCACGGCGGAGCGGGCTGGATTGCAAGGCAGAGCCACCAGGGGCACCACCCGCTGTTGCACCAACCCGGTTGCTGTTGCTTTGTCGACTGGCGACGCGCGCCGACCGCGGCGAGTCCCAGGAGGAGTCGGACAGGTTCGCCAGTGCGTCGGCACCGTTCTTCTTGGGCCACTGGATGCGGACACGCGCGTCCTGCACATCCATCATGAGCTCGGCGCTCTCGGTCTCACTGGTGAACGTGTCGCCCTTGCTGAGGTCCCATGTGCGGCCCTGGCAATGCAGCTTCAGACCGTTCCACCCGCAGCACACAATCTCTACCTTGTTTGGCTCGAGCGGGCCCATGGAGGGAATGAATCGTGCCTTGGCATGGACGCGGCTGATCAGGCGGTTGGCGGACAGCTGGTAGTGTGAGGAGTTGCTGGAGCGGCCCATGAGAAGTGTCTCGCCGTTCTCGTTGAGCTCAATGGATGGGACGGCACACAGGGGCGTGCGTTCCGAGGCTGCTGACAGGGTCCGTTGCAGGGTGGGACGGCCGCCGGCGACACGTGCTGGTGGTGAGGAGGACATGATGCCCGTGCTGGACGTTGGCACAGGCGTGGGGTATTTTGCAAATGCATTTTGCGCGTTCAGACCGGACGCGTTGTTACGGGCCTTCTTGATCAGACGCGGCAGGCCTGGTGATGAGGAGAGAGGTTCAAAGGCGGGCAGCAGAGACGGCGCCGGACGCTTGACGCCGGCGACCTGGGGTAGAGAAGGCTCTGGGGCCTTGCTCCCAAGAGGAGAGTCCATTGGGGAGAAGGAAGCGAGGCAAGGTCACGGCAGATATGATGCGAGGTCACCGAATTGGCCGTGGCATGACCAGGTGGGAGAGGCAGGACGAGGAGGCAAACAGCAGGATGATATCAAAGGAGGGGACAGACTGGAAGTAGGAGGAGAAGATGTGCAGAGAGCCAGTGGAGCAGAAAGAGAAAAGAAGTCTTAGGTTGGCCACGAAGAAAAAATTAATATGTCGAAATGTAGTCGCGTTTACGGAAGAGGATTTTGGTGGGGATTTTTTGTTGTCGTGGAATGTTCGTGGTTGTGCGTTCGGAACTGCACCGCGTCTGTTGCGTGTAAGTTGAGTTGAGACGAGAGCTGCAGCCGGAGACTGGTCGTTGACGTGAGAGTCGGGAGAGATCGTGAGAGGCAAGATACTGTGTTCTCGAATGCCAAAGACAGAAAATAGAAACGGTCGTCCAAAGAAGGGCCAGAATGGTCGGCCAGGTCGATTCTTGGGTGCGGAAGGAGGACTGAGAAAATATGAGAAGGGAGGTTTCGCTATTTAAGACGCGGTCAGTCGTTATTTCCCTGTGGAGTGGGAACAACGCGCGAAGGTGCTCGTTACAGCCCGATGAGGAAAGCGCGTTGGCGTTTTGGCGCGGCGTCTCCAGTGCGGAGGGCGCATGTGGCAGCAGCAGGACAGTGGCGTTTGGAATTTCAGGGCGGGGCTACAGTGTTTTACAGGGCATCGGACGCGTCATTTTAGGCGTCTATCCACTAACGCTTAGCGCTCCACGTCGCTTACACGAGAATGCCCAGCGCACCGCGTCCCGCACAAGCACAGCTGTTCTGGTTGTGTCCAGACAGCGTCTCCATCTCATTAGGAAATCGTGTAAGCGGGTAAACATTCTGTTAACTGTGTCGCGTGTATCACAGTGTGGGTGAATACTCTTTGCTCCTCGCCTTTCGGATGCTTTGCAGCAAGGATATGTCTGTCCCTTTTGAATTGTTATAACTGGCAAGGCTTCTTTGCTCTTTCCCGTGGTTACAATTGTGTTCTTGCCAAATATACACTGCGTTAACCCAACGAAACCGCGCATGGCTGTTTGAAGCAGGAGCGGAGCGCGTCTCGACCCCACCTGCCCGCTGTCCATACAGCACCGCCAGGGCTATCTGGTTCTTTTGGAGAGCACACCGAAAAGCCTCTTTTAGCCGCCCTGACCCGATGCACGCTGCCCTGTCGCGTTCTGAATGGCCCGTCTTTCCCTGTCATGTCACTTTGGTGGCCGATCGGTAGCAGAGGGCGGTCTCCAGCTGTTCACCTGAATTGAAACGTCTTGTCCCTCGAGTACAGGGTAAGACATTGCAGGTCAATCTGCAGGTCTATAACTATTACTGGGCGGCTGGTGCCAATTTTTCTGTAATGAATAAGAATAGAAAGGAAAGTGCACCCTGTGCTCTTTCTTTTTCGTTACAGATGCATTGTCAAGCATGGAAGGCACGATGGCGGCACGCGTAAGTAAACAGTAAGATACATCGCGTATGTACAAGTGTGCAACATCACTTTAGCCGATATCGCTGCAGCCGTCTTTTAGTCTTCCAGAAGCACGCAATGGTCTGTAGTGGTGATGTTTGAGAGCGAAAGGGGGAACTGTACGTCAGGGAGTGCTTTCAATTTAACTTCCATTCCTGACTCCGTCGTGTCTCAGAGGATCACGTACTGCGGAACTAAACGGTCGCGTGGAGCGCCATCTCGAAGGCACCGAGACCGCCTTCTTCCGCTTCGGTCAATGGCCGCTGTGAGTGAGCTGCACGACCCACCTAGGCGAGGCTGCTCAGGGGCCTAGAGGTCACCGCTTTCCGGCAGTATTTACTGGCAGAGAAAGTTCCCACACCGCCTGGCAGAAAAACGAATGGCAGGTTTTTCTTCTGGTTGCTTTTCTGCGTGCCCCACTTTAAAAAAAGTAAGGAAAACGCAGAGCTTCTTGACGTTTGTATTTAAACTCTCGCCTATCTCAAATTTCTGACGAACAGAGACGAGAGACGAGTGCATTGAGCAACAGACACCACGCTCGCTTCTCGCAAACATGTCCGAATCAAAGGCAGTCACAAGAGCGGACACGCTCCCGGCGTCCCAGGTCGACTCTGCCCAGGTACGAACGCCAGCTCGAGGAGACAGACGAAAAGAAGAAGACCACAGGAACAAACAGCAAAACGTGGGGATCAAGAGACGATTGTGACAATGTGACAATACTGACCTCTGAAATCAATAGGCGCTGGCTGCTACCAAAGCGCTCCTGGCGTACATTAAGAAGTCCGCCGCCGACGAGGTCGCCCAGACGGGCAAGCGTAACCTGCTTGCGGACGACGGCGAGGAGGACGGCGCGGCCGCGGGCGCCGGCGAGACGCCCATCTGGCTCACCATCAGCACCAAGCGCCACATCATCGACACCAACCGGCTGCAGCCTCATACCATCACCGTGCCCCATGCCCTCAACAGCGACGACGACGCCACCATCTGCCTCATCACGGCCGACCCGCAGCGCGCCTACAAGGACATTGTGGCCGACGCGGCCTTCCCGGCCGCCCTGCGCAAGCGCATCACGCGCGTGATTGACGTCAACCACCTGGGCAAGAAGTTCAAGTCGTACGAGGCGCAGCGCAAGCTGTTTGCCGAGCACGACCTCTTCTTGGGCGACGACCGCATCATCAACCGGCTGCCCAAGGTCCTCGGCAAGACCTTTTACAAGACCACGGCGAAGCGCCCCGTGCCCGTGGTGCTGGCCAAGCGCCGCCCGCGCGGCGCCGACGGCAAGCGCGTCAAGGCGCCCAAGAAGCCCAAGAAGGCGGCGGCGACGGTCGAGGGCGACGCGGCGCTGCAGGCCGAGGACCAGGCGGCGGCGGTGGCGGCAGCCAAAGCGGGCGCGCGCACGCCGGCGCAGATTGCGGCCGAGATCCAAAAGGCGACGGACGCCGCTGTGGTGCACCTGGCGGCCTCGGAGAGCACGTCGGTCAAGGTGGGGCAGGCCGGGTGGCCGGCGGCACACGTGGCGGCCAACATCGAGACGGTGGCGCGCGAGGTGGTGGGCAAGTACGTGCCGCAGCGGTGGAGCAACGTCAAGTCGATTTTCATAAAGGGCCCGCGCACAATGGCGGTGCCGATCTGGCAGACGGACGAGCTGTGGCTCGAGGGCAGCAAGGACGTGCTCAAGACGGGCTCGGCGCAGCTCAAGGCGTACGAAGAGCGGCAGGCGGCAAAGAAGGAGAAGGCCAACGTGGGCAAGAAGCGCAAGGCCGTGACGGACGGTGCCGCGGAGGCCGAGGCGGCGGCCGACGCGAAGACGGCGTCCAAAAAGGGCAAAGCGGCGGATGCAGCGCCCAAGGAGGCCAGCCGCCCGGCCAAGAAGGCCAAGGCGGTGCCGGAGAGCAACGACAGTGGCCTGGACAAGCAGATTGCTGCGAGCAAAGAGAAGCTGAAGAAGCAAAAGGCGGCGGCCAAGAAGGCCATGGGCATCTAAGCGCGTGTGCGTGGTGTACTATGTACTCTGGGGGGGCTTTGTCTTGTGTATTTGTGTTTTGCTTCCATTTTCACTTTGTCACCTGTCTTTGCATTGACATTCTATTGGCGTTTCAGGCGTGCTTAGATTGGGACGAGGCACCGACAAACAATCCAAAGTACGGTTCTTGTTTATCATTTCAACCTTTCGGCATTGCGAACTGCGACTCGGCATTGCCAACCCAGTTGGCGAAGATCTCACGTGATGTGGTGAGATCTTAAAGTCAACGTACAACTACCATTTGTACCAAAGTAGTCGAAGCGCGACGAGATCGGATACAACCTGACATTTGTCCGTCAGGCGGACTTGCCGCGTTCCTCGTCTACCCCCGGTGACTTTCATTGAGAAGATGCTTCCAATCCCGTTCCGTCTGCAATTGCGCCAATGGTGGTGTATTGTGTATTGCCTCACAAGTTTTACCTAAAAGTGTTTAGCGACCGACTTCAGTGGGGCACCTCCGTGCCTCGGTGGTCGATGCCGTGGTATTGTTTGTTCCTCCGTACCAGAGACATTCTAAAGCATGTGCATGGACTAGCTTAGGCGGGCGCATGTACTAAATTCAGCAGCTCCCTCCAAGCTCTCCCCGCGCTCGACAGTTTTACGGCGCACTTCCCCAGAGTCGACGACTTTACGACGAATCCTCCATCGACCACTTGTTTGCTGTATCTGTTTCGTCAATACCTTTGGGCCTTCATCTTCGACTTGGCATCTCGTCCTCGCATCTCTGGTTGCGTCTGTTTTACGAACTTGACACAGCCTACGACACCTCACACAAAGCACACAAAACACACGACACAATGGGCGCCGTCGTGCTTCGCGAAGGACAAAAGTCCGTCCTAATCACAGGGCAAGTTCTTTCTTCTCGAGCATCTTTAGGAAACGATACGGTGAGAGATGGAGGGCTTGCGACTGAGACGCGTGTACACTAACACCTGCCAGCTGCACGCCTGGCGGCATCGGCCATGCGATCGCCGAGGAGTTCCACGCAAAAGGTTCGAATCCCCTTCTGCTGCCATCGTCCGACGCCCACAAGCACAACTAACCAACGCGCCAACAACAGGCCTCTTTGTCATTGCGTCTGCGCGCCGGCCTGAGGTGCTCAAGGATCTTGCCGCCAAGGGCATTGCGACGGTGCAGCTCGACGTGACCAACGCGGACTCCATTGCCGCGTGCAAGGAGGAGGTGTCGAAGCTGACGGGCGGCAAGCTGGACTTTCTCGTCAACAACGCGTAAGCCTCCAGACACTATGCCACATCCGACTCGTGTTTCTCCGCTAACTGTGCCAGCGGCCGTACGCACACCGTGCCGGCGACGGACCTCGACGTCGACGAGATCCGCGCGACGTTTGAGACCAACGTGTTTGGCGTCATGGCCATGTGCAAGGCCTTTGTGACGCTGCTCATCAACGCCCGGGGCCTCATTGTCAACATCGCCTCGCTCTCCGCTGCCGTGCCCTACGTGTTCGGCGCGTCCTACTGCGCCTCCAAGGGCGCCGTCGTGTCGTACTCGCGCTGCCTGCGGCAGGAGCTGCGCCCCTTTGGCGTCCGCGTCACCGTCGTCATGGCCGGCACCGTGCGCTCCAACATTGCCAACAACGTGCTGCCCCTAGTGCCCGGGTCGCTCTACGAGCCCGTGGCCGACCTCTACGCCAAGCGCCAGGTCTACAGCCAGACCAACAACACTATGGACACGGGCGCGTTTGCGCGCCAGGTCGTGGGCAACGCGCTGCGGCCCGAGGTGCCGCTGCTGCTGCGCGCGTGGTTCGGGCGGCGGGACTGGTTTTGGTGCGGCGGCATGTCCACAATTGTGTGGCTGGGCACGATCCTGGGCGAGTGGATGTCGGACACCTTCGCGTGGCGGACGTTTCGTCTGCAGCGGCTCAAGGACATTATTGACGCGCGACGGAAGCAGGCGATTGCCGACGCGAAGACTAAGTAACCGTGGAGTTTACGACGTGTGAATGTTTACGACGTGTGAAGGAGACGGTGTGTACTTGGGTTGTTTCGGCCCTCGCTCTTTTGTTTTGTCTGTTGTCGCTTGCCGTTCCTCCTGCCCTGCCTCTACTTGTCGCTAGACTGTCTCCACGGCCTCTTGTACTTGCATACATTATAAATATCCTTACTTGAGAATACAATCGCCTGGCCTATCTTGTACTGGGAACAGAAGAGACGGCGTCTACACTTGAAGCCGTTTGGCAAACAGGGTAGAGTTGTGGCTGCAGCACACGTTCGTTAAGCAGCCCCTTCACAGTGGGATCACATATGCAGTGCGACCGTGCCAGGGCTGCATCGTGGTGTGTGATAGGCCAGTCCGCCAGGTTCCTGTAACGAGGGCATGCACGCATCCATTGTGTCTCAAAGCGGACACTTACACGCAACGAGCCAAGCCGACATGCAAACGAACATCGGCGGGTGAAGACCACCCATCAGTGATTCTTGGCCTTACGACGTGATATAAACCCGTTGAGAGCGCGTCCTATCCGACAGGCCGAATGTAATGGGTTTTCTTCTTGTTTAACAGAAGCAACGTGCCCAACCAAAGAAAGCTGCCCGTCCAGACACTCTTATCTCCACGTACCTCTTTCGTGATATCCCCCCAATTTGGCCAGTAATGCCTTCCAGCATCACGGGCGCGCAGGACACGCACAGCGCCGTGCCCCGTGACCCATTGGACGATCCGCACTTTTGGACACTGCCGCCGTGGTACCACTGCCACATCCAGACGCACGCGGGCACGACCATCTTTTGGCTGCCCATCGACACCAAGGAGGGCCGCGTCTACGCGCGGCTGACAACGGATGCGGCGCGGCTGCCGTACATTATCACGCACAGCACGGAAATCCGGCACTCGACAATCCCCGAGGGCCTGTACTTTTACGACGAGCCGGCCAACATGCGGTACTGCATCCGGCGGCACACGGCCGTGGTTGACGGTCTGTTGCGGCTCGGACGGCCCGACGGGGGCATGCTGTGGCCCGAAGGGTCACCGCAGTGGGAGGCGGTCGCGCAGTACTATCGGGACTTTGGCGAGAACCTGGGGCCGATTCACGTGTACAGGGGGCGCTGCTGATGGACGGGACAAGGGGCACTACTACCATACATGCAAGGGGGATATCCTAGTCACATGGCATTCTAGCCGAGTCCTACACAAAAAGAGGTTACGAAGACGAAGTAAGCGCTATCCAGATCGAAAGGAAAAGGGAGATCAACTCCAGGACAAACATGAACAGGTAATACGACAGATTGAAAGCGTTCTCCAACGTCGGGCCCGGCACGTACGGCTGCACCAATCTGTACATCCGCCGGCCCACCCACAGCGCGGCCCGGGCCATCATCCAGAGTCCTTTTGCGGCAGCTCGTGACGTCCTCTAAAGCTCGACCAAGGCCTCGAGCAGCGCCTCCTCGGCGAGCGCGGGGATTGGGAGTGGCGGGACTGGCAGCACCAACGCCGACTTTGAAGTCGTCTTTGGAGCGCGGGAGGCACTGGGAAACTTCTTGTTGTAGGGCCCGTAGAACTCGGAAAACGCAGCCTGCAGGTCCTCGGCGCGCAGCCGCATGTGCTCGCCCGGCACGGTGCGGAAGTGCAGGCCGCCCTTGTCGTCTATGGCCTTGAGGCCCAGCCAGTCCTCTTTGTAGAGCGCGCGCTGGCGCAGCGGGGTGACCTCGGTGCCGTTGACCTCGGCGAACCAGGCCGACTCCTTGGGAATGGCGGTGGTGTCGTTTTCAAACAGGTACATGGCAAAGTTGGCGAGCTGGGCCAGGTTGTCGCGGTACTGGGGGTTGCGCGCGCCGGGGCGCTCGTTATTGATGTCGGCCAGGAAGTTGGACTTGTCGAGGTACTGGGCGTACGCCGTCGCCGTCGACGGGTCGCGGTAGTACTGCGCCGGCACGACGCGGCCCTGCACAAAGCCCGACCACGTGTTGCCGTGCAGCAGGGCCATGGCCGCGCGGCACACAAGGTCCGTGCTGGCGCACTCGACAAACTCGGAGATGCCGTTGTGCTGCGAGCCAAACGTCACGAGCGACCGCACCGGCGGCCGGTTGCAGCGCTCCACGTACGCCCGCAGAAACTGCCCGCCCTGGCTGAAGCCCAGCGCGTCCAGCGCCGGCGCCGTCGACAGGATCGGGTCCGCCGCAATGTCCGCGCACACCTGCGCCACCTGCTCCGTCACGTTGCCCATGAACGTCGCCGACCGGTCGCTGCCGGCGCTGTCGCCCAGGTGCGCAAAGTAGACGAGCGTGCCCGGGTTGACCTCTTCGGCGAGCGCACCCACCTCGCGCAGACCGTCGGCCGCAAAGTTGTCGCCGAGGCCTGTCCGTGCATGTCAGCGTTGTTCCGATGGAAGGGGGAAGCGGGGAGGGGGGGGGGCAGCGGGCTGTGGAGAGATGCCTTACCATGCCAGATAATCAACGGCAGCGGCGTATCGTCGTCTTCGTCGTAGTTCGCGGTCTTGGCTTTCGTCGCAGCCGCCAGGGCCAGCGAGCCGAAGGTCAACAGCAGCTTGATGTGTCGGAAAAGCGCCATCGTGGGTGACTCGTAGGTGAGAGATGAGGATTCGTAGGATTTTCGGATGGAGAGTTGCGAGAGAGAGATGGGGACGACGACAATGGCGATAAGAGCTTAGGCAGCTGTTTATCTATTTACGAAGTACCAGCAGGGGTAGTTGGCTCGGGCAACGCTGATCCTCAGCAGGGCGACCTCAGCCGCATTGGGACGTCACGTGATGTGTCAAGCACGTGGCTGAAACAACGTGTTGACGAGGACCGTGGCTGTTTTGAAGCATTTGGTGAACAGCTTTGTGTGTTTTGCAGCCGGAAGCAGCCGTTGAAACGCAAGAAACCGGGTGAGGCCAGCGGTGTTGAGATATTTCCTTCTCCTGTCGCCGTGGCCTCCGCTTGACTCACGCGGGCGTGGGCGCAGGGCTGTGTCCACTGTAACTACTTGGCCCGTAACAGAAAAAA